CAGTGCCACAACGGCAATCGAAGACACTCCAGCACAGCTCCACCTGCCGCAACAAGACAGGACCAATGCGCACCCATCCCCTACGGTTGGACGTTACTTTAACTTGTTGAAGACAATATACAAGTTCGTGCAGATTGTAACGATAAAGTAACGTTAGCTTATGAGTAGAATTATTGTAAAATATACTTGTCAGATAAATTAGGAAAGATGTAGTAGATGGTCCAGTTTATGTAGATTCATATACACCGGTCAGTCAAGTTATTGTTGTTGAGAAATGAGTTGCTGTCGACGTCCAATGCGCACATTTTTACCCTCTCGACTGTCCCTGACGACCTCTCTGGTACGAAAGCCCGCGCCCGCGCCCGCTTCTCTCCTCCCCGCTGCTCCCCTCGCCTCGTCTCTTGGCTCATTCATCATTTGCCCCCGCGCGCGCGCGCTCTCTCTCTCTCTCTCTCTCTCTCTTGCTCTTGTGCAGGGTGAACGACGGATCCAGAGGCGGTTGTCGCTGCTCAAGTATGGGCATGATGGACCAGGCCACGCGCGTTTTAATCGACGCCCTGGTACCGTCCAATGGCGCATCGTGGTGGCCCTGGATCTATCCGGATCTCTCAGGCCTCGATGGGGCGGCTTGCCTAGTCGACGTGGGCGATGGACCATGCCTCGACCCGGCACGCATCATCGTCTGGAGTGTCGTATTCCACACGTGAGCAACCCGAGTTTGCTTCCTGACGGTCCCCACTCCACTCTGCCCTGTTCTGGCTGTGTGCCCATCGACCATGCGACGACCGAATAACTTAACCTCATCTTTGTGGTTTCCTGCTTGCTTCTTCTTAGACTGGTCTTGCTGGCCTCACGCGGCTTTTTCCTCATTGTCTCAAAGGTTTGGCCAACTAACGCCTCCCACCCGCGGCCTGCTCAATGCCTGCCTGCTTGACGCACCAGTCACCCCGCCCTGTGCTCGCTCGCACACTTCAAACTTTTCTTCCCAGGGCTATCGTCGCGAGTCATTCTTGGACCAAGTTTATTGGGATTCTTGGTGGGTGCCCATCCTCATTCAATCTGGCGCATCTCTCGGTCGCCGTGTTGTTTTCAAACGACCTTGCAGCAGCTGTTTTGGCGATATGACTCGGGCATGTTCCGCTCATACTCTCCAACTTGGCTCCCCCTCTCCCTCTAGCATTGTTGGGGCCGTCCATGCTTGGATGAGCGCCGTCTTCAGCATCTGGTTTCTTTCAACCACTGACATCTTTAACGAGTCGATAGCGCAAGCCAGCTCGGTGGCCAACTTCCAGTTTGGCATCACCGGCGGCTACTTCATCTATGACCTCGTCCTCTGTGCCGTCATGGCACCCTTCACGCCCAAGTTTGCCGACCCCAACATTTTTCTGCACCATATTCTGGGATCAACCGGTTTTCTGCAGCTCATCACTTGTCGCGCTTCCTGGATGGGTCTTGCGCTGCTCACGTGGGAGCTCTCCACACCCTTTGTTAATTTTCGCGTCGTCGCCGCTGGTCATTTCGGCCGCGACTCAACCGTCTATCTTCTCAACGGCCTTATCATGATCTTCCTCTTTTTTGTCGTCCGCATGGTGGGCGGCGTGTACTATTGGTACATGTCCTTGAGTCATCTGTCGGATATCTTTGCCCGCAACCCCATCCACATTGTGATCCAGCTCTACTTCAACTCGGTGGCGGGTACCAGTTTGAATCTCTTTTGGTTCTCGCGCATGGTCCAAGGCGCCATCAAGCTTCTCCGCTCTGATAAGAAGGACCCTGCACCTTTGGACAAGAAAAATAAAAAGCAAGCGTGAGCACGGCACGCCATCGAACCAGTCAAGTCAGCACTGTATTTTTTTTTTTTATTCATTTTTCTTGTCATCTGCTGGTTCTGCTGGTCTTGCGGGTTCTTCCCTGCTTTTGCCCGCTGTTTGAATATGTCCCAAGAGTCCTGATATCATCGACATTTGAGCACTCGCCTGTTTGCCTCAGCTATGTGGCCTGTTTACTGATTTATGTTCATGGCATGGGCAAATGTGCCTTCATCGCATATTGATTGGCACTCGTAACAACGCACGCGCACACAGCTGATGCAGCCACGGGATTCGAGTGGCCGCTCATGACGATAAGACGATACACAGCAACAATAAAATGGAAAAGGCATGTCCCAACATCTTGCAGACCTCAAGCGCAGATCTTGCAAGTTTACATGTTAAAAAAAATCAAAAAGATACAAAAAAAAACAAAAACAAAACGAAAAAACAACGACGACACGTCACCCGATTCATTTCAACTTGCTTTGTTTTCACAAGAAGATGGGTGTCACATCCTCGATCAGAGCGCGGCACTGCGGGCAGCCCGAATTCCGGTTTTTGATCTGCCATCGTTTTGCAGTCATCCGAAACAAAAGCCGCGGGTGACGTGGGACAAGATGAGTCAAATTAGCCACATGGAGTGTGACATGACATCTGCAAGCAAGGTCCACCTGGATACAACGTACCGTCGTGGCGCACTCCGCGCAAGCCACATGGCCACAGGGACGGAAGGATCGATTGACTTTGCTATGGTCAGGGGCAATGTCAAACAGAGGGTGAGGCACAGGACCAAGCGGCCAAGTGGCCGTGATGCGCCGAGGCGTACCGATCGTAGCAGTAAGAGCACAAATTGGCCTCGGCGTCATTGATGGAGGCCTAAGATGAGCGAGCACCAGGTCGGAGATGGAGCGGATGAGTGATCTGACCGTGAACGCAATGCTCGACGCATTGGATAACATGGTGGAGTGCAATAGAGGGCGTGTCAGCATCTATGCAAAGCACGCAAGACGTACATCGAGCAGGGGGCGGGCCGCCTCTTCGCCTTCGACCCAGAGACGTTCCTTGCGCGAGAGCTTGAACCACTTGCAGCCCAAAAGAGCAAATGTGATGGCCAAAATGGCGGACAAGAAGAGCAGGGCTTTGGCCACCGCCGTATACATGAACCAACTGCCGCCACTCTTGCAAACGTTGTCGAGGAGGTCCACATAGCGGGCGTAGAAGGTGGAGCATGAGATCTGGCTCTCAGTCGTGGCCACGTCTTGAACAAGCGTAAAGTACTGAGTCTCAGCTTTGGCGAGCTGTGCTTTGGCAGCGGAGCTGCCATTGCGTTCAATGTATGCTGCAACCTGGGCCAGTGTGGCATTAGCCTGAGCAAAGGTTTGGTCAATTTGCTCGTAGTAGGACTCGTATGGGCTGAGAGAGCCGTTGCAATACAGATAGTAGTTGACGTTCTCGTTATCCACATTGGCGGCGATGAGATCGACGGGGGCGACGCACACATCGGCATAGCCCACGGTCGCTGCAAAGAAAGCACCCGCCAGGATGCCAGCCAACAGCAACACCAGCAAGCTGAAGCCCATGACGGCTTTGAAAACGCCGGGACGGCGGACAAATATGATCTGATGATGCAAGCGCCACAGCACGGCGGACAGTGAGCACCATCAGTGAACAAGACCATCGACGACCCGCTTGGCCAGCCACGTACCGAAAAAAAGAGAAGTACCCAAAGGGTCGTCAATCCAGTCCAAGAGTATTCACCAATGCGGCTGTGACAGCATGCAATGACGTGAGCACATGCAAGCAGCCTTGGCGGGATGCTGAATCGGGAAGATAACCCCGAACATGAATCGAGGACCCACCGGTAATGATCGGCCTCACGTGCATCGTGGTAATACGGGTTGAGCTGTGGGGGGCGCCGGACATGACAAGTGAGCAAGTGGGGTCAAAGGAGCTTCAAAGCTTAATGCCAGCGAAGAACAAGCGGCCTTGGCCAAGCAACAAGATATGTGGGTGGGTGGTCTCTCAGCTCACATTGAGGTTGGGGCATTCGTTGAGTACGCGTTGCAACTGAGATGCCACGTTGGCTACGCTTTGTGCTTCGGCCCGACACTCATTGACGACCCTTTCATCCGCCCCTGCTTCTTCCTGAGCAGATTTGATAGCCAAGGCCTCAAGTGAGCAAGCCATGTCATGTGCACATCGGGCGTCCAAAGTTGTTGAGCAGGCTGCGCAGTACCAACCAGAGTTTGGGCCAAGGATGTGATGCTTTGTGCCACACTCGATACATCGTCTCGATTTTCGGTAAGATCTTGTTTAGCTTCAATGTAGCTTTCGTGCAGGTCCTGACAATCGGAGATGGAACGTTCAACGACGCTGGCCAGTTCCATGGACGGGTACAATCCTCCCAGGGAAGCAACACTAAGAAAGTTGAGAAGATTGTGCGTGTGTGGTGTAAGTGTCATCAGTGGGCGAATATTAAACCAAAAAAAAAAAAAAAAAAAAAAAAAAAAAAAAAAAAAAAAAAAAAAAAAAAGAGAAAGGATGAGTGAGAGATGCTACTGGCTATCGTGGTCAGGGTCGGTTGAGCAGGTTTGACGCAAAGTCAAAAGGCAGGCAAAAGACGAGGGGATGAGTAAGAAAACCAATGATAAAGACGCAGACGTACATGCCGATGATGCAGGCAATGACGATGAGGCCTCGGATAAGATTGAAGCAGCCCATGCTGGTGACCTGGCGGCGGCAACAGCAGCATGCGGCGGCAATCATAATGCCGAGATCCACAAGGAAGAGGAGCGCGGCCAAAGCCACAAAGGGTGCGGCAAACACGCCCAGCGAATCAAGGTACGTCTCATTCAGCTCAAGGTTGGCGCCAGATGTGTTGGAGTAGACTTTGAGGTGCTCGTCGTAGTGAGTCAGGCCATGAAAGGCGCTAGCCCAGCCCGGGGCAGTGTAATTGGCCATGATGGGGTTCGTGCACGCCTTCTCGGCACTTGAAGTCACCAGCAAAGCAACAGGTCGCCCAATGATTCAATGCAAGCAGGAGGCAGGCTCCAACGTGGTGACCAGTTCACCAACACGTCTCCTCAACCACCCCCCAACTCAAGCAAACCAAGACAGCCACCAATTGCACCTCAAAGATCTCGCGGTCCAAACTCACTCACACACACCCCCACCCTTGCGGCGCTTCCCCGAGATGACCAGGCGCGTCTCCCCACCAACTCGTGCGAATCCGGTCTCTCGTGTTCAAGCCGATGCAACAGCACAAGAGAGAGAGAGAGAGAGAGAGAGAGAGAGAGAGAGAGAGAGAGAGAGAGAGTAAATGGCACACACATAACGTTATCATGCACACGCAAGCCCCCCTAACAGTTTTTCTCTCTCTCCCTCTCTCTCTTTTTTTTTTCTCATGAAAAAGTGTCTGACATTTCTTTCTGACAACGGTGTGTGTGTGTGGCAAAATTGGAGAAAGGAGATGGAAGAAGAATTCAAACGCAGAACTATGAGAGGAAGATGAAGAAAAATGACCATGTTCAGGCAGAAATAATCTGTGAATAAATAAACTTGTTGTCGTGTATACTGAGGTTAATGCTGTAATGACTGCTTGCGACGATGACATCATCTTGTTCAAACAGCTCTTTTTCCCTCTCTGTCTCTTTTTTGCTCTCTCTCTATTTTTTTGCTTTTTTTGCTGCTGCTGCTTTGGAGCGTGCGCGCGCGGCTGGCTCTCCTCTTGGCTGCTGGCTGACTGGTTGGCTGGATGTGGTTGCAGCGCTTGCGCCTGCTGGAGGGACGACGGTCACTGGAGCGGATTTGGCATTGATGAGGTTCGGTGTGCCTGGAAGGTGAACGGGCCTGTACGGTTCAAACGCCTGCGACTGGCGCTGGAGGGCAATTTGCAGGTCTGAACGCACGGCACGGCAGCATGTTTCGGCGCCACAGCCGCGCCGACATGGCGGGCGTGTCCCTGGAAAATTTGCTTGCCAGCAAACCTCGATTCCCCATGGCAGCGCGTCTCATCGAAAGCTGGAACGGTATGCGTGCATATGATATCATCTCCCCTCCCCCCTTTTGGCAAATGGTGTGGAGCTCATCAGCCCGCACGCCGCGCTCCGTACCCCCACCTCCCCACCTCCCTCTTTGCACGTACAGGCTTGACCGAGAGCGATGTCATAGCCAAAGACACCGTTTTTATCATTCTGTTCACCTGTGTGGTGCGTTTTGCCTCCTCGGCACCTTGCTCGCCGTTCTCGGCCTTGCACCATTGACGCCCTTGCCAGCCCCGTTTCGCCACTCTGACTTGCTGTTTGATACCCATCATGCCCACTAGGATGAGTATTTTGTGTGCAAGGACAGTCAGAATCACCGCTTTGTCATTGGGGCCGAGTGCCCCGAGCCCTTTGCCGAGGTCGGAATACGCCCCAGCTCCGTATAGCAGCTCTGCATCGGCGGCGCGTGAAGGGGGGTGGTTTGAAGCAGCTGTAAGCTTACCATCGACCTGTCTGTGTGGCAGACTGGAATTGACACTGCCACTCCCGTGACTCAGTGGAGCCAGCATTATCAATCCGAAGCGCTACGTTCGCCTGGAGCTACAGCCGCCGCCTTGAAGCAGATCAGCCTGGTACACTTTCACAGCCCGCACACCCCCTCCGCTGGCCTTGTTTGTCGGTCCGCCATTCCCACGCCTTTGAAACGCCACCAACTGCCCTTGCATTGTCTGTTCTTCTAGCCCGCTCTCGTGGTCTTGCGCGACGACCCGTTCCGAGGACGCACACCTCATCTGCACGACTTCATCCTCGTGGAGCGGTGCGGTGTCTCGTCCCCTCCGTGCAGACACGCGCTCTTCGTCGCCACGCGTGCATCCCTCACTTGAGCCCGGGTCTGGCTCGCAGGTTGATGCGACAGCACGTTGCTATTTGCCAGACCATGACAACTGCCGGGCAACGGCGTGTCGTGGCTGTTCCTTTGAACTCGGCCATGCAGTTCAAAGCTTTAAATCTCCCCATCCAATCATCCCTGCCTTGGCATACTGAAGCTGAGGTGGGTCACAATCTCGGCCAAAGAACTGCGGCTCCCTGGCGCGGCTCCCTTATCGCGGCAAACTCTGCTTGATTTTTCTTATGCCTTCTTCCTGCATTCAAATTTGAATCTCATTTCGACCTGGCTCATTCGATATGCAGATGCGAGCCTACGGACAAGTGTATCACCGACTTGGCGTCCCCGTGCATCGCGCCACCCAGTCCACGTTCGAAGAGCAAGTCTGCGTTCATGATCGCTTCAAGGTTCGACCCATCAGCCAGCCCTGCCGCTGGGTTCAGTCTGCTGATTTTTATTTTTTTTATTTTTTTTATTTTTTTTATTTTTTTGTTTTCTTTGTATTTTCTTCCAATCCGCTCAATGTCTCAATGTCTCTTGTTGCATTTGGCGTCCCCAGCGCTGCTGTGATGACGCTGCAGCGCCCCCGCAAACGCCTCCTCGTCCATCACATGGTCGCCACACTAAAGAAAAAAAAAGCCATGTGCGTCGGCACGTCAGCGCGCCGCCCGCGGCTAGCCCTTCCCCGCGCGAGTCGATCGTTTTTTCCGATAGCAACGCGGACGTCCTTGCACAAAAGACCGCCTTGTTGAACATGGGTATTTCCTCAAACGATTTTGGCGGTTCTTCTCGGGGACGCGCTGGTATCCACGTCAGCCCCAGCCCACCTGTGACCGCCGACCCGACGTATCCAGTGGATGATGTCTTGACCCAGCAAACAACGCTGCACAACATGGGTATCACTTCGCAAATGTTTGGCCGGACATCAAATGCCCTCTCGGGCAAGCGTTCCGGTGCCGCGTCCGTATCGCCCAATCCAAGCTTTCATCAGTCTGCCTATGGTCAGTAGACATGTCCACCGTTTCTTGGTCGTAGCCCTTCGCACTCGACCCGATGCTCATTAGCGATTGCTCGTCAGATCGCGGCTTTACCTCAGTGCCCAACAGCCGTCCTCATTCACGCGAACGAAGCCATGCGTCTCAAGACGGCAATATATACCGCAGCAAGTCCTATTCGGCCCTCTCCCATGATGACCCACCGTAAGCAACAGGCGTGCATGGGCCCGCGTGCTTGCCATATCAGATGGCCACCTCACGACAATTCAACTTTGCTTTCTCAAAACCTTGGCTGGTTGGGTCTGTCACGTCAGGCCCATTCCGTCACGTCCTAGCCTCCATGGATCTGCCTCCTCCTCCCTGGCAGACCTTGACATTCCAGAACCCCCGTCACGGCCAAGCCTCCACGATTCATGCGAAGCCATCCCAGAGGAGCTTCCACCACATCCGCCAAGCCGCCCCAGTCTCTCCGGATCAAGCGGCAGCGCCAATATGGACCTTCTTCGTCGAACGGCTGCACTCGCACACCAACTCTCCGCCGAACCCGATGAATATGTGCCCGAGGTCCCGTCGCGCCCCTCTCTCTCTCGGCCCCGAAGCATGGATTTGGTAGCCTATCCAGAAGAGGATGAAACTGTTTACTATGGCTTTGTGGAATGATTCGTTCCATTTCGATGCTTGCGATTTATTACCTTTGTTCTCCTTTGGTTTGCGTGCGTGCGGCCTTCTGTTTTAGCATCTTGGGCCTGTTCCTTGGTATCTGATGAGTCTTTTGGTCTCTCACCCCTCATGCTTGAATAATGCTGCTTGTTGGCTCACGCCTGGGAGGAAGAAGACTTGTGACGTGGCGAAAGGCCGTTTCTCTGATTTCTCTGATTTGATTTTCCAACGTGTTTTCCCAGATTTGTATGCGTTTTCGACCCTTAATTGAAGCTTAGTATCGAGTGGCTTCGCGTCTGAAAGGGACATCTTGACACGCAAGAAGCCAAGCAGCGAATCGGGGCTTCACAAATTTTCCGCCAGCGCAATCGGGTTGCCCAGGAGCGACGCCAGGCGCTGTGGAAAGAACCAGGCGATGCCTGTTGCCACCCACGCCGGGGCTTCCAGGGCATTGCCATTGACGTAGCGCGTGCGGGGATAAGGGGCTGTCAGCGCATGCATGACGTCGATGGCCACGTCCTCGGGTTCAGCACCCAGTCGAAACGCCTTGGCAGCGAGTGCACGTACGCTGGTCATCAGCTTGCCGTACACCTACAGGGTTTTGTGACATGAGTAACAAGCCAAGGTGCAAGCAAGCTCTGAAGCCACGTGCTTCGGGCAAGCCAATCAGAACGACGTACGGCTTCAAGGTGGGCGGTTTCAGAGGGCAGCTGCTCAAAGCTGGTCTCAATTTTACCCCCCAAATCCGTCTTGATGGCCCCCGGGTTGATCATGGACACGGAAACGTTGAACTGCTGCATGTCCTCACGCAAGCTGTGCGTCACCGATTCGAGCGCAAACTTGCTCGCACCATAAGCTGCGCGCAAGGGAACATGAGAGCAGCGCCAAGAGGGTTAACAAATGTACAGACGGTTTCATTGTTCACCACCGCAAGGGTCACTCACGTTGAGCGCTGGCAGAAGCGATGAGGCCAACAATGGAGCCAATGTTAATGATGCGCCCTTGGTGAGCACGCAGCTGTTCGCCAGTCGCTTGGACCATGCGAAGTACACCGTAGAGGTTGACGTCCATGACGCGTTGAAAGTCGGCCAAGGTTGCCATTTCCACGGGTCGCTGGATGGAAATGCCGGCATTGTTGATCAAGCCAACGAGAGGATGTCCATCATCGACCACGGCTTGCACAGCAGCCTGGACTGACTCATCACTGGTCACGTCAAGCAGCACGGGCTTCAAATTGGAAAGGCCTTGACTCGTGATGCGATCTGCTGCCTTGTTCGAACGAACGCCAGCATACACGACAAAGTCGCTTCGTTCGGCCAAGAAGCGCGCAGTAGAAAAGCCTAGATCACCGTGCACATGTCGTGCACATGGGTCGTGAAACGGCAGGAGGAGCAGCAGCAAAAAGAAAAGACGGCCCACAAACATACCAATGCCAGTGGAAGCCCCCGTGACAATGACGGCCCCCGACGTATGAACAGGAAACTTGACGCGCGGCCACTCGAACGCCATATAATACAAGGCCGCCACTACGGCCACAGCCGCCGCTGCCGTTCCCGTCCGCATCTTCTGATGGTCGCAAGTATCTCTGTGTGTGTAAAACACGTTTTCACCACACACACACACACACACACACACACACACACACACACACACACACACACACACACACACACACACACACACACACACACACACACATACACACACTGTCAGCGAATCACATCGATGATTTCAACGGTAATATGGGAGTAAATGTTGTACGCAAGTGAAACCTTACGTAACTTTATGAAGATGTTTATGTAGTTTGTGCAGGAGGAGTGGAAGGGCGGGAGGGCGTGACAGGGATCATGGTTGCTTGGATCAAGGCCTGCAGTGCTGGCCTCGGGCCCGTGCTTGTCGTTCTGGTAGTCGTGGCAGCTGAGCCTCATTTGCACTTGGATGACGAAGGTAATTTGCACATCAACACGGGCAGCGCGCAAGAGCAAGGCCGCGTCTACATCAACGGTGTGGAAATCGCACGCAGTGTGGTGGAGCTCAACGCGCAAATCACCCAGCTACAGGACGCGCTCTTTGCGCTTGGGCTGCAGGCGAGCTCCTGTGCCGAGCTCAAGGCCGCACAGTCCAATTTAACCTCGGGATCCTATTGGATTCGACCCCCGATGGCAGCTGAGAATTGGCTGGTCTACTGTGATATGGAGGTGCGTCTGCCACACCAGCGAGTAGCTTTGTTGGCCACAAGCGCGTCAGAGCCGTTCTTTTCAGATTCCTACAGCTGCCTCCGAGCATTCAGCTCAAGAAAAAGCTCACCTCTCGCCCTTGCATAGACTGCTGGAGGCGGGTGGACGTTGTTATCTGCACAGCAACCCGGCGTCTACTTCAACACATCCACCTGGCAGGAATCCCAGCTTCTCGACCCCTCACCAATCGGGCCCCTGTACTCACAGCTCGGGCGCGAAGGTATTTTGCGTAACAATGCTGTCCAGGCAGATTACATGTACAAGGACCATGAAGCCTCTTCGCCCAATCTCGTGGCGCGTCACATCGTGGTTCGCCAGGACTTGCTGGCAACTCATGTCTCCGATTCAAGCTGGTTTACCGGCAACTTTGTGGTGTTGGCTTGGGCCCCACCATCCCAAGTCCCAGAGTGGGCTGATCTGACTGGGTTTGGGCGATCGCACGCCTCGCAGTGCTTTGTGGATGGAAACCTACCAAGCTGGTGCGCTTCTTGTTCAGGGCAACCGCATGCCCCCCACTGCCACTCGCACGACTCTCTCATGTTGACCAAACCTGTAGGAGTTGGTGTGCGGCCCAAGCTTCGCCCTACCAAAATTGTGAACTTGTGACCGGGCGCTGGAATACATCCGACTATTGCACCAATCAGACGGGCGGATTCTCCTTTTGGATGCGCTAACTGGCTTATGATATGCACGTCTGCCAGATTCTCTTTTGACTATTAATTGATGCTCAGGTGGCCATACTTGAGGCCGACGGGCAGGAACAGCGCTGGTGAAAAAGACACAAAACACGTACGCAGAATACAAAATTGATACCTCGATGGAAGCTTGACAGTCGAGGAACTGCTTGATGGTTCAGTGCATCACCGCACCCTCCGAAGCACTGGCAACGTGCTTGGAATAGCGACCCAACCAACTGCGTTCGGGACAGGGTGGCGCCCGCAGCGTGTAGTTTTGACGACGTTGCTCCAGAGTCTCCCTGCACAGCAAAGTGCAAAGTTTAAACCAGAGATAAGCGCGGGTTTTGGCATTTTGCAACTTCCAAACAAACCCTGTTAGGGTGTGAAATCATTCAATCGGGGCGCGAGATTAACCGTACGGCGACACTTCGATGTTCAGCTCCAGAGAAGCCAGTGAATAGCTGACCATGTCCCCATCCTCGACCAAGGCCAGTGGACCACCCCGATGCGCCTCGGGTACGACGTGCCCAATCATAATGCCATGTGAAGCGCCTGCGCCGTCAATGCCAAACATGATTGCTGATGTGATGGACAAAGTGGGTTAGGCAAGCGTGACTTCCCCAAGCGCACCTGAAAAACGGCCGTCCGTGATGAGTGGCACCGATTTGCCCAGGCCAGCACCGACAAGCGCACTGCCCGGACTCAACATCTCGGGCATGCCCGGCCCGCCCTACATATAGCGCAGGACTCAGGTGAGGAGACTACCTAAGTCTGTTTATCGTGCGGACGCGGGAGCAGAGGCATGATGTGATGTGCCGAGTAAGTAAGGCCTTTGTCAGATACGATACGTACGGCTGGGCCTTGGTAACGAATGATGAGGCAGTCACCAGCCTTGATCTTCCCAGCCATGATGGCTTCGTACGCAGCCTTTTCATCATCATAACAACGTGCAGGACCTCGGTGCGACGGGATGTCCTTGCCCGAGAGCTTGATCACAGCTCCGCCCGGGCACAGCGAGCCCTGTGGTTTGCGCATAGCACTTGAGGCTGAACACTATTTCCATTCAATACGAGGACAAGCGGGCAGCAGTGAACAAACAGATACCAACCTTCAGGATGCGAATATGCCGCCCTGCTGGTGAGATGGGCTTGTCCACTGGGTACACGACGTCTTGAGTGCTTGCGGGCGGGGCCACGTGGGCGAGGTTCTCGGCCACTGTCTTGCCTGTCGGCCGATGTGGAAGAAACGTGCGGGTCATGACAGAAACAGGCATGCTCTTGCATTCCCAAACACTCGAGATTGACCACGACGTACCAGTGACCGTCAAGCACTCTCCATGCAGGAGCCCCGCATCCAGCAGCGCTCGCATCACGGCGGGCAAGCCACCCACCGGGGCCAAGTCCATGACATTGTACTGTGTGGTGGTGTCATGTTTATCAGAAGTCTGTGGCTCCTCGTTCGGGCTGTGGCAACAACGCTTTGGGAGGAGCAGGGCCAACCAACCTTGCCCGAAGGTGCCAGGTTACCAATGTATGGCACGCGGTCGCCGATGGTGTTGAAATCGTGGACGTCCAAGCTCACCTAATTATCGTGGTGTGTCAGCGATAGCGCAATGAAATGAGCCAGTCTTGTCTGCATCTGCCGGCTGAAGAATGTGGCGGATGGAACAGTCACCAAAATTGCACGGGCTTTCAAACCTCAGCCTCTCGTGCAAGAGCAATGAGGTGCAGCACGCCGTTGGTGGAGCCTCCCAGGGCCATCAGCACTGTAATGGCGTTCTCAAAGGCCTGCAAGAGCAAGACAATACAGCAAGGCACCACAAGCGCTTTGAACAAAGGCATGCCATCTATGCGCAGAAGTCCATGATCTGGAAACCAACCTCACGCGTGCAGATTTGGCGAGCCGTGATGCGATGTTCCATGAGAGTTTGGAGAGCACGGGCCGACGCTTTACAGGACTGGATGATCTTGGGGTTGATCCTATCCAAGACAAGCCCAAAGGCGTGGGAATTTGGTGCGTTTCCACGTCAGGTAAGGCCTACGAGCAAACGTCTGCTGCAACCTACGTGCGAAAGTCCTCCTGGGCCGCAGGATCACAGCTTGTTCCAGGCAGCATCATGCCCAACGCTTCGAGGCATGTGCTCATGGTGTTTGCCGTGTACATGCCCGAGCAAGTCTACAGTCGCATGAAGACAGGTGTACTGATTATTGGGGCACAAGAAGCAAAGCAACGCAGCTGAATCGGATGGGGTCAAGCCCGATTGGCTTTGCAGAAGACGTACGCCCACACCGGGACAAGAGTTGCATTCGAGCTTGTTCAGGTCTTCAAGATCAATCCTATATGAGCCACGCGATGGGTGAGCCAGTGGGCTACCCAGAGTCTGAAGAAATGGGTCCAGATCATGCCCATTAACAACGCACAAGCCTTTGGAAAACTTTCCCAACCCCTCAAAGGGAGTGCCAGCACTGAGCTTTTCGCCATTGTGCTCCCCTAGAGAGCGTGATCATCAAGTTGAGTGGTTGGCATGAACAGTCGCAAACGGTCCAGGCACCGAGAAGGTGTACAACATCCACGTACCTGAGCGCCCAGTGCCGCCGTACACCACAATGCCGACTTGATTGTAGCGCAGGATGGGCATCAGCACGCCTAGTGTACCGTGTGGTGGTGAGTGTGCAGCTGGTGAGCAGGAACCGGCAGGATAGAGCTTTGCACCAACCCGCATGGGTCTTGTCGCAACCCGAGAGAACAACCAGGCCGTCGGCGCGATAGCCTTCATGCATGGTCTCAATACAATCGGCGATCAAGTCCCGGCTGGGTAGCGAGTAGCGCATGCCTACATTGAGAAAAACATCAAGCCGGACACAGGGCGAGTGGGGTAAGGTGGGGTGGCTTTTTTCAGGCTAGCGCAATAACATGTTGGGCAAAGGGACCTCACCACTGGTGCCCATGGTCTGGCCATCTGAGATGACGGGCTGGTGGCTGACAAAGGCCTTCATGCCCATCTCCTCAATCTCAGCTGAAGAGCAAACGTCATGTTCAAGGTGCGCAAAGGTGGTGGATGAGAAACCAGGCAAACATAAAGCCACAAGGGGTAGACTTCGGCCGGCATGAGAGGAGTCAGTCAGGGGGAAGAGGAAACACACCTCCAACAACATCGGCGAGCTCACGAAACTTTTGGTTGCACATGTGGATGGACATGTATGGGCTGGCAACGGTGATGATGGGTTTGGCAAAGTCTTCCTTGCTATAACCAGCTGCATACAGCTGGGCCCGGCTGCCGGTCCGGCGGAGCCACTCGGGATCGGCGCCATCTACAATCAAAATGTCGGGCAATCGTTTGAAAGCGACTGGCGTGTGATCAATTCATAGGACCAAGTGCCTGGGGCATACCGAGCGATGCATCGCCGGTGAGCTCTTGGCTGCGCAGCTTGAGCTGACACACGTCGGTCTTGCAACGCTTGGGATTTGTCTCTGCAGCCATGTTGTCTTGACAGAGCGATGGAGGTGATCACACGCCCATGAGTCGTTCAAAACGCCAACTAGCTGAAGCTAGCTTACCGGGCAATGAGCAAGGCAGAGGCTAATGAAGCAGACTTGACAGCGGAGACGCAGGAGCAGGAGGAGCTAAACAATGGAGTAGCAAGGCAGATGCCGAGGGTGGTCAGCCAAGAGCAGGAAAAGCAAGAGCCCGAAGAAGAGGCGGAGCAAGGCGAAGAGCAGCAGAGAACGAAGGAAGGAAGACAGAAAGGAAGAAAGGAAGGAAGGAAGGAAGGAAGGAAGGAAGGAAGGAAGGAAGGAAGGAAGAAAGGAAGGAAGGAAGGAAGGAAGGAAGGAAGGAAGCAAGAAGCAAAGCCCCAGGCACGATCAGCACCACAAGGCACGGCAGCATCAGCAGCAGCAGGCAGCAGCAGCAGCAGCAGCAGCCCCGACCCACTGATGAGAGATCCAAAAAAAACAAAAAACTTTTCGAAGAAGAAGTTGATGTTTTATTTTGCTCAAGCTATGTTTGATGTTATTGTAGCTTCCCATGAAAGAAGTTGCTGATTCAAACGTGCATCGAGAGTTAGTTTGTGCAGCTGCAAACATGACTTCGTGTTACTCCGACCTCCTTGTTTGAGCAAATTATCAGCATGTCAGACGTTTTTCTGTGTGTGTGTGATTTTTTTTTTTTTTTTTTTTCTTGCTGAGTCGGGCATGTGAACATGGATGCGGCAGCCCTGGTGGCTGGTAAGTGATGTCCATCATGTGGAGGCAATGATTGATCGGTCTGGGTGACCACAGTGCTGGGGGTGAAGGTACTTCTTACCCAGACCTTTTGACAGACTTTTTGCGCCACCATGGCTTGGCAAACACGGCTGCGAGTTTTGAGGTCGAGCGCCGCCACCTCACTCTGGTGCGTAACCCATCTCAAACGCCTCTTCGAGTTGATGCGCGAAGAACGCAATGACCTCGGATCAATGGCTCACACAGCCATCTATCTTTTGGTGATGCAACGGGCCAACGAGATAGGGGCAGGGGCAGCCAGCGCGTCTTGAGCAACTTTTGCTAGATCTCAGCCGCCATACAGCACAGGCTCATCTACGACGTCAGGCGCCCGATTCGAGTGCAAGCGAGCTATTAGATCGCGTATTTGACTATGTCCAGGCTCTTCGTCTTGAACGTCACCAGGCCCTGGCATACACCGCCTCCAGTGTCCGCCCACAACCTTCCAATCCGACCACGACTGCCTCATCCACAGCAAGTCAGCCGACAAGCACGCCTCGTCCCGTGCAGACCACACAGGCAACTCGCGCACAGCCTCTGAACAATGGGCCCTTGTCTTCCAATCTTCCACAGCCGGGTAGCAAGGTATGCTGAATGAACTACAACAGCACGTTCCACCCTGTGTGCAGGCACCGGTCGCTCACCAATGTGCCACCTCCGCGCTCTTGTCAGCGTCGCAAAGCCAATCGACCGCAACACGTGACCCACCTCCTGCAAGAACAGTTGCACGAGGACCTTTTTGATTGGGTGCGTTCTGTCAATGCCTTTCCATGGCAACCCGCACCTGCATTTCTCGACGAGATTGACGCCATCTCTGATGTCATCCTTAGGATAACCCCGAAGGCGCAGCTGAAACGCTGCTACATCAAGACGTGACGCTGGCCCTTCTTGATGGGCTGCTTGGAAGCGGTACGGGCTTCTCTGTCAGGGGCCGTTTTGCCAACAGCATCCTCGAATTCAAACTTGAAACTATGATTTTCCGTCTGACCGGTTGGTATTCACGTGCTCTAGACTTTGTGGGCGAGGAGACGCACGCTTCGACCTCGCCGCCGACACGAGCACCTCCAGGTGCGTATGATGTTTCATTGCCGACCGCTTCAATCAAGAGTCATGTGCGCACGCTTATCCATGTCAGCATACCCACCCGAACCAACGCTCTGCAGATGCACAGAACCATGAAGCAGCCGGAACTGCAGCAGCAAACCCACAAGCCTATGCAACTTCATCGACCGAGCCGCAACATGAACAAGAATTTGATATTGAAGCTGCCCTGGAGATCGCGAGCAAGTCTTCGTGACATCAAGTATCACCTGTGCTGATTTTTTTTACTATGAGCAATCTGCAACCAGTGTACCCGTAGTGACCGGATAACGAAGGAGTTCAAACAAAAATCGATTAACATGCAAGCACAGCTCCGCTCGATATAATGTGTAATGTGAAGGGGGATGTTGCAGGAGGAAAAGTGAACAGCAAGCAGGTGCATTTTGTCTTCTACCCGCGCTGCTGAGCTTGACATTTGTACAAACACATTTAAGAGACCCTAAATCCTAGTCAGATGGCCATGTCCTCACTTTGTGGGACCACCGCTCAATCCTCTCATCTTAAAGTCGAATCATGAAGCATCACATGGCTGTTTCTTCTTGAAGTGACGTCTACGTCGCCAATGAATGCGTGAATGCATGCAAACGCATAATGAGGTCCCCAATTCAAAGACCCGGGCCAGACACGCTCAACGCACCCATGCAGTGCCTGCCGAGACCGGTCGTCCCGTGTCCGAGTGGACGCCAATGACATCCACAATCTGAGCAAACGTAGGTCGTGCATTTGGCTGCAGAGCTTGGCACTCGAGCAAAATTCTAAGAGCAAGCCCCATATTCCGCCGCTGCCGTGTGAGCCCGCTGCAGGTACTGTAAACTGGCCTTTACCGAAATCTCACCGAGCAAGCACGGGAACATCCGAGCGCGGCGCACGCAGCTTTTGGCCTTGCTTGGCTGCTTGTGAAATATATGCCACTGAAAGTTCACGCCAAGGTGCTTGGCCCCCCGATAGAAGCTCCCATAGCAACATGCCGAAAGACCTATCACAGGCACGGCCAGGCAGCTCATGAGCTACATATCGCCGTGCTGTCACGGCAAATTGCCCTCAACAGGCTCACCACACATCAGAGTGCTCCGAGAAACGGCGCTGCAGAATGGCCTCTGGCGCCATCCACCTATCAGTTTCATACACATCAGCGCACGATGCACAGGCTCACAACGAAGCGTCTATGCTGCCTGGCACACTGGACGAACCGCAGTGGCAGCTCATTGATTTGGCTACTCTTGTAGTAGTCGGTCTGCGCTACAACGCGGGACACTGCGCCTCGACCGCATGACAAGCAGTTTCATCAGGCAAGCCTCGCACTCATGTGTCGTCATGTTCGAAGTAACCAACAGGCAAGGATAGGAGCAGGCCAACGTACAACCAAGGTCTGCCAGCTTGCAATGAATGGGCGCAGCGGAGAAGACGAGCACGTTTCGTGCAGCCAAATCACGATGCACAATGCCAGCACTTGCCAGAAATGACATGCCCTGCGCCACCTAAGGAAAAAAAAAAAAAAAAAAACACGTCAAAGCAGGCAGTACCACCTCGCCCTTGTCTAGAAAGAGTTGAAGGCAGTAGACGATGGCTTGCTCACCTGAGACGCGACTGCCTGACACGACGGTGCTGACAAGTGTGGATTTTGCCGCACCACATCCAACAGTGACCCATGCGGGGCCCATTCCATGAGCATACCAATCTTTAAGCCAGCTTGGTCTTCCCTGTATGCAGATGCATGGGTCAGGCGCGGAAGACATCAGAAAATCCACTAGCAAGCAGCTCAGAGAAGGCAATCAAACACTGTCGTGGGGCTACGTACTGAGAGACGACCGCGCCATGAAGCAGCACCACGTGCTCACATCGCCGCAAAAACTGTAACAGCATGAGCTCTCGCATCCAGGCAACAGACTAGCGACGCAGCCATGTCATGCCAGGTGAGCTGCAGCAATCAAACTTTTACAATCGCCGTGGAGGCTGAATCGTGCTAAATGGCGGTAAGCGCAGCAGGCAGTCCCAGGCTACGCACATCCGTATTGGAATCCAAAAGATATTTGAGCGCCGCCAAGGTCGGGCCTTCTGAGCTCTCAAGTTGGACCTGCAGCAAGCATGAAAGCACCGCAGTCGTCAAGCAAGAGTCTCCAACGCGAGCATGAGAGCGGGTGGATACAAACCTGGTACACCTGGCTAAAATTGCCCGTGCTGGCTAGGGTGCGACACTGTAGCTGCCGCTGATCATAAAACTGCACCGGTTCGGCCTGCAAGTGAGGAAAGCGTGCCCGATAGTCCTTGCTGGCTGCTTCCATGACTCCAATGACAAGTTGCTCGGAGGCCTGCGCCTGATTGTGGCCCCGGCGCCAAAACCACACCGCCAGCAAGATTGCAAGAACCATCGCCACTGCGCCCACAGACGCGCCAAGGACAAGGCGAGCGGGCGATTCACGGTGTGAAGCACGGGCACGGGTCCCCGCAGTGGACGTCGAGCTGGCCCGAGTTGTCGAGATTGTGGGTGATATCGGGGCTGTTCCTGGATACCGCTCTTTGAACTGGGCCAGATACTGTGCATCGTTCACAAGGATGGCATGCATGGTTTGGTTCGGCTGTCCAACTTCACCAAACAGGGTGCCGTCAACCACAACTGTTGGAGATAGGAGTTGGACCTCCATTGCATCTTGCACCAAGAGAAAGTTGACCATGCTTTCCAAGCGACCATTCAGTGTGTTGCGCATAATACTGCAAACCACACAAGCATGTGAGCAAGAGAAAAGGCATGAACTCTGTGCAAATCAAGACCGGGCAGTCTAGCGTCCACCGCCTGGATGGCAGGCATGGTATTGATCAGGACGAAACAGGCACATACCGAAAAATGTTTGTGCCAAAGACAGCTTCGACGGCATCGTAGTCTCGCATGACACCATACCCTGTCACGCAGCGGTTTTCCGGTGTTTCTTCAGCCATAGGGGACAGAACAACGGTGCCATTGGTGACGTTGAGTACCATCATAGCATAGCAATCGAGCGTATTGGCAGTTTTCATGCTGATGACTCCAGAACAATACTGTTCATCACTTCCAGCTGGACAGTTGGGTACACCGTTGCATAACTGGGTCGAGAAGAAGAACGTGCTGTTGTCCTCCCGGCAAGGAATGGGCTGCAGGTAAGGGCAATGCGAGGCGTTGACCAAGCCAGCCACACCCTCCGCAGGCGGGTGACAGAAGCACATGACGCGTTTGTATCTTTCTTGGCGCAGTTCATTGAACGCCCACATGAGAAAACAGCTTTGCGGCTGGCCATATCCACTAAGGTGGTCGTCAAACGATTCAAATATGGCAAGGGTCCGCTGCACGCGGTCATCAATAAAGGAGTCGGCAAACGTGCGGATGTTCTTCATATCCAAGGAGGTTACCATACTGTCGACTCCAATGTATTGAAAGGCACTCCGACGATTGATTAATATCAGCTGCAAAAGTTTCTCGAGCCGGGGTAGGTATGTGCTCTCCAGCAGCACAGGACTTTTGTTCATCTGCAATTGCAGATAAACTAGATTGGGCATACTCTTCCACGGAAACCCGTCAAGCAGTTCCAGGTCGGTCAGGAAGAGAGAAAACTTTTCAAGAGACAACATGTCGTTCCTGTCGAATGTAAGTTGGCTGAGGGGAAGGTAGGTTCCATCCAAGCGAAGCGACGTCAACTAAGATGAACACGAGCAAGACAGCATGGTTAAATACCAAATGCAGTACGCAAAGCAAGCAGTGCAAAGGGCCAAGAAGGGTTAGGGGGATTGGGGGGTTGGATACAAGAGAGAATGTGCCTTTTGCATCCCTGGGCTTTGGTCACGAGGACTTGGCGAGATACGCACTTTTGGACACCATTTTGTGATGAGGGTAAGATTGAGTACACTGGGAAAAAAGCTTCGCTCAACACTGATGTCAATCAGGTGAGGGCTCTCGAAATAGGGAGGATGATCCATCTCCACAAACTCAAATCGAACAAACTCGGTCGAGACGGGCAAGGCATGGGTTTCGACCGTCAGAGAGAGCCGGGCTGCCACGCTTGGTCCTAACCCCTCGAGCCAGACGGAGCTGATGTTCTCAAGATGACGTAAGATGCCGTTGCGGAGTGTGAATGTGCCAGCGCCTTGAAATTTCATGTTTCGAAATATGCTGGGCAGGGCCGGCAAGGGATACTCCAGCATTGGGAGCGAACAGGCACTAAAGGTGGCAGCCTCGTGCGCATACGTATATATTGGAAAGTCGCCTTGGCAAAAACTAGAGCAGAGCCTGCACACATCACAGGCCTGATTCAGAACCCATGAACCATTCGTGCAGGTGGCCAAGGCCGTGTAGTTTTGGCCCGGAGGATAAGGGTACGGGCACTCCACCCTGCAGGGCGAGGTCGCACAGAAAACGTCCGGAATCCCGGGGAAGTGCTGACTTGCACACGCGTGTTGGCCATACCCGCCCGTGGACGCAAGAGCCACGAGCAAGGCAATCCCAGTCCAGGACATTGTGCCCCTGACCTATCTTTCTCCTCCCCCACCTCAGCTCACCACCCATCCCCCTCCCGCCCCCTGCACCCTGGGGACCGTTCGTCTCAGCACACCACCAAATCACCCCCCAAGTCCAGTCCAGCGTCGTGTGTGTGTGTGTGTGTGTGTGTGTGTGTGTGTGACAAAGCAGAAAGTGTGACACTTTCGATGTTAGGTGTTGGTGATGGTGTGTGTCTGTCTCTGTCTCTCTCTGTCTCTGTGTCTTTGCTCTTTATTTCTCTCTTTCTCAAACCGACCAAACCAATTCATTTCTGTCTCCTCTCTGTCTCTCTCTCTTTTTCTCAGGCTGTCTGTCTGTCTGTCTGTCTGTCTGTCTGTCTGTCTGTCTGTCTGTCTGTCTGTCTGTCTGTCTGTCTGTCTGTCTGTCTGTCTGTCTGTCTGTCTGTCTGTCTGTCTGTGTCTTTGTGTCTGTCTGTCTGTCTGTCTGTCTGTGTCTTTGTGTCTGTCTGTCTGTCTGTCTGTCTGTGTCTGTTTGTGATTGTGCCTATGTGCTTTTGGCTGTCTTTCTGTCTCTGTCTTTTTCTGCCCGTGTGTCGATGTGTCGATGCGTCGATGTGTCGGTGTGTCGGTGTTTATGTTTTTTGCTCTGTTCAAATGTCATGAGACCCAGTGTAGATGCAGGCGGCCGCGTAGCAGACAATTGCCACTGCCGCCGCAGAACGCAGTTTGGTCTGGATTTTGGGTCATGAGCGGCTTTTTCTAGACTTGGCCGTGTCCCAACAGTAGACTTGACCGACATCGTTCACAGCCATCAGTATTCTACCGGACATGCGGCCAATGAGCTGACAGCCTCGCAGGTTGCCTTGCGGCGTGGAGCAAAAGTCAGTATGCTTCGCAACAACCCACCTGCCATCGCTGGCAATGTCAATTTGGCGGATGGGATGCTTGGAATCACGACATCGAAGCGTAGCCCTACAAAAAATGAAAAGGCAGGCACCGAACAAGGTGGCATTTGTACCCTAAGAACATGAACGACAACCGACATCCAAGAATCCATCGTGACCAAGACCACACATACCTAGGCGAGCTTCGCTCCGTGTCGTTTAAATTGTAAAGGAAAATTTCACCCGCTAATCAAGCCGTCATCAAGAGGAACGACGAAAGGCACCCCAGAGAGTCAGAGATTGACGAGTAAAACGAGCCCGTGTGATGGTGCAACGGCATGATGTTGATGGAAAACATACTCGTGTTTCCAATTCCCACAAACGGTACTTGTGCCGCATAGGCAAAGCGAATATACCACACATTGCATCGTGGCACATCCAGCCTAAAGAGGGCCCAGGTGAGTATCCGACTGCAGACAAGATTGGTTTGACGGTTGCCTACAAACTGTTCGTACCTCTGCAGCACTGTCATAGGGTCGCCTTCCAGGGCGCGGCGTTTCTGAAAAAGACCCAAAAACGTTGGCAGTGAGACTCAACGTTGGCAGAACCCCCTCGTTAGCTCTCGCGGGCAGGCGTGTCATGCTGGAGCAGCCCACGGACATCATCTAGGTCCAAGCGTATGGCTCCCTCCCGCAGCCAGCACAGGATTCGGTCCTCTGTCGACTGCATTGTCAATGACACGAGAGCAAGGAAGCAGGAAACGAATCAAGAAAGTGCGATGAAGCTCGAGTTGGCTGACTTGACTCTGCTGTTCTGCAACTGCGTGCCTCACACATCAAATGCGAGTGGGACAAGGCTATGAGCTCCCCGCACCGACCTTGGAAAGAATCAAGTCACCATGCCATCGCACACAATCAATGTAATTGCGGTGTGCACCACGGGACGAGAAGGTGGGAAAGTCTTGTGAGCTTGGTTGAAATCTGCCAAGCGGTGCGAGCAAGGCACGTGACCGGCCATGGCTTTCGTCAGTTGGGGCACACCAGCTTTTGCAAAAGTTGCAGCGGGGTGCACAGGCCGGCATAGCAAGAGAACATTCAATCGTGGGACGTACGCGTGGCTGGCCGTTTCGACGTTGTAGACATCCGATTCGCGGAGTTTCTAACAAAACCATTGGCACAAAGTCTGGGTCAGCGGCCGCACGCATGTTGCAAAGGCGCAATGACGCTGCAGCAAAATGCTCAAGGTCATGGTTCATGGTATGCGCAAGCACGGTTCCAAGAAGCTCACCTGATCAATCGCATCCCCCAACTTCCAAACTTTTACTGCTTGGTCCATGCCTCCAGTGACCAGAAGGCGACCGGTACAATGAATGTCCTGCTCAAAGCGCGCGCCAGAGTGAGTCCAGTACAACCGGGGACATGAGCACAGGCCGTTGCACTAGCTGGATTGGCCACATGGTTGCCGTACCAAGGAGAGAACTTCGTCGCGATGGCCTTTTTCACCCCCAAACACGCACACACAAACATGTGTGTTGAGGTTCCACAGACGGGCTGTATGATCTATACACGCGCGCGGGGCCGGTGAGCGTTGATGCATGGCTTGCGTCCGGCGAGACGATTGCCCACTGAGATCGACCTTTGCTTGCTGAGAACAGTAAATGGGGTTCGGTGGGGTGAATTTTAAGCTCGTTTATGGCGTGCCCGTGCCCCTTGAGGCTCTGTGCGTGCGTGCGCCGTGAGACGAGTGCGAAGAAAGCGCGAGCGAAATAAGGAGGCCATTGGAGAAACGAATGATTTGACAACTCGTGCCGGCAGAGATTGGAGCAGAGTGCACGAACCGCGACGTTGTCAAATGTGTTGGCACTGACGGGCAGTGACAGGATAAGCAATTTGCGGGTGCACAGAAAGCATGTGAGCGGTGCGACAATGGGTGCACGGAATGCATGTGAGCAGTGCGACAATGGATGCAAAACCAGCATGACCCAGGTCGGCGTCCTCACTCGAAGACTCGAATGATGGCATTGGCACCGGCGGCTGCCAGCAGGAGATGCGAGCTGGTGGTGCTGTGTCGGATGGTCCATTCACAAGTGTAGAAAATCTCTGATCGCTGCAGTTTTCCCAGCATGGACGCACGCAAATGGTAGGGGGGCAAGTGTCGATGAGGACGAGATCGACCGGTCCGATCAGCCAAGCCGGTACTCAGCCAAGCCGGTACTCACATCACGATCAACGTAGACCTGAAGCAGTTGAAGTTGCCCTGGCCGATCTTCAGGTGCCGAATATTCGCACAAGGTGACCTAGCCGCCGCAACATGCAAGCACGCAAAACGTCGGTTGCGGGTTGTGAGAGCTGTGGTCGAGTGAGTTCCAGAAAGCCGAACAATCTCGCCGGGGAAAAGCTCGTACTTGATTGCTGCCGACAGCAGCGGCATAATATCGCGCTGGTGTGCCAAAGCATGCATGCCTGAAACACACACGCACAAAGCTGTAATGAGCTGGGTTGCCCACGTGAAAGAGCCAGGACTGCCGGGCCAGATGGAAGCCCAAATACAAAGAAGCACAACGCACGGGCAAATCTTGACGCCAAACAACTCCTTTTTTTGGTCCAACTGCAGAGCATCGGCCAAGGCAAAGTCGGGCATCGGCTCTCGCCACTGTGCCGGACTCTCCTCCTGCCGCGCTGCCATCTTGAGAGTGAGAGGAAGAAGGCAACTGCCTCTCTATTTTTTTTACTGCCTCTCTCTTCTCTCAAACTCTGTCTCTCTCAAACTCCCTCTGTCTCTCTCCCTCTGCCGCTCTCTCTGTCTGTCTCTCTCTGTCTCTCTCTCTCTCTCTCTCTCTCTCTCTCTCTCTCTCTCTCTCTCTCTCTCTCTCTCTCTCTCTCTCTCTCTCTCTCTCTCTCTTCTCTCTCTCTCTCTCTCTCTCTCTCTCTCTCTCTCTCTCTCTCTCTCTCTCTCTCTCTATCTCTTGACTCGCCAAATGTCAGACATTTTAGGAATTGTCAGACCGGGAGCCAATTGTCAGCGTTTCAGTGTCTTCTCTGAACGCGCAACATCCGACTGGCCTTGCCGACCCTGACGCCTGCCGTTGCCGCACGGTCTTTTCCAAGTGTACCGGGGTGGGCTCGAGTCAAGAGGTGGCCAGCTAGTGCAGGAGGGTTTCGGAAGGGTGACGGTTATAGTCACTGTGGAGATCGACAAGATGCCTGAATTCACACCGCGACCAGCTGCCACTTTGGAACACGATGCGTTGACGGTGCGTGCCCACCCTGCTGGCTTGGTAGCGCCACTGCATTATTCGTGGTGTATGGAAAGCTGATGATCACTGATGGCGTCATTGAACTGCAGGAGGAAGATGTTCCCATGGTTGAGCGCTCGCCATCGGCCAACAAACCCCGGCGCAGGTGAGACCCATCCCTGGCGATCGCCCCACAGAATCCGCCCGGCATCCGACGGCTCCTTCATCCGCAGCTGTTTGGTGTTCATAGCCGGCATGCCTCTGCGACTGATCTCAAGGCGCAAGCATCAGCAGAAGATGTCAGTCTTTAGTCAATTCGCCTGCGTGTCTCTTTGCCTCACTGCAATGCCTACTTTCTGATCCGTGCCGGGCACTAATGTCGCCTGATCCTCATGTCAACCCACCTGCAACTTTTGAAGGGCGTCCCACCTTTGGAATATGCCTTGCAGTTTGCAGCCTACATCAACGGCGCTGCCGACTGTGAAGTAACGCTTGAGGTAGTCATTCAGCATCAGATGAACACCGGTCTGCCTTGTGAGCACTGCGCTGCTGCCCAGCGCTCATGGTCCATGGTATGGTGTTTGCAGGAGGTCATGGCCTTTCTGACAATTGTGGCCACCGCCGAGGTGGCAGAGCATGGGCGCCTCATCGAGTCGGGCACCGTCCAAGCCATAGGGCGATCTATTCTGCGTGGCATCTCGTTTCCCGAAGTCGTGGTCAGTAGCACCAACTCCCAACTCTGCTGGCTCTGTCTGGCTGGGCACGGGATGGACCCTGACCCACGAGTGTCGCTTTTCCAATCATGCGTGTGCTGCTCAACTCGAGAGCATAGGAGCTGGGGTTGTCTGCTCTCTGGAACCTCTCTGCCCTCGTGACCAACGAAGAGCCGCTGCTCAGGGCCGAGGCTGCAGAGACCGTGGCTACTGTGCTTGCCCACGAAGCATGTGTCGACAACCATGACATGCTGGTGCGTGGCCAGGCCCAGATCTACGGGTCTGGAAAGTCATGTATCCAACACCTTACCAACCTTACCACCTTGCTTTTATGATTTACTTGCTTAGGCGCTTGGCTTGGGAGCGCTAGCCTCTATGAGCTGCTCCAATTTTGGACAAGAGTACATGGTTCAGAAAGGGGTTTTTAACAGCATCAATACCCGGATGGAGGCCTACTTTAAAAGTATTGGTCGCCAGCGGCGCACCTCCAGCACTTCCAGCACCGCCAAGGCCAAGGGAACAGAGGCCCCTGCCCGACGGCCCCGTGCAATGAACGTTGAGCGTGCCTTCTGCAACTTCATTTGCAACCTGTGCGAAGGTAAGGGGGGGGCCATGATACATGATTCGAGTCACTCCCCTCCAACTATGCTGGCGCAGGCTCTCCGAAAAAGAGAACGGGACAATTCTCCCAGTTGCCTTGCCTCCACACAATGCTCACGTCTTGGTTCTGCCGCTGTATGAGACAGACCATGAAGCCAACCAGCGTGTTCTGCTGGACTATAACGTTGTCGAGGTGAGCCGACACCGCTGTTATCCGCTTCGAAGACCTTTGGAACGAGCGTTACCCTCGCCTACGACTTATCAATAACTTGAATAGATGCTCTTGGCATGCTTGCGATCGCCCACAAGCGGCGGGGAGAAAACCAAGGCGGAAACCGCGGAACGCCAGGCGGCGGTTCTTTTTGCCTTGGAAAGCTTCATGTTCCTCACACAAACGGATCGTGGCGTGCAAACGCTTCTTGAGCAAAAGGTTCGCTTCTTTTCAGGCTCCGACAGGCCGAACGAGCTGCAGCTGTACTGGAACTCATTTCCAACATCCTTGGTTTCACTGTTTTATCCGTTATTGGTTTATTTGTATGGATGCGTAGAATTTGACAGTCCTGATCACGGCAGCCAAGGCCCATCTGTCCAGCGTGGCCTGCTGCAAAGCCTTTGCGACCATTGTCAAGACCGTCAGCGGGCCTGTGGCTGATCTCGACCGCACTGAACAGGTAGCGGTGCTGCCCATACGCATGTATTCGTGACTCATGGCTCATGGCCTCTGCCTCGCAGCGCCAGTGCTCACTTGCGCGCGTGCATGACCCCCTAGCTGACGACCTTACGCGAGGCTGGCGTACCGGCCTTGTTGAACCAGATGCTCAACGCACATTCCGATGCAACCCTCTATGCTCAGGTGTGCGACGAAATCTCAAGAGCAAAAACATGTTTTGGCAGCTGGCACAGGCACGACAACTCACAATACCTTGACTTTGATGTGAAATCTCAGAGTCGGTCTGCGCTCGCAAACCTAGCGCCGAGCTTTTTCGGTTACATGCAAATGTCAGCTCTGAGTGCTCTCTCTTCCATGGCAGCATATTGGAGCAGTCGCGAGGCAGAAGCAGGGCCAGCACCACCGTCCGTGCTGCCCGCATCAAACCAAGACGGTGACAATTCAACTCCCCGCCAGTCTCAAGCCAACGGCCAGTAGGCTTAATCGACGACCCGGTCAATGCTGACTGGGTTGAAAGTATTTGATGTTTTGACCGTACCTTGCGACCCCATGTGACCAGCGCATGGTTGCCCTTGCCCCATTCGCCGCAGAGCTAAGCCCATCCATGTTTCAAGTATTCTGACGACAACGCGTGCCGTCTACTATTTCGTTTGACCTTTGACGATGCTCGTGATGTGAATTGACGTTTTTTTTTTTTTTTTTTTTTTTTTTTTGAAGTGGTATCAATTTTTATTTTATTTTTTATTTTCTTTTTGAATAAGTCAGTGGTGACAGAGCTGCGCGGCGCAGTGTAAGAGAGGGAATTTGTCTTGTTGGCGGTGAGAGCGCCGGATGAGAACGAGAAGGACGTGCAAAGAAGAGGCTCAAGGTCACAGACGAGACATTCAGCACCTTGACGATGACGACGCCAAAGGACCCAAAGCATGTGATGCTCTTCATCGGGGTCAACACTGGCGCCAGCCGCAGCCGCGAACTCTTTCCGGTGTTTGGCCAGGCCATGGGACTGATCAACGTGGAGCTGCGGGGCGTTGATTTCCCTCCCGATACAGCACACACCGCTTTGCGACCCATTTTGCAGCAACTTCGGGACACACCGCTTATGCGCGGCGCCCTCATCACCACACACAAGCTGGCGGCTTACGAAGCTGGAGCTGACATGTTTGCTTCCTGTGATGATCTGGCTCATGAGTATGGAGAAGTGAGCTGCATCTACAAGGACGAAAAGGGGCAGCTGCATGGCTGGGCGGCTGATTTTGACATCAATCGCTACATTTTGCGCAGCCTCCTCGAGTCGGACCACTTTGCCCGACATGCCAACGCGCGTGCCATTGTCATGGGTGCCGGGGGCGCCGGCTTGTCTGTCGTGCAAGTCTTGGGCGAGCTGTTTCCAAATGTTCGTATCGATTTGACAGACGTGGATGCTCAGCGCTTGGCCTGGGCGCACCGCGTTTGCCAGGCGCGTCAGCAGGTCTCGGTCGTTGACGTGCGTGGCGGCAGTCCAGGCAACGGCGAGCTTATTACAGCCGGCGGACCGGGGTCCTTTGTTGTCAATGCCACGGGCTTGGGCAAGGATCGCCCAGGCTCGCCGCTGGCGGCGAGTGATTTTCAATGGCCTGGTAAGAGGCGCTGGTGCTGCCCCGGCAGCGTTGAAGCTCGTGATGTCGTGCCTTGGATTGCCCTCCACCTCACACCTTGCCTCATGTTTGCAACGATAGATCAATGCGTCGTTTGGGAGCTCAACTATCGAGGTGCTCGTCCTTTCTACCACCAGGCTTTGGACCAAGCCAAAGTGGCCTCCCTCAAGGTTCGGTCTTGCGCTGCTTGTTCGTCTATTTTCTTAGTTAGAGGTGGATGGAACCTGATTTGCCTCAACTGGGTGATGATGACCTCTTCCTCCCTTCTTCCTCTTCTTCTTCCTCTTCTTCCTCTTCTTCTTCTTCTTCTTCTTCTTCTTCTTCTTCTTCTTCTTCTTCTTCTTCTTCTTCTTCTTCTTCTCCCGTCATGCTCGCCGTCTATTGACTGTACACTGCTCGGGGGTTTCTTTAGGTGGAAGATGGCTTTGTCTGCTTTCTTCGAGGCTGGACCACGATCATGGCCAAGGTTTTTGGTGTCGAGCTCACAGACGATCTTTTTGAGCATGTGTGCCAGACCGTACGGACCGTCGACCAAGCTTAAGCTACAGAAGCCCCGATCTCCTATTCGAGGTCGCCAGATGACATAGAATGTCCATAGTTCAAAGAGAGTTTGTCGGACCTCTGTCTATTACTCGTCGAATGAAGAGAGTCGTCAAAGCACGAGGAAGCAGTCACGCCTGTATCGCGTTTCACCACGACTGATGGCTGACTGAAGAATCTAATCGAGATTGAGATTGAGATACGAAGCACTTACATTTCCGACTCCCATATCAAGTCCAGTCTTTGAAGTTCACGGAAACTCATTCGGATCACAAATTCGCATTTACCGAGAGTTGGTTATCTTGGCGTATTTGGGAACAACGATTGAACATGCAGCATTTGGTACACGCCGATCATGTGCTGATGATTGTTCAAATGCTAGACGTCAGCGCGTCGGGTCGAGCCTTCAGCATCCTTGAGTAATCTTCTCATCTGCTTGCAAAAAATGAAAATAAAATAAAAAAAATAAAATAAATTGCAAACTTCAAGAAAAAACCAAAAATCAAGATTTTTTTTCTTGTGTCGGAGCGAGTGCGGATGAGTCCGAGCCAATCGACGGGAGTCGCGGAACAACATGGCGGCAGCTGTTGGAAGCTGTTTGCCGTTGAGTGCAGTGTTTTGCATCGGGCTGGGTGCTTGGGTGGCCGTGAGCGGCATCTTTGCTGAGCTGCCGCTGCTCGTGGACACGCAGCCCGAGGGCTGGGCCTTGGTAGGTGCGTCTGCGGCTTGCTAATCGGCTGCCGTCCCTCGTGTTTCCTCACTGCACGCTCTACGGATGTAAACACGTTGATAGGCTTCGCGATTGACGCTGGCCGTGCAGGCCGGGAACTTGTTTGCCTTTTCCATCGCCGGGGCTCTGCATCTCGGGTGGCTACAAGAGTCTGCCCGCCATCTCGGTGCCTGCATTGGTTGCGCGCTGCTTGTGGCCGCGCTGGCTTGCACCGCCCTGATATGGTTTTATGATCACACGACTCGAGTCGGTGGCGATGAACCTCAAAGTATCACCTTGCTCGCCCTGACTTGCATCGCTTCTATCTGTGATGGCTCAACAACCATCACCTTTGCGCCGTATCTCGCCCACCTCGCGTTGTTGCCGGTGGGCCGTCAGGCCGCAGAAGGTGATGAGGCTGGTGCACTCAGCGTGCTGACTCAAACCGGTCAGCGAGTCACGCAGGCCCTCTACGTGGGATCTGGCTTTAGTGGGCTGCTGCCCTCCATGGTCTCTTGGATCCAAATGCCCCGCCATGACCAGCGCAATTTTGGACCACCTTACTTCTTCCTAAGCCTGGCGCTGCAAATGGTGCTCTCCATGCTGGGTCTTGGCTACGTGTCCTTTTTGCTCAAGGGGCGCCAACACCCACCAACCCCGCAAGCTATCAACCATCCTGAGGCCGCCAACGCTCGGCTCGTGCACGGAGACAGCGAGGCAGATCTGATGATTGAGGAGCGCGAGCCTTTGTTGGATGCCAAGACACCTGCGTTGCGCCCGGCTACTTTTATGGCGCACTGGCCAGAGTGGTCCTTGTTTGTGGGCGCAAGCATTCTTTTGAACGCAGCCTTGCCCGCGGTGCTTAGCTATGCCGCTGGACGCTACGGCGGCAACAGCTATCACACGGCACAGACACTGCTCCTAACATTGAATCCGGTCGCCAGCTTTGTGCCACGCCTGCATGGCATGGTGTCGCGTCGCTTCCACGGCCTAGCCTTGGCTGTCAGTGCTGCCCTGACTGCTTATGTTGTGGCCATTGCGGTGCCGACAGCCGCAGCGGGCCCAGAGGCTTTGTTGCATGTGGCTGTGGCTGCCAGTTGCTTCCTGTCACAATGGATACAGACCAGCTTGCTGTCTGAGCTGTTGTGGTACCAACAAATGTGCACACAAGCCTACCCACGCCTCTTGTTCTGGGCTGGCGTGATGGTGCAGGCCGGTGCCGCCGTGGGGGCCCTCCTGTTCTATGTGCTGGTCAATCACACGTCCATCTTTGCATCATAGTCCAAAGCTCGTGGTCTTGTTTAGCAGATTAGGCATGCATTCCAGCTGTGTGTGTGGGGTTTTAGAAAGACCCGCAGCGCGGAGCGGATATTTTTGATTGACCTGTGAATCGATTTTCGTTTGAGACACACGTTGACACGATGGGCTGGCTCTGCAGCCCTGCCAACGCGGCGTATCATTACAACTGTAAAGGAGGCTGAGCCGGAGGGGGTAGAAGCCGGCGGGTATGTCTAAAAAAGATAGAGACGAGGCTTTGGTATCGCGCCGGCGCTTGGGGCGTTTGTATCAAGACCTAAGGATGAATCACCAAGCACGAAGCTTCTTATTTCATCTGCTCGGCAACCTTGAGCTTCTCCTGAAGTCCACGCTTGTAAATGCGAATGCAGGCCGATCGCTAGCAAAAGAGTTTAGGGGCGAGAAAGTAAAGTGAGCGCGGACGAGCAGGCGCCGAAAGAGGCGAGCGGAGAGACAGCGGAAGAAGCAGAGAGGCAGGAAAAGGAAGAAAGGTGGGAGAAGAAAGGCGGAAGGAAACAACTCGAAGGGCAGAGTGCGGGAGGGTAAAGGGGCAAGGCAATGGCGCGCCGCACCTCACGCTGGCCGCGCTTATCAGTAGGCTTGATGAAGCGCTTCTTTTCACGGAGCTGGGACGCGATGCCATCGCGCGAGATCATCTGGTTGAGCATCGAGACGGCCTTCTCAGGCGTCATGCCAGGAAACATGACCACGGTGCGACGCAGGCTCATGTTGCCGGTTCAGCTCAAGTTTCTATCGGTCGTTCCAACCGGGAGGACTCAGCTACAAGGTCCCGCACAAGTACAGTAGCGCCACCCCCGACCGCCAGTCGTGTGTGTGTGTGTGCGTGTCCCGTAAACTCCGTGCTCTGCATAAAAAAAACTCGTGTGTGTGTGTGTGTGTGTGTGTGTGTGTGTGTGTGTGTGTGTGTGTGTGTGTGTGTGTGTGTGTGTGTGTGTGTGTGTGTGTGTGTGTGTGTGTGTGTGTGTGTGTTGTGTGTGACCACGAGCAACAGGAAAGAGTGAGAAAAACAAGTTTTAAAATAGAGAATCAGTTGGGAATATCTAAAATTAAATTTCTGTTCGGTTGTGGGTGGGGTGTTGAAGGACACAAGTGGCTCAAGCAGGGACCAAAGCTACGGCGATGCAGGTGGGGTCAGGAGCCAGGGGAGAATGAGGGTTGGATTGCGAGGGAAGGGAGAGAGCAAGACATCAACTGGGACGCTGGAATCGCAGGTAGCGCAAACGTACCAGGGCTGGATTGCTTCGGCGATGATTCAGGTTCTGACTGCGCAGCAGTCTCAGTTGCCGTTGCAGAGGGATCCGCGGTAGGAACAGATGGCAGTTCGTCAGCCTGAAGCAGAGCTTCATCATCCATGAGCTAGAGGACAAAAGGGTGAGATGGAAGGTGAGCGGGAAGGTGGGCGCAGGAACAGGCCGACGCTGATATTGCAAAGCTTGACAATGCACGGCTCATACGTCATCCAGTTCAGCCATGAGGGCATCTTCATCCTGCTGATCAATTGACGTGCCCAGCAAGCCTGCAACTTCCTGTAGCATCCATGAACAAGGGGTGAGCAGAAGGGTTGAGTTGACAGTTTGGCTTGGTCGCGATGGTAGCAATTGCAGCCAGTTCAGCACAGGGTACAAGTGTAAATTTTTGAAGCTCGAGGGTGACACTCACGTCGGTCCAGGCTTGGAGCTCACTGGCGTCTTCCATGACACGCTCAACCCGCTCAATATCCAGCTCTGCCTGCAAGGCCTTGAGGGCTTCATTGCCGGCTTCAAGACCATTGATCACGTCCTTCTCAATGCTACCAAACTCGATGCGCTGTACCATGTCATCCAGGTTATCAAGCTGGCCCTCTGTCTTTTGAAGCAGGGCTTCTTGATACTTTTTGCGGCGGAGCACGAGCTTGGCCCGTCTAGTACAAACAACCATCAGGACATGGTGGGTCGGGGACAAAAGCATAGCAAGGTAGCAGCGTTGAGTGCGAAGCAGAAGACCGAAACTGACTCGCGATCCTTGGCGGCCAGACATTTCTTGGCGATTTGACGCTCTTGCTCGAGCACTTGTTGAATCTACGGGTCGATGCGCAGATGGGTGTATGTCATGAGCAAGGCAGAAGTGGCACACCGGCAGCAAGGCGGCGCACACCTTTTTTTGATATTGCTTCAAGCGGTCGCGCTGGTTTTTCAGTTTCTATGAAGGAACGCCGTGATGCACGTCAATTGGTTCCAAAGCCAAGCAAGCTCGCCAAGGACAACAAGGCTAGGCCAATTGCGCGGCGGTGGCACGCCATGCCTCGGCGTTGGCAGTCGCGCGCGACACATACCAAGATGGCTTTGTCCTGTTCCGTGACCCGAGAGGGTGCGGGTGCCGGCTTTTTAGAAGAGGAGAAGAGCCCACCCATGATGCGTGCGTGTGGGCGTGCGTGCGTGTGGGCGTGCGTGCGTGTGGGCGTGTCGACGTGATCCAAGCTATTTCAAGGCCGTTGGTCCGGAGGTGTCGTCATGAGAGCACACACAAGCTGATTGTCAAAAATCACACACACACACACACACACACACATACACACACACACACACACACACACACACACACACACACACACACACACACACACACACACACACACACACACACACAAAAGAAAGGTTGATTCACAAATTAGAAAACAAGAGTTTGGCAAAGTGCGCGCAGGAGGTCTGAAAAGAAATTGTCAATTGATTTCGTAGAGTATGAGATTCGTGGTCGTAGGGGTTGCTGGGCACACATGCAAAGGACACACAATGCAAGGAGGGGTTGGATAACAAGAGGGCAAGGCAGGGAATCTACGCTAGCACTTGATAATATGTCGAGGGCACGTATCCTTGTGATCCGTCGGACTATGTGTTATTCCAAAGGTGAATGATGGGTACGAATGGTGAGCATGAGGCATAGCCTGCTGATGAAACGAAGCACACGTGGCTTACCTTGGCCGCAAGGGCCCAGCCGGAGCCGTCATCTTGCATGAGGAAGACCACTTCTCCAGCTACAACGGGCAGCTCGCCTTGATTGGAGCCGGCAAAGTCATACATGATTTGAATGCGCGGCGGCGCTGGCGCAGCAGGTGCCGCCGGCGTGGCTGGAGCTGCTGCTGGGGTTGATGCCGCCATGGGTGTACTCGGTTCGTAGGCGTCACCATCCACCATCGACGGGCGCTTATCCTGTCACCAAGGCCCCAAACCGCCAAGCACACGACATCAGAAATAGTACACGAAGAAAAAGTGCGATAGGACAGCCTTGAGAATGAGGCGTACGCAAGAGCACATTGGAAGGGTCAACTGACCAATTTTCGCTGCACGCGTGGCGAGTTCTTTTTTGCGGATTGACGATTGGCCATAACTTCATCAAAGGGAATATCACCGGGTTGCGGCTGACCCGTTTTGACGGCAGCAGCAAAGCTGGCGGCGTCTGATCCCTTGTCAAAATTGCGGCAGCTGCCCTCGACGCCATCGATGGCACGCAGCTCACTCTGAGCAGCCTGGCGCAAACACGCCACGGTCTGCAGCGGGGGCCAAGCGGCGGCCGTGAGCCGGGGCACAATTGATGGGATGCATGCATCCCTAGCACAGCCCCAATCGAGAGGGAAAAAGAAAAGGCAGCATGGAGGGGGAACTGGACAATATGTCTGTGATAGATACCTGGTTGATTTGATTGACCACACCCTCGGCCCGATTCTCATCCATGGCTTGGAGACTGTCAAATACGGCGGGCATGTGGGAGTAGTAGATGACGGTGCGTTCGCGATTGAAAGTGTCCAAATCCTCGCACAGCTGTCGCTCGGCATCCTCGCGGGCCTGAGCCTTGGCCGCATATTCGCGACGCGCCTGGTCGATCTTTTTCTTCTTGTCCACTTCGCTCATCTCGATCTTTTCATACGCCACCTTGGCTGCAACGGCATCCTTCTCGACCTTGTCATACGCTTTCTTGCACTGTCACAAGCCACGCGCCAAGGTGAGGTGAAACGCACCAGCATGGCCCGTTGTTGGCGAACTCGCCCAGTTTGGAGAGCAATCGCACCTTTTCAAATGTGGCAGCGTGTTTCTGTAGATCGTTTTGCAACTGCGCGACTTGCTTGAGCAATTCACTTCGCTCCTGTGTCTTCTCCTTGATCAGGGTGCGCAGGGGCTGGCAGACCTCATTCATAATGGACACCGAGGCTACATCCCGTGCATTGGCAGCATCGCCAACCATGCCAACCAAGTCCTGATCAAGAGAGGGGGTGAGGCACGACGTGCGCGCTCAGACGGACCAAGCCCTTTTACGAGCGCAGCGGGTGTACAGGGCACGGACCTTCCAGCACTGGGCGAACATGGGGGAATGAGGATGGACATTGAGAGTGGGCTCAAACTGCTTGGTCAGAGCAAGCAGCTTACTCGCGCTCTCCTTCTCAATCTCAGCCACCTATGCCGGAACCGGGAAGCAAGTCAGAGACAAGTCCAGCCGTCCTCACGACGCCGATCGGGCGAGACGGGACGGGGAAGTGGGGTTCAAACATACCTTTGCTGCAAACGTGCGCACTTGAGAGATGAACTGGATGCCCTCATCGGTCTGCACTTCGATGGCCGCAATGCAGTCCCACAGTTCCGTGCCCCAGACCATGTCGACGGTTTCCAACAGTGAGTGAGCACCCGACCCTCCTTCTTCATCCAAAAGAGAGAGAGAAGTTGTGAGGAGAGAGAGAGAGAGCGAGAGCGAGAGAGAGATGAATTGAGTTTGAGAGAGAGTTTGAGAGTTTGAGAGTTTGAGAGAGAGAGTCATGAATTGAGAGAGGAAAAGCGAGAGAGCGCGTCCAACTGGACATGGGGGGATATTTAAAAGAAAGTAATTTACATGTACATTTGACGCTTACGTTTCAGTGGTCGAACGCAGTGAGCATCAGTTCGTCAGTGGCTTATGTTTGTGTTTTTGTTTTTTTTTTTGTGAAAAATGATGCGTGTGGCGGCTGTGTTGGCTGTGGCGGTGGCCCTGGTTGCGGCGGTGATCGCGGAAGAAACGGGCGGAGATGATGCGCCCAGGCCGCACATCTTCATGGTGATTGTCGACGATTTCGGCTGGGCAGGTGAGGCTAGTTGCAGATCTTCAGCACACGTTTCTTGTTTGGCTCGTTAGTTGATCACTGCCATTGGGCGGGCTTGGGCTTGATAGAGGTCGGCTATCATCGGAGCGAAGAGTACAAGCAAGACGTCCAAACTCCCACCATTGACGCGCTAGTGCAGGAGGGCATCGAGCTCAATCGTCACTACGTGCATTATGCCTGCACGCCGAGTACGTCGACTTGAGCCCTCAGTGTTGTTGATGGAGCATTCGCTCACGCCCACAACTCAACTGATCTTCTCGCACAGCACGGACTTCTTTCCAGTCAGGCCGCCTGCCCGTCCACGTCACCACTTCACTAGCAGATCCCTGTCAGCCAGGCTGCGGCATGCCTCAAAACATGACGGGCGTGGCCGAGCACCTTCAAAGTGCCGGGTATGCCACCCATTTCGTCGGCAAGGTATCCGCCTAGTCCCCCACGACCACACAATCAGGTTGCATTTCTGATCTCTCACCGAGACGATGTAATTGAAAAAAAAAAAAGCGCTTGATCCGTGGCCTTATCTCACGTGAATGGATCTTTACCTTGCAGTGGGACGTCGGCATGACCACGCCTCAGCACACACCCAAGGGCCGTGGCTACGACACCTCTCTCAACTATTTTGGTTCGTTACTACCTTGCATCCTCGGATCAACCCCCCCCCCCCGGAGGTTTTTATGGCACCGTACAGCTGACAACTGTCTTGGGTTTTTTTTTGTTGACTTGCCCTGCCATTGTTTGAATCATGTTTAGGCCATGGCAACTGGATGTGGAGTGAGGCTGAATGGCAAGGTGCGATGACCGCCATCATGGGTTGACAGATAGCTCCATTCCCAGGTTCACTTTCCGCGCAAGGGCTCGGGTTCACGGCTCTCAATCTCTTTCTCATAGGCTCATATAACCATCGCTCGGATCTTCCCCCTTGCGAGCCTCCTGCCTGCTTCAAGGACTTTTGGGAAACCGACAAGTATGCCATCCTGAACTGCCGCCCACCCGCGAAGGCAATATGAAGATAGGCCTCTGAGACCCGTGCAGGTCCTTGAGCTGTTGGCATTGTTGTATTCATGCATGTATGGTGGATAGGCCTGCCGCAGAGCTGAACGGCACACAGTATGAAGAGGCCATCTTCCGCGACCGCGTCTATTCAATCCTGGAACAACATGATCCTAGCACACCCTTGTTTCTCACCTATGCTTCAAAGGTCGGTCACTACTGACTTTCATCCAACCAAAAGCAAACGAACAAACAAACCAACAAACAAACAACAACTTGCGCAGCAGATTGCGGCTTTCGAATCGCTCATCCCTGTACGGGGTTGCCTGTGCGACGTCGCTTTGCTGCTTGTGGCAGGTGGCGCACTACCCGCTCCAGGCACCGATTGAGTACCAGGAGAAATTCTCTTTTATCGAGGAGCCACACCGTCGCGTTTATCACGCCATGGTCGCCTTTCTTGACGACAACCTGGCCAACTTTACCAGCCTGCTCAAATCCAAGGGCATGTGGAACAACACTTTGATGGTACACGGATAATGTGCACGATGTTCTTGCGACCAGTTCGTTCGGGTGTGGCTAAGACGTGCCAACTCCTTGTCCCTAGGTTTTGACCTCCGACAATGGAGGCTATGTCAAGTCATTCTGTGCGTCCACTGTCGCGCCTCGACGCTGATGCTTTGCATGTCAACTTGATCGTGCTCATGTCCGCGCCGTGTTGCACTCGGATGCCTGCGCGCGCGCGTGCAGTGGGTGACTGTGATAACAACACATCCCATGGTTATGCGTGCTTCAACGGCGAGGCTGGTGCAAGTGCGTAGATCAATTTCGGGGGGTTTCAGCAGCACAAGACCAAAGCATGCTCATATCACTCGTATCGCACCGTTTCTTCTGTTTGACCGTATGGATGCGGCAATATATTGGTCCTGTCTTGAAATGGCTCGGCGCTTGGTGCGGCCTCTCTTTCAGATAGTGCGTGAGCCCCTTTGGCCCGAGTTTGGATCTTACGCACACTGGCAGTGCGAATCCCTTGATGCTCACTTGTACTTGGCGTTGTAGACTATCCATTGCAGGGGGGCAAGTACTCAACCCTGGAGGGTGGTGTGCGGGTGAATGCTTTTGTGTCGGGCGGATTTGTGCCCGAAGAGCGTCGTGGCACTCGTGAGGATGAAATGGTGCATGTCGCCGATTGGTGTGTCATGATGCGAGGCGCAGTGCTTGTCGTGCCCGACCGCCCGTGTTCATAGTCTTGGGTCTGCCCTGGGTTTGGTTGTAGGTACGCCACTTTTGCAGCGCTAGCCGGCGTGGACCCGACCGATCATCGTGCGGCCCAGCACAATTTACCGCCCATCGACTCGCTCAACATTTGGCCTCTCCTTTCCGGGGCCAATGTGTCATCACCTCGCCAAACGCTGCTCATTGACCCACACGCCCTCATCTGGGGTAAATGGAAGGTTTGTGACTCAATCTAGAACGAGCGAAACCCTGCAGTTGTTGAGTATCCTGTAACCAGTCTTTCTGAAGGAAAGGAGATGGCCATCTTGACTTGACGTGGTGCATGCGGGGCCTCAGGTTTTGCATGGTAATGTCATTGAGGCCAATTGGGGTGGTCCGCAGTATCCCAATGCTTCGACCGCCGACGATCCCATCGAAAACTACTCGCGCAACTGCAGTCAGGTACATATCGCATTCCAAGCTTCACATGATTTGAACGCAAGACTCGCCTGGCATCTGAGCGTCGTGGCTTGCGTTGTTCATCGTCCAGGGCTGTCTGTACAACGTGCACGATGATCCTTCCGAACGCACGGACCTAGCTGCCAGTGAACCGGAGCAGCTTCAGACCATGCTGCAGATGCTTCAATTGCAAGCGCAGTCGATATGGAGCCAACCCATCGGTACGGTCTGCATGTTGTTGGCAACCACTGCTCTGTTGAAGCGGATAGAGAGAGTTACTGCACTTGTTTTCGCATCTCAACAACGAGGCCTGCTACTGTTGCGTACGGAATGCAGGCCAGATTGATCCTGCCTGCAGCACGGCGGCCATGGATCGCTACAACGGCTTTATTGGGCCATGGCTGGATGTCGATGGACAGCTGCTTTGAGATCAATCGCGTGTGGACCTGCCAAGCTTGGCTGTGATTTCAAGTTGAAAATTTTAGATTCTCGAGAAAAAAAAAAAAATACAAGTTTGATGATGAAATCATTTACATGTTAGAAGACAAGCAGAACTGGGGTTCCTAACAGTCGATTCAATAGTCGGGGTTGTGGCCCATGTCAATCAGAAGAGGCGCGAGATTTGGCAGTCAAAAAAGAAAAAATTAGAACAAGGCAGAGCCAATTAGCACAGTTATAGCTACAAACAAGACAAAATAGGGGTAAGACCATCGAGCAGGTGGATGGAAGGAAAAATGCCCATGGCCACACACACACACACACACACACACACACACACACACACACACACACTCACTCACACAGCGTGCTTCGCTGAAAAAGAAAAAAAAAAAAATCAAGTGCGAAGAAAAAAAGCAACTAAGGGACATTTACTTGGGTGCCAAGGGCTATGTAAAATCAGGTTGTACCAACAAGGTGGCACGAGAGCTAGGCATCGAAATAGGCATGGTTCTCAGTATTGACAGGTTGTTGATGTACGCGCGCGCTTTTGATGATCCATTGGCGATCATGAGTGCGCAGTGACGGCAGTCATTTGAAGACGGGCCTCGGCTGCTTGGGCGCGCTGCTCGGCAGCCTCAGCGCGTTGCTCAGCCAACTTGGCGCGGAGTTCGAGGTGTTTGATGCGGATGGATACGTCTTCGTCCGGTGTGAGACGTGATTCGCGGCGCTTGATCGAACTGCGCTTGACCGAGGGCTTGCGCGATTGAGAGAGGCGGCTGGCGAGGCTGAGCGGTCGCAGAGCGTTGCAAATCCGATCCCGGTCCTCGCTGCTGGTGATGCCAATGGACTTGAGATCCTGATCACTGACATCCCAGAGGGCTTGCCAGCTCAGAAATTCGTTTTCAACAAAGTTGATCGTGTAGTGCTCGAGCTCGAGGGCGGCCAGCCACTCGCGGATGGGAGCGCGGCCCATGGGAAGTGGAGGCGGCGTCAGTTCACGCCGCAGCATGCTGACAGCACTGTACTCGGCAAAGTCGTCCGTCTCTTCTTCGTCTTCGTCCTCGCTGAGGAAGATGTTCTCGAAAATGGTCTCGTCCCGGCTGATGCGGTAGGATTTGCGGCGATATGCCTCTTCGGCGCTCTCGTACATGGGACTGATGGCACGCTGTGGAAGGGGCAGGCGAGAAAGAGAAAAGTGAGCTTGCGAGCACGCGCACAAAAGATTGTGTGGTCTGGCGAACCCAACGCTGGACTGGTGCAAACGGCGAGACATACGTGATGACGACGCAGAACAGGTTGCTCGACATCAAGCGTAATACCTGGAGGGGGGGGCGAGCAAAAAGGGAAGCAAAAGCAACCAAAGGAGAGGCGAGTGAGGCGCGTGAGGGTGGATGTAGAGCGTCTGCTTCAACGGGTCGAAAAGAAGGGGCAGGCGTACCTTGCTCATCAAGGGAATACGTAGACAGACGATCATGAGCCAGGCAGGCGAGGCGGCCATTGCATTCGACAGCCTTGGAGCCTTCAGTCAAGAGCTGTATCACCCCAAAGGCATGGACAGGTTGTTGGCGTGAGTGAGGGGGGATGTGTTCCCACAGGTAAGGTCGTTAGAGGAAGCCACCAAGTGGGACACTTACGCAGGAGCAAATGGAGCAGCGGCAGCAGTCACGATGGCGAATATGGCCTTTGACGTAGAGGAAATCCTCTTCATCGAGGATGGGCAGATTGCACTCATCGCAGCGAAAGGCTTCTTGGTCGGTGTCACAGTCCAAACCGGGGGTGGCGCGATTTTTGAAGCACGTCGTACAAAGAGCTTCGCCACTGCGAACGTGATAGGGCTTGCCATCGAGTTCGTCGTCGCACTGAGCACAGCGAAAGCAGGCTGGATGCAAGAGACCCAGGCCTTGGGCGGACACGGCGGTGTGAAAGATGGCCTCGTCGCAGAGCACACAGTACGGCGCGCTGGGGCGCAGGCTCTGCTTGACGGCTTCAATGGATCGCTTCATTTCGGCTTGCATGTGTCGAGACGCGGCAGACAAGGGCAGCACCAAAGGCCGTTGGCAAAGGTCGTGCCAGAGAGGAAGGGTGGCGTCGGGGCAGACAGGAGAAAATGCCAGTGTGTAATGGGCCACTAGGTGGTGGTGGTGGGTGGTGGGCAGCGTGGGCTCGAGGCTTGAAGTTCAAGTGCTCACCGATTGCAAGACGAAGCCGGGTTGTTTGGTGGTGCAGGGGCAGGGGGTTGGGGGGCAGGTGTGGCGTGTGCAAGAGGAGTGCGTGAGGTAGATGGTGTCATAGACCAAATGGGTGTATGTATACGGCGGGCTATGCTATTTGCTATTTGGCGGTTGGGCATGATGCATACAGGCCATGAGTAGGAGAGCCAACCAATCCGTTCCACAGAGAGAGAGTGTTTGAGAGAGAGAGTTTTGAGAGACGATGGCTTCAGAGAGAGAAAGCTAGCCTAAACGAAAGAGGGTTTGAGAGAGTTTGAGAGGTTGAGAGAGCGAGAGGTTGAGAGGGAGAGAGAGTGCGGGGTTGGGGGGTCCTTGACCGCTCGTGATCCGTAGATTGGATCAGTGGTGTTGCAGCACATTGTTGATTTTGGCTCAAGCGGCCTTCTGTGTGGATGGCTGTGCAAACTCCCATTTCTCTGCGGGAGATGCATGACTCAGTCTTCATCTCTGGATTGTGTTTTGGTTTGCAGAGGGGTTGATGCCAAGTGAATATCAGTTCTCTGAGCCACCAACAGGAATACCAAGCACTCTCTAATCTCAACTCGATGGTGCCCACCTTCTCTGAGATTGTATGTTTTGGTGTGGAGACTGTTTCTGCTGCACTCGTTTTGGTATGTTCATGTCCTGACCTTGCAATTCTATCCTGGGTCATTGGACAGATAAGGACATCTGTCATTCGTTGTCGAGGACCTCCAGCAAACAAACGACAATCCCGAATCAGCACGAGCGCCGCCTCGCCCTACTTGAAACATCTAAATATAGGCGACGAAAGGTACCCAAGTGCCTCCCAAGTTGCTCCCAAGCACACAACTCTCCATATGACCCCACATGGCCCCACCAAAACACCAAAACACACCAGCGCGACACAATGGTGCTCGCTCGTGCGCCCGCCCGAAGTTTCCTTGGTGTGAGTGTGCTGCTGTGTTTCCTTCCATTCCTTCGGCTCTGTTCCGTTCCGTTTCAACGGCAAAACGACAACTGCCGCCAGCCAGATTTGCGGGCACTCACTCGGCTTCCTTGTCCTCTCGTACTCTGCATTCCCGCTTAGTGTGAGCACCTCACGAGTTCTCTCATAACAATGCCATAACATGGCTGGAGCGGGCATAAATTAGCTCGTGTGTCGAGGCAGCAAGTCTGGGACGAGGTTGTAAAAGGAAGGGCATGTGCAGCATGAAACTTGGTCTTGAGGACCTTTGTCGCACGCATTCACTCGCATCCACCTTGTCCGAATCGTTTTGTTTGCATCATTGGGCTCGCGCTCGGCGCCCCACCGAGTTTCCGCCAAAAGTCTCAAAGCAACGCCTCCACACCAGTGTTTCCCTTCTTCCTTTCCTATTATTCTCCCTATTGTCCCTATTCTCTCTCCGCTTATGCTTGCTCGCTTCCTAGCTTCCTTCTCGAGTCACCTGACTTTTTGCTGTGCTGCCTCGATGGAAAAGCTCAACCAAGTGTCTCAAGTGTCTGGACGGTGTTTTGGTGGCGTGTTTGTGCAGAACTGTGCTCGGCATCACGCACCCCCTCTAATCTCGGAGCAGGAGCAGAAAAAAGTCAATCTTGACGCCCGGCGGTATGTTGGTCTGTTGGCGTAGGGGTGGGCTTCGTCATACATGGCGTCATGAGTCCCCATAAAGGTTGCCACTGTTTCTCTTCACTTGTCCTTACCGTCCAAACAGCACAGTCACCAAGAGCAACACCAACAACACCAACAACACCCCAAGGTAACGATCCAAACCGTCAGACTGACAATAGGGGGGAACCGATGGAGAGGGCTGCGGTGTGACGCATCAATTCACATGTCAGTCAGAGTCCTTACATCCAGGCCAGAAACCAGGCCGTCCACGACTGGGCGACCGGGACGGCTCGGCGAAAGACGTAGAGCCGCTCGTAGCAGCGCGAAAACGGCGCCAGGTTCTCGCGGTGCACGCAGTCCCAATCGGCTTCTAGCGTGTCGAAAAACTCTTCGTTGGCATTGACACCGCCCCGTGCCTCACCCACATAAATGAGGTAGCGACCCTTGTAACGGTCCAAAGCGCGCTGCGCCATGTCCGAATCGGGTGGATACACCAGCAAGAGCGTCCGGTACGGGTACCAGCCGAGCTTTTGCTCGTCACCGGAATAAACCTTGCCCACGGGTTGATTCGAGGGCTGCAATGAGCTCTCGTTGTCAAAGGCCACCACATTGGCGCCAGCCTCTGTCAGTGCTCGTTGCCATTGTCCTACCCAACATGTGCAATTGTCAAGCCCCAAACAAACGATGGTTCGGGGTGCTGGGGGCAAACATGTGAGAAAAACGTTTACCCAGCAAACACACCTTGCCCCGCGCCCAGCTCCACAATGGGCGAAAACTCCTTGATCAGCTCCAGAGCAGAGTCGGTCCAGCGGGCACAGCCATACGTGTCCAAATACGCCTGTCGCGCGTGAGGCTCGACCACACCGTAGAGGATAATCTAGCCGCATGCTTGTGGTGAGCTGCCCGACCCCGGCGAGGTGGGAAATAAAAACCATTGAGGTAGTCTGGGCATACCTGAGTGTCGCGCAGCACATCCTCGCGAAACTTGGCATACAGCTCGGCCCGCTTGAGGTCGTCCGGTTCAGAGGCCCCCAGCTAGTGCATTTGGATCGAGAGAAAATTGAGGGCGCCCACCAGTCCTGCCACCCACCCACGTTGATATGCGCAGCGTATCCAAGTGTGATGCGGCTCTTGAACAGACCTTGATAAACTTTTCGCGCATCTCCGCCATGTACTGGTGCAGCTTGACAACATCTCGCTCGCGTTGCTCGAGTCCTTGCTGCAGCTCCGGGTCGTCCAAGGGCGCATGGATGGCTGGGGCATCATCAAATCGGGTGCGGCAACCGGCTACTAGTACTCCAGTTGCCGCCACCCCAAGGCCCACACCCACTGCTGTTGGCAGCCAGCTCCTCCGCTGGCTCGGGCCTGCGTAGCTGGTTGCCCGCCGACCAAGCAACGGGGCGCTGCGCCACGCCGCGCGTACAGCTTGCATCATGATAAACGATACCCCACGCCTATACAGAGTAGCACACCCACACGGGCGCTGCGTCAACGGCTCGCAACCTTTCCCAGTGGACCATGAAACGGCACAACCAACTCGGAACTGCAACGCTGCCGTTTCGTCTCTACACACACACACACACACACACACACACACACACACACACACACACACACACACACACACCAAACGAGAGAACGAACGAAGGAAACACGTACCTATGCGGAAGTCTAACAAATATCACACTATACCTGTACGTGTTAGTGTGTGTGTGTGTGTGTGTTGTGTGTGTGTGTGTGTGAGTCAGTTCTCTTTCTGACAAGAGAGAGAGAGAAAGAGCGAGAGAGAGAGAGCATGGCGGTCGTTGGACCAGTGGCACTGGGCCGGCGGCGGGCTTGGCAGCAGCGTGCTGGTTGGGCCTGGCTGTTGGCTTTGGTGGTTTTGGGAAGCTGCTCTGTGGTTGTGGCGCGTGATAGTGTGATTACGGAGCTTCAGCCGACCTGGCAAAGCACGCCTCTGCTTTTGGAGGCCAGGTTGGTGCATGTTTGGGCCGGCCACCTGGGTTTGGTCATCCAGACAGATCTCATGCTTCATGCTGGGGTGTGCAGTGAGTTGATGGCTGATAGCCATGCGCAACGCTTTTGGGGCCTAGTGGAGGCAAGCCAATCGGCCCATGCTCTCGGCACGGATAAAGGTAGGCTGAAGTCGGCGGTCCCGCGTCATTCTGAGGCAACGCTAGGCCTCACAGACCTGCTGCCATGTGTCCACGTCATGGTGCGCAGCCATCTACGATCATGTTCTCGCTCACGCACAGAGCGAGCTCAACGACATTGCTTTTGACGTCTTCAAGGTGCTTTGCTCAAACACTCGGAAGGCTTTGCTTGCCATGCTTTCGCTGGCGAACCAAAGCCCCTGATGTTGGCCCAAGCAGATCTCATGTGTGCCAATCGTGACCAACTGCTTTTATAGCTGAATCTGGCATCCCGTAGCGCGTCCCCAGCCGTTGCCATGCAGTTTCAGTTGGCCACAGAGGCCCTTCGAGCGCACCCATCCCTGTGAGTCTCGTCTTTGACTCGAGCAAGTTTGACATTTTTTTTCCATCGGTTTACCCTCTCACCGCATGGGTCCCTCGTGAATTGGCCTGCGCCCTGCACGGATCCTCTTCGATTTGGTCATGATAGGCAGAATTGCACTTCATTTGTGACACTTGGTGCCGCCGCGACATGTGATGCAACTGAGCTTGAGGATCTCATCACTCGAGCCCAGACCAGTGCCACCACAGACCCCACTTTGTCCGTTTTTCCGTCGTGCCCCCTTGGCCGCCTGTGCCCGCCCACCAAATTTCCTTCTTGTTTTAATGCCCGTGTGTGTTGTCCTGTTATTCATCCCTACCAGCTTGTTGGATGTCGATCATCAATACCCCGAGGCCCCAGACCGGGAAGCACCCCGTGCCTTCCTTTATGCCGAACTGGGCGCACCTGATTTTGCGGCACGTGGCCTTTCTCTGTCGCTTCGAGCCGATCGGAGTGCCACCTGACGTCTGCATGTGTGCCAACAAAAATGTTTGGCACATATCGAGGCATGTCACTCGATCTGCTGCCTTCTTATCATCTCCTTGCCCCCGCCCCCTCCCCTTCCTCCTGTTTAGGCATGGCATCAGCGTCTCGTCAAGCTCCAACAAGACGGTCGCATCTTGTACATCCTGCGACACTATCGCCGAGATCACGGTACGGCCCGACCCTACTCATTAGCAAATGCATTCTGTCACAACATCTTGCTAAACCTTTGAATCCACCTGCAGAGCAAGATGGTCCAATCCGGCTCAGCGGCTGGGGTGTTGAACTTGCTGTCAAGAAGACTGAGTACATTGCCACGGACGATTCCGCTGTCGAGGGTACGAGTTTTCAGTCGTGCGCCGTCTTCTTCGCTGCCGAAGCTTCGATTTCATTGGCCATTTGTGTGCGTGTCCGTGTGCGTAGAGGATGTCACCGAGGCTCTGGCCGACGAGGCAGTTGAGGATGAGGATCAAGTGGCGGGATTCGATTTTGCTCAGTGCGTACATCAACAGCTTTATCCATTGACCAATGGGCCGCCTCTCGCCAAAGCTGCAGCCCAACCTGCATGCATATTGGGTTGGCAGAGTAACATTCGACAATCGCACCTGTTCTTCTTCGTGTAGACTCCGTGCTTTGCACCCTGACCAACAGGAACACCTCGCTCGGCTGCAACGCCAGCTCTTGGAGACCCCCATCGAGATTCATCCTCTCAAGGTTTGCCCTTGCCCAACCACTCATGGTCACCCTCTCGAGCACGTTGCGACTCACCACCCGCATCCCGCTGTGGTTGGCTGCTCGCCCATTTAGGCTTGGGAGCTACAGGATATTGATCTTCAGGCCGCGCAGCGCGTCCTTGAAGCTGCGGACCCAGTTCAGACTCTGCAGGCCATCACGTCAGTCCCAAAATCAACCACGCTGCTCACCGTCGGCTACAAACACCTTTTTTTTTTTTTTTTTTTTTTTTGTATCCTCTTCTCTTGCTCATTGCCCACTGCTGATGACCGGCCCCGTTTAGGTCCAATTTTCCCACCATTCAGCATGTTCTGGCTCAAAACAAGCCCAATGAGACCATCAAGCAAGAGATTGCCATGAATCAACAGGTCCGTTTATAGTTTTGTTTCGTTCTGCTCTTCTCTGCCACCGCTTGTGATTGACGTTAGAAGCAGAGCCTTTGTCTTGTCTCGTGACCTGATCGCTTTTTTTACGATGCCGCTATCCCAAATCTTGACAGTCATTGCAATACGTGGGGCTGAGTGCCGGAACCACACTGATGACTCTAAATGATGTTATCTTGGACACCACCACTGTTGACATCTTCTATCTGCTCAAAATTCTGGCTCAGCACAGTGACACTATGTCCGAGCTACAAGAGGCTGGCATTCCTGCCAAACACGTCCCCGAGTTCCAAGGCATTAGGTACTGCACCCACTTTCACTCCCACTCCCACCCAGCATCATGCCCCTTGTCCTTAGCATTTTGCCTAGCTTACTCTTGTAACGCCTTTCTCCTCTGCCACCCCTAGTCTTCAAACGAACCCTCCAGCCGAGGTGCTCAACCTCAAGTCCTCGGCAGTGCAATACCTGAATAATCTCGAGAAGGATTCAGCTTACAGCCGGTGGCCCTCAACCCTGACGGCGTTGCTGCAGCCCTTGTCCCCGGGCACCAAGTATCGCGTTTCGCGTAACATCTTTACCATTTTATTGACGGGACGCGTGCTGGATCCCGTTTTTGCCGCACAGCTTCTTGAAGCCCACGGACAGCTCGTCAAAAAGCAGGAAATGGTTCGCGTTGGCATTCTGGCTGCGACCACGGTGGGCCAGCGTCAATTGCGACAGCGGACGGTTGAATTCACCAGCACTGGCCATGCAAAAACCGGAAGTTAGTTCCCTCTCAGCTCACACTGGTTTGCATGGCCTCATGTAGCCGCAAGCTCACACCGAAGCTGGGGCTTGCCTTGCTGCTTGACGATGCTATAGAAGAGACTGATGTCCTGGCCTTGGCACAGTCTGAGGAAGAGAGGCTTGAGGTCCTTCTCGTGCGTGCATACAGCGTCGTACAGAAGCGCAAAAAGAGCACTCGACGCGCTCTGGATTGGCTCTGCAGTTTTTACCAGCGCTACCCTGGTGTGTACGGGCATGTCTAAATTTTCGTCTTGTCTATTCATTTGATTGCTTGTCTATCTGCTTGTTGCCACGGGCCATCGGTAACGCATATCTGTGCCCGCCTCTATTGCTGTGCGTTCCCATTGCAGACGTGACCGAGAAGGCTATTCAGGAGCACGCCCTTACTGTCATCACGAGCACAGATTGGCAAACTACCGTGTTGAATTATGCCAAGGATGTGGATACCATTCGCAGCCGCATGGATGCACACTTTGAGGCCAGCGGCTTGCCCCTGCGTCAAGTGACCGTCCTCTTCAATGGACGCCCTGTTTCTCTGGAGGATAACAAGAATAGCGTGAAACAGATTTTCACCCAAAACTCGCGACAGCAGTTTGGCATGTTGCAGCGACAGATTTACTACCGTCAAATCAGTGACGCAGGCAGCGTCTATGATGCCATTATGAAGCTCAACAAAGCCACCAAGCGCATGACTGCGCCGGAGCTGATGAAGCACACAAATGTTGTCCTGTGTGGCAGACCTCAAAATATTACAAGTGCCGGTAAGTTCAGTCTCGGCGCCGCCCTAAGCCACAACCTTTCAGCCCCGTGTTGTCACCCATGACATGTGCATGCGTAGCCGAGCTGCAGGGTGCCACCAGTGGCCAGGTGCTGTCGTGGCTGGATCAGAGTCTCAAATACTATGTTAAGCCCGAGAGCAGTGCCACTGTCAAGGTACGACTGTTCGTCTGCTTTGGCAGTCCGATTCAAGTCCGAGGATGATTGCCTTCCATATATAACCGCAACGCCGGCTGCCAACTCACACTGCGCCTGCCGCAGTCCATCACGCATTGGGTGGTGGCTGACCTGCAACGCCCCGACCATCGTGTGCTTGCCTTTGAAGTCTTGCGTCGGCTGGTCAGTTGCACTGCTTCTGCAGTTCCTTCACCTTTGTTACCAATCGAAACCTCGTGCTTTGTTTTTGTCTTTTGAGCCGGGAGTGCATTTGGCGCATTGTGTTCGCTCAGCAGTGTCCCTCTATTCGGGGTTGTTTTTTCCTTGATTTGCGTTGGTCGTAGCTCTCGTCGACTCGCGTGCGGGTGGCCTTTTTGAACAGCGCCTCCGGTGAACAAGCAGACGTCCATCACCTGATCAACGCCATTGGGCGCCATTTTGCGAGCGATGTGGCGCTCATGAAGATAGGCCACGTCCTTGCACACAGCATTAACCATCCCGACGCCAATCTGGACGACTTGATTAAGGTTCTCAAGAGTAAAGACCAAGCGGCCGTTCGCACTCTGGTTCGGACGGAGCGCGACAACGCTCTCAAGGCTCGGCTACACGAAGTGGCCGTCAAGCAAGCTTTGCAACTGGAAAACGGTGCGCTCGCATTGGTGACCAATGGTCGCGTGTACGGTCCCTTTGGTCCCGATGTCTCGTTTTCTGGCAGTGACCTGGCTTTCTTGGAGAATTTCCACAACAACGAAGGACAGGCCAAGCAGGTTGCCAACCGAGTCGGACGTCTCTTGCCGGGTCTGCGGCAGCGAGACCGCGAGACCATTGTTCGCAATCTACTGGCGCTCTTGACCAACAGTGCAGAAAAGGCGGGCACCTCGGGCCGACCCCAGCAGCGCCTGGACCGCCGCCACCTTAGCAACGTGGCGCAAAAGTACAGTGCGGTGACGGTCGCGCCGCGGGACTCCACCGATAACGCGCTGGTCCACCGCTGCTTTGTTGTGCTGGATCCTTTGTCAGCGCAAGCACAGCGCGTGGCCCCCTTGCTGGCCATGCTGCATGCCAATGTGAACGTCGAGATCACGCTGCTCATGAATCCTGTGCTGAAGGTGTCGGAGGTGCCATTGAAGCGGTACTATCGCATGGTATTGCCGTCAGTGGAGTTTGATGCGCAGGGTCGTCTGACTCCGGGGCCTCGGGCCGTATTCCGGCAGCTGCCTCGAGCGCCGTTGCTTACACTGGGCATGGAAACCTCGGCTTCACTAATGGTGGAGGCGGAGCAGTCAGCTCACGATCTGGACAACATCCACCTGCAGAGCGCAGACGGCGACGTGTATGCCCTGTTTCGTCTTCGCTACTTGACCGTCGAGGGTGGATCGCTGGCAGCTGACACGCGCGCACCCACTGCGGGCGTGCAGCTACAGCTGGGGACGCCGTTGGCGGGGGCCTTGTACGACACGCTGGTGATGGCCAACCTCGGGTACTTTCAGCTCAAGTCGCAGCCCGGTGCATACGAGCTACAGCTGCTGCCGGGCAAGTCGACGGATATCTTTACCATTGAGGAGGCGGGGGGCTCGGACAGTCACAGCCAGGATCAACGCCCGCTCGTCTTGGTGCGCGATTTCACCGGAACACACGTGTCGTTGCGCCTCAAGCGCCGCCCAGGACAAGAGAAAGCCCGACTGCTGGACGACATGCCCTCGGCTCACAGTGCCGGCGACGGCGCCGCGGACAAGGCTGAAGAGACTGATCCAGGCGCGAGCAGCGGCGGAGGGCTGTGGGATTCCCTGTCCAGCCTGATGGGCACGGGTGAGAAGGGGTCGGCGACGGCCGTTGGCGCACACAGCGGTCGCGTGGAGCGGGCCGGGGAAACCATCAACATCTTCAGCCTGGCATCGGGACACTTGTACGAACGCTTCTTGAAAATCATGATGTTGAGCGTGCTGAAGAACACCCGCAACCCGGTCAAGTTTTGGTTTTTGGAGTCGTGCATGTCACCGCAGATGAAGGCCTTCTTGCCGCACATGGCGGCCGAGTACGGTTTTGAGTTTCAGCTGGTGAGCTACAACTGGCCACGATGGCTGAATAAGCCAGCCGAGAAGATGCGCCTGATCTGGGCCTACAAAATTTTGTTTTTGGACGTGCTCTTCCCAATGGACGTGAAGAAGATCATTTTTGTGGACGCCGACCAGGTGGTGCGGGCGGACATGCGCGAGCTGGTGGAGTTGGACCTCAAGGGCGCGCCCTACGGCTACACGCCCTTTTGCGACTCGGTCAGTATGCTGCGGGTGATCGACTGCGCGAGCAGTATCAGGGCCTATCCCAGGATCCCAACAGCCTCAGCAACCTGGACCAGGATTTGCCCAACAACATGGTGCACAACGTTCCCATTCGCTCGCTGCCGCAGGAGTGGTTGTGGTGTGAATCGTGGTGCGATGATCGGTCCAAGGGCCGAGCCAAGACCATTGATCTTTGCAACAATCCCAAGACCAAAGAGCCCAAGCTTCAGGCGGCTGTCCGGTGTGTCGCGCGGCGTGTGGCAATGACTGTGGCTATCTGGCCGGCGCGCTTGCTGACGATTGGCCCGTGCCAAGTCTTTCATTTTCTCTGGCCTGCCATCGCTCACCCTGTTTCTGTTTGGCGTCATAGGATCATTCCCGAATGGACGGCGTTGGATCAAGAAGCCCGCAACCTGACAAACCGCGTGGTGAATGCCGGCCCGGCGCCTGGTTCCGGCCACAAGGTGGACGAACTCTAAACCCGACGGCCCACCATTTTTCCCGCAATTGAGAACATTCGCACAGACAGACAGACACAGACACAGACACAGACACAGACACAGACACAGACACAGACAAACCGATTTTTTGTGAGAAGGCATCATGCAGACCTTTCTTTATTAGAACATTGCATCCGTGCACTTGCCAGGCCTCAAAGGTTGGTCACGCCAGCAATGCATGAACACATGAACACGCAGTTCCGAATGTGATGGAGCCGATCATCAGAATCGAGAGAGAGGACCGAGCACGAAACGGTTTCGATGCAACAGCGGACAATATTTGTGCAAGTATGCATGGTTGGTCTGCCTTGCGTGCCTCGTTGGCCGGCAATTCAGCGAGGGTGTGCAACCGAGCGGATTGCCACCGCGCTTTTCTCCTTTGAGAACTCCCCGTCGGAAACAACACTGGCGCGATCCCAGCTGCCACTGCCATTGTGCTCGAGTGAGATCGGAAGGAAGTGCAGTGCATCCCATAAGAAGAAGAGCACACACACACACACACACACACACACACACACACACACACACACACACACACACACACACACACACACACACACACACACACATGAATTTCGCTAGAAATGCGATCACACCTCTTTGTGAGAACCAATGTTGTGTGTAACGTGTTGTCATCGTCCCCATTTTTGTTCTTTCAGATTCTTTTGATCTCTCTCTCTCTCTCTCTCTCTCTCTCTCTCTCTCTCTCTCTCTCTCTCTCTCTCTCTCTCTACTGCGTCACAATCCAGGCAGGCTGCCACCCTGAATCCTTTGCTGGGCTGAAGGTGGCATGGGCGACGCAACGCCATGGGCTTCACACATGCAAGCGATGCGCTGCCGAAGAAGCTTGTGCACACGCTACGGTCCGCGGCCTTGACCAAAGGCACCCACTACCAGACTCACAAGCATCATCACCCTCAGCAGCATCATCATGGTGATCATCAGCATGACGATCACTCCCTGGTCTTTGAACCAAGCGATTGTGATGATCGGCCAGAACCCGCCAGCGTGGAGAGCAGCGCCGCCACCAGTCAGGACAACAGCGCCAGTGCCAGCGATGGCACTTGGGAGCCTGACACCTTGACTGAGACTGAGCTGAGCCTTGCTCACCACAACCCCCGGGCGAGCCATCAGACACGCCCCCACCCTGGACACTCCTCGGTACCGGCATGTTGGTGTTGGTGCCAACTCCCTGTTCGGCTCCTGGTCTGCCACATATTCCCGCGCTTACCGTGGTCGACCCTGAGGCAGCTGTCCTTGGTCTGCCCAAACTTGGCCCTTGAGGTTGGTTGACTGGCAGAAGCGTTGGGCTCTCACTTGGCTCGTCGGCTTGGGGTGTGTGCCGCGACTCACCGTCTCGTCGCCTCCTTAGGTGCAGAAGCTGGCACATGTGGCATTAGCCTTTGCGCCGACAAAGGACTGCGTGACCCAATTTAATGCTCTTCTGGTGCACGGCATCACCACCCGGGCAGCGCTTTGTCATGCGCTCAACTTTCACGTGACACGACATGCCGGCTACCGAGCGCTTTGCGGTGCGTCCGACACTCAAGGTGTCGAGTCAGTGCTGCAAGATCTTTTGAGCCTGGCCATTCGGCTGCGACACACAGCTCTGGTCAAGTATCTGCTCGAGCAACACGCCTGCCTTCGCGTGAAAAACCCCCAACCGGGGAAGCGGTCCCCGATGATGCTGGCCTGCGCCACCGGCCACTTGCCCGTCGTAGAGGCGCTGATTCAGCATCAAAAGTTTATCTTGCGTGATTTTCGCGCCATGGACATGGAGGCACTGGTGACGGCCGTGGCCCACAATCGTCGTGCCGTCGTGACCGCTTTGCTCAAGCGCTACAACTTTAATCTGCGTGACGCCCGTGCCCGCAATAACGTCCTCCTTAAAGTCTGCGCTCGCAATGGCTGGCAACAAATGCTTGAGCTCCTCCTCGAAAAGTTTGCCTACACAGCCGCCGACGTGCAGCGCGATGATTACGAGGCACCATGTCTAGCTTACGAACACGGGCACACGACCGTGTTTTGGTTTCTCGTGGATCGCTTTGGTCTTGCAAAGCCAGAATTGCTCGAAGCACGCCACTTTAGCGTGCTGCGATGGGCGGTGGATCGACAAGATGGAGCCATGTTGGGTGCACTTGGCCGAAAATTAGGTTCAGCTCAGGCCACGGCCTGCCTCCGACGCATGTGGCGTGCAACCGGAGCATCGCTTCGGCCTGCAACGACGGAAGTTGCAACTGAACCAGCCATGGCGGTGCCAAAGGAACGCTTGCGCGCTCGTCCGCGACCCGCCGCATAACGTTCCAATAGTTTACCTGATGGCACTGGTCCCTGCACCTCTCGCCCAATCCGTGGTCGCGACCAGAGCATTCCCATTTATTGCTTGCCATGGCATTCAAGCATCACGTTCCCGTCCTTGCATGTTTGCTTCATTTTATTCTGCTCTTGATGAAACAAAGCGCTACGGTCTGAAAGAGTTTGTGTTGTGTTTGTCTTTTTTTTTTCTTTTGGCGAGCAGGGCGTCAATTGTTCAGGCCTGTCGTACACGTTGCGACTACAAATTCCCTGATTCCCAGCGTTGAGGTGCTTGGCACCCGATGTCTTTGAAAGACCAACGACTGGAACAAGACTCTCGCTGCGCGTGAGTACAAATTGAAATTGAACACTGAATCCAGATGTCAGCTTGTGTCGGCCCGTTGGCGAGACTGCGGAACGGAGGAGGGGCAAGCGCTGCTTGTGCGCGACAAGTGGATGAAAGAGATGTGTGGTTCGCCTCGGGCGAGGAAAGAACACGCGGCAGAGCGGCTTAGAGGCGGTCGAGGTGCATGTTGTTCATCATGGTGTTGACGTCCGTGCACCAGTGTTGGCGATGTGCGTCGAGACGACGCCGGGCTACAACCGCGCCACAGGCATCGCAAACAGCGGAGCTGGTATGCGTGGCATACTCGCGCAAGCGGTCCTGACCGTCCTCAGCCTCGGCCAGAATACTCTGAGCTTCACCTTCGTAGTACGAATCGGGCAGAGGCTCGGCCACGGGTTCAGCCGTGCCTTGCGGTGAAGCGGGCACATTGGCCAGAAGCAGTTCTTGAAACAAACTGGCGAGATCCCCCATGTGTGCTTGTCGCTCAGCTCGAGCCGAGGCCACTCCCTGGCGTTCTGCCCGCTCTTGCCAATAGGATTCACGAGCATCCTGACAAGCCAACGGCCACGAGTGCGTCAGCAATTTTGATGCCACAAGTTTGAGACAGGCGCCAGGTCAGGGCTTTCTTGGGAGGCAATGGGAGGAGAGGTGAAATTTATAAAAAAAACAAGAAGAACAACAAGAACAACAAGAAGCTCAGAGAAGCGAGGGGCGATTGGACTCAAACCTGAAGAGACTGCATCACAAGCCGCTCGCCTCCAATGATGCGCAGGGCATCTGTCAAGCGTTCGAGGGCTGCCATTGGCCTGGGTACGCGCACAGTAGAAGAGCATGACCGAGGACGCGCGAGCGGTGAACGCCGAGGGCTATTCACTTGCAGATGGGCTGGTGTTGAACCCATTGGGCAGATATGCGGGTGGGATGGCAAGCGTGCGCGCCTCGTACCTCTCGTCGGCAATCAGGTCGCGCGCCTCATGTACCAAGTGCGGGATCTGATGCTGCTGGTGCGGATCTGGAAGTAAAACAAGGCTCAACATGAGAAAGGATTTGAAAGTGTTCCATGCTGGCAAAGAAGCACGAGGAGCACCATCTGCCAGTCAAACTGCGACAGAAACGCACCACCGACCGCCATGGCATCCCACGGCGTCACATCGTGACCCCCCTCCCCATCTCCGTGGTGGCCACCAAACTGCATGATCAGGTCAGATGGAAGAAAGGAGCCCGGGGCCGATCCACCTGGCTGCACAAGAAGCACCAGCGCCAGCCAGGCAAGTTCCAAACGAGTCCACCACGGGTACCTTTCGTGCCCAAAGCCAAACCCTCGATGCGACCAGCACGCGTCGCGCGTCGTGCGCGCCCCGACTGATTTGTGATCGACGAAGACCACCGAGATCCGCAGCGTAATCCACAACAGTTGTTGTGAACACCGTCTTTATCTGACAAAAAAAATACAAGAAGAGAAGCGCAAGAAACTCGAGTCAGGTGTCACTTGCGATCTGACCCAACCCCTCGCGCTCGCTGTTCGGTCCAACTGCGCTGACGCGTCCAAGAGCAATACACCCCGAAAAGAAACCAAAGCGCTTCAGACAGTTGCACTCGACCGTTCTTCCATCGATTTCCACTGGGCTTTTCATGGGCTTGGTCGTGGGTGAGTGACAGATCTGACACATCGCCACCTGATAAACCAATTTGGGGGCAGAATCCATCTACCCCACCATCTGGTGATTCTGATACACTTACCCCCTAAGAATGTGGGCGCGATGGTACCGACTTCCACTTTGTGGTCCAGCGACACATCCAGCAGGTGGAGGCGAATCCCCGAAAGGGTGGAGAGAGAGAGAGATGGGCAAGCATGTCTGTCTGGTCTTGCACCTGCGGCGACAAAATGGGTCACGAGAAGTGACAAGACGCTCCTCGGAGAGGAACAAGGATGTGGACAACACGTGGGCCGAGCCACACATTGGCAAGGTGCAGCCCCCGCACACTTTCCTTTGAAACTCCTCCAGTCCAAGGGACCTGGCTTAAAAGTTTGGGAGTTGTGATGGCTTTCCGCGGGATGCATTGTCTTGTCGTGGTGCCTCCTTGCACAGAGTGGGTAGCCTGTGGCAGCTGGGCACTTGCTGTACATGATCAGGGATGATCTCGTGTCTGGACACGCAATCCAAGTCAAACCCAATGACGTGATCTTTGGTGTCGCCACCTCAAAGACCAACCTAGAGGAGCACATCCAACGTGGGATGTTCGGGACTCGGTTCTGCCTGGCACGGTCACACATGACACGACTTGCAATCGCATCACCCAACCCAAACAGCCCCGCATTCTTGGTTTTGGAGGCAAAACACAGTGAGTGGCTTTTTGATACGGGTTGTCCGTTCAGCTCCAGTACAAGGGGCTTTAACCCTCTAAGTCGAGGGTGAGCGGGCGAGGATGGGCTGACGAGTGGATCTCGTCCTTTTTTTCTTCTCTCTTTTTCTATGGTGTTTGGGTTTTGTTCTGTTGGGCTTGTGAGTCGGTTCACTGGCACATGTCGTGCCGCCGCCCATATCAGATGACCTCTTACCTTTCACAATGCACGCCAAAAGATTTTAGAATAAGATCAACCCCAAAAACAAAAAAAATCCTAGCGAGAGCACACATCATCCCAAGATGAACCCTCGCCAGCAGCAGCAACGCCAACAGCAAGCATGTGGGACCCAGCAGCTTGAACTTGACACGTTGACATGACAGAGTGCCGTCCTCTGCGTTTCCCTTCAAATGCCTTGTTCGGCCCCGCACGCGGCGGTTCAACACTTTTAAGAACCGCTCGCCCGTATCGTTTTGCGGTCTTGCATGGCCAATATATGGCTGATTCACGTTCCTCTGATTTTGCCGAGGACGGTTGCATGGATTATGATGAATTACCTCTGATTGGAGATTACGCACCAGGCATGTGCGGACGTATGGCATGGGGCTGCTTTCGTGCCGCCCCTGTTTCATCCACGCCGCCCTGTGTTGCCCGTATTTGTGTCAACACGACTTCCACCTGCACCCCACCTTGATACATGCCGTTCACACCAGCCGATCCGATCTGATTTCCCTCCCCCCCCTACGAGCCTTGACTTGACCTTGACCTTGACCGCCGCAGACAGACTTGTTGATAGCCCGAGTCATACATGAACTGGTTGCTCCACCCCCCTCGCGCAGGCCGTGCGTGCACTGTTGATCGATCGAATCCGACGAGGATCATACAACTGGTGTGTGTGTGTGAGTGTAAGGTGTGCCCCCCTTCATCTCAGTCTCAACGACATTCCCTGAACAGTGCCGTCCTCGTCCACCATCCACCCGCAGCACCCACCCATTGCGTCTTGAACCAGAGCACTTTTGCGTGCGCCGCCATCAAGCATCTCTCTGTGGTGTGTCGTCTCGCCCGCACGGTTGTTGAAGCAGCGCATACCGAGTCCCAGTTTCAGTTTTTCAGTTCCCACCCCAACACCAACACCACTTTCTCTCGGCGACTGTCGACTCTGTTCAATGGGCCGACCAGTTGCCACTGCACCATCACAGGTCACACACCTTCACTTCCCTCGATGCCTCAAAGAGTCTCATGGCCACCCACGCACAGCCGCCTGCTCGCCAATGATACATTGATTGATGCGCTCTCAGCCTAAAGCTCACTTGTGTTCCACGCTGTACCTGTGTTTTCACACCATGTGTTTGAGCGATCTGCGATCCCCCGTTCTCCCCTTCTCTTGCCGTCCCGACCTGGACATTCGATTCGTTGCTTTGGTCATTCCTTTGCACATTGATACGCCATCGCAGCCAGCAACTCGACACCTCAACACTCCACTGTTCGCCAACCCATTCCACTCTTGGCTTTGATTACCCAGTCCGCCGGCCCATGAAGCCGTGTGCAGACCCATCCAATCACTGATGCACTTTATGATGTTTACCAACCAACACATCATCTTCCACTTGTTAACATGTTAGTGACGTCCATTCCCTCCCTCGTCCTCTCTCGCTCCGCTCTCTCTCTCTCTCTCTTCCCCTCCCTCGCAAATTAAGCCAATTCATCATCCCCCTCCTTCATCCTCACGCACACTCTCTCCCTCTTTCTCTTTCTCTTACTCCCTCACACACACTCTTTCTCTTTCTCTTCTCTTTTCTCCCTTTGAGTTGCACAGCGGTCAAGTGATGATGCTCATCTTTCTCTCACATTTCTTTTCTCTCTCTCTCTCTCTCTCTCTCTCTCTCTCTCTCTCTCTCTCTCTCTCTCTCTCTCTCTCTCTCTCTCTCTCTCTCTCTCTCTCTCTCTCTCTCTCTCTCTCTCTCTCTCTCTCTCTCTTGTGAACGCTGCCATGCAAGGACTGCAGAATTAACCAGGCCAAGTGGATCTGGTCTCTCTTTTAGAGAAGCAGGACTCAAACTGCCGCGTCTTGGTCTCGATTCCGCTCTGTACTACTGCTACTGGGCTGCCCGTCTTGAGTGGGTGAGTCTGCCTCGTGGCCTCTTGCTCTTGCCTCTCCGATCACCATCCTGCTGGTGATTGCCTTTGCTTATTGTTGTTCACCTGGCCTCTCCCGCATGACACAGCAGACCACAAGAGCCAATCAACTGCTGCCCGTTCATGGGGCTGCCACCAGTTAGCAATCGGCGACTTGAGCTTGGAGCTTGGGTCAGCAGAAGGGGCATGCCTTGATGACCGCAAGTTAGGTCAGTACCCTCTGCTTCGGGAAGATGAAACTCGTCAAATTCAACATTTGAAGGTTCCGCTTGCCGGGCCACATGCAACAGTCAACCCGTCCGAATAACAACCTGTGCTGGGCTGCACACATAGTTAATGGGCGACCATGGGTCTTCTTGTGGTCGTCCTTGGAATCCTGGGGGTCCTTGAGCCGTGCTTGGCCCAGCTACAACCTTTGCAGTCTCAGCCAGAGGGCACCTCAAGGGTTCCTGAACTGCCACCACAATACTCGCAACACGACGATGACCCTCCACCACCGTTTTGCATCAGCACTCTTCTACCAACAACAACCAAGGAGGCACGAGCAGGCAGCCAATCTCCCAATCGCACACTGATCTTGGGCCTCGCCGCCGTGGCTCTAGTCACGCTCAGTGCTGCCACGCTCAGCTCCACGCTACGCAAAGACAATTGCCAAGCGCACACCACACATCAACTTGGCGAACAAGCAGGCTTCTCACGCTCAGACACCTCTTTCCCTGGTCAGTCCGGACTGCTGTCCCCCAACATTGTGAAAGGGTGGATGTGCTCTGACACGCACCGACTCACAACACTGTATTCTCGTTCTGATTTCAGAACCCTCGCTCGACCTGGCCTGGCTTCATCTCAGGTATTGCTCTCTTTAAACTCTGTGAATGCGTGACGCCCTCGGTTCAACTTTCTACGAGCGTTTAGCTCTCCGTTTCTCTTCAATGTCACCGTCGTGCAAGGACACCCAGACCTTCTTTGTCGCCGCGTTGTACTCGCGCCTTTGCTACCCATTCTCATCCTGTTTCCATGCATCATTGGTCTTTAGGCGTCACTATCATGCGGTGGCGGACGAACATGGACAACTGGATGTACACCAACGCGATACAAGTGGCCGTACCCCTCTTCACGTGGCTGTCAGCCAGCATGACCTTGCTCGGTTTGCCGGAGCTCTTTTGACGCACAATGCTGATTTCAATGCCCAAGACCGCGAGGTATGGGGACGACAACGTATCAAGGCCAAGTTCCAACCTAACACCAACCAAGAAGAACCAGGGTATCTTGTCAGCTCACACGAGTCCGCGCCGAATAGGGCAACACCCCGCTGTTGAGTGCCGTCCGTGCGGGCTGTGTTTCTGGTGTTAAGACACTGCTCGCTCACAATGTCAATCCCGACGCCTCGGACAAGAAAGGACAAACACCCTTGATGCAAGCATGTCTGCAGGTGCAGTCGAGCGCTCGACCCCGACTTCTTTGGCTTTTGTGACCCATCTTCTCACTCTCACCTTACCCAATGCGCGATAAACGCAGGACTATCGACTTGTCGTCAAAATCTTGCTGGATGCCGGCGCTGACCCCACCAGAATGGATTTTACGGGACGCTCAGCTCTGCATTGGGCCGTTGCTGTTGGGTCTTTGGACTGCGTCCACGTTCTCGAGGAACACGCTGGAGCAACGCTCCCTTGGATCAGAAGTGGTGGCGTACCTTCCGTCATCGACATTTGCGTGCATGAAGGTCATGCTGCGGTAGGCCCTACACATTATAGGATAAAGTCACGATCCGTCAAGTACACCCGACGCTCATGCTATTGCGCCACGTATTCCTTTCAGATGCTGGCCCGCNCTTTTGGCACATGCCAAGACACACGGACGAGGAAAGGCCGCGCTGGCCGAGGCTGTGCAGGCTCTTGCTTTGCAGAAGTCCATCCGAACCCCGGAAGAGTTGGCCTCTCTGCAGGCCCAAGTGACCGCTGCTCAACAGCGACTAAAGAACTCTGCGGTTGACAAGCAATCCAGCTCCCGACGCCTTCGTAGCCACTCTGCTGCATCACCGAGTATGCCTCTGGCTACTCTTCCTAATCACACGCGCGATAAAGCTTCAAGTCCCAGCATAGAGCGTACCCAGCAACCGCGTGGTCGCGGGGGAAGCTACCTTTCCAAGCGCCGGAGATCTGGTGGTGTTGGTGGTCCTGCTCGACCAAGTGCAAGTCCTCGAGCGACTGCACCACAATCAGGAAACGACACCACAAAGGCCCAAGGGGGCGATGAACATTTGCCCTCTCACACGCGCGAGTGGCGGCGGCGCTATATGCGTGCCTATCGCCGACGCTTGGGTTCGAGCCATGAGCAGCTCTTCACGACGGTATGACGCTGCTCGATCTTTGAGGCGTTGTGGCTTGACCCTCTTGCCCCTTGGGCTCATGGCGGTCTGCATACATGACATAGGTTCGCACTGCTGAGCTTCAACAAACGACCTATCGTGCGGTTCTGGCCGCTTTGCGTCGAGACTTGGCGATCCTGCAGCAAGTCCAAAGCAATGCCGAGCATCAATGAAAACTGGTCTAGCCCTGTCCAACCGAGCTCGCTAGCATAAGAACGGTCTTCTGCTGCCAGACGAGGCCCTGGAAGGAGATTTATCTATTTTCCGAGTCCATGCCACGTGTACCTGAGTACACCCGCCCCTCTGCTCGTATTATATTTGGTTGTTGTTGTTGTTGTTGTTGTTGTTGTTGTTTTGAAAGAAAGAGACCGCCGACGTTGTGATTGGATGCATCTGCACACGTTGTGCCATGCACAATCCACCCCCTGTGTAGCTGACATGGTGGACATGTGGCCATGACGCGCAATAGATTGCTTGTTTTTGATTGGTTCCAAAACATGTGCGCTTGAGGAACCCTACAACCCACCATGCTTCAGATGCAGGATGTCCATCTACGAGAAAGAGAGAGAGAGAAAGAGAGGGAGGTGACACCTCTTACGTCCTTGTCTGCTTGGCCGGCAACGCCGGTGGGAAAGGCGAGCATGGTACTTTTGCACCAGCGGAAACTAGGGAGCAAGCTATGGCAAAGTCTTTACAGCGGCAACAAAAAAATCCTTTAGAAAACGAAGAAAAGTCATCGTAAAAGCGAACAACGTGTGACTCGATCTTTTTTTGCCTCTCTGTCTGTCTGTCTGTCTCTCTCTCTCATTCATCTCTCTCTCTGTCTCTCTCTCTCTCTCTCTAAATCTCTCTCTCTAAATCTCTCGAAATCTCTCTAAATCTCTCTAAATCTCTCGAAATCTCTCTAAATCTCTCTAAATCTCTCGAAATCTCTCTCTAATCTCTCTAAATCTCTCTAAATCTCTCTAAATCTCTCTCTAATCTCTCTAAATCTCTCGAAATCTCTCTAAATCTCTCTAAATCTCTCTAAATCTCTCTCTAAATCTCCTCTCTCTTCTTTTGGTCAATTCATCTCTCTCTTCTTCTCTCTCTCTCATTTATCTCTCTCGCTCTTTTTCAAACCATTTCATTCCTCTCTCTCTCTCTCTCTCTCATTTCTCTTTTTTGGCAGCGCCCCGTGTGTGTCGTGCGGCTGATGGGGTAGCCTCGTGCATAAGCCCGTGTGGATTTTAAGCAGCTCTGGCGCTCGTTCGAGTCCAGGGTGGAAAGCGTGCTGTTCTGGAAGATCGAACCGTGCGTTCCAAGGTCGGAGCCTGCCTGATTTGGGTGGGCGAGCGGCACGGCGACGTCCTGCGGACAAATTCATCGGCTTCAGCACCGTGATACGCCCGTTCTCATCTCACGGCCGGCGCCATGGGAAAGGCCCAGAGCAAAAACGAAAGGTATGCTCTAGCAATCCACCCGTCACTTACCCATGGCCTGCTCTTTCAAGGCGCTGACCTGGCTGCTTCCGATTCGGGGGGGGTCGCTTGACGCTCGAGTTGGGCCTGGTCATTGAGACGCCATGCAGCGTGTGTTCATCGCTTCCTCAATTCGACTTTTTCCTGCAGCCCTTCACAGGCTGCCTCGACACTCCCCGTGGCGGATCCTGAGGTGGAATGCGACGAGGATGGTCTCGTAAGACATTTTTTGACTCGCGGCTCCGATTGTAGGGCACCAAACATCTTGTCTCAGCTGATGTGGCCATTCTCCTGCCCACCGTGTGCGATAGCCGTTGCCTGATGCCCATGCCCAAACGTTTTCAGACAGCGCTCGAAGCTCTTTTGATGCGAACGGCCAGCAGCAGCCCTGGCTCCAACCCAATGCTCCGCGCGATGCGATACATGAATTTCTCCTGGTTCGTCCAATATTCGGATGCCGCGATTGAGACCCGGGGGCCGCTCACCTCAGCACTGAACTTCAACCGGTGTGCTAACCTCGGCGTTGAATTTCAATTGGTGTAGCTCCAAAGTCAAGGGGACTTTGTGATTTACAAGGACCCCAAAACCCAGACCACCCACCTTGCTGTCCAAAATGGTACCGGTGTCGACCATTTTGCCATTATCGAGAATGAGGAGCAAAAGTAAGCGTGTGGCGTATGGTATCATCGTGCGTCTTGGCCAGCTCCCAGGAGGCACGATCTGCCATTCACGTCATAGCTCTCAAATGTGGCACATTCGGATGGTAGATTTCAAGCCGCTGTAGACCATTCCTACGCCGTGCAGCCCACGTTTGAGGTTGGTAACGAGTCGACCACTCCACCCAATTTTGCGCGTGCCCGAGGTCGCTCAAATTTTTGCGTTGTCCCACAGTCCTTGGAAGCCTTGGTCAAATTCTATCAGCGTCGTGATTTAAATATGGCTATTCATCCGTTTCGCCTCCGCCAAACCCCATCAGTACGTTCTAACCGAGCTACACACACACCCAACTCCCAAATCGCGCGCTTCCTCTTTGACCATCTTGACATCCGCGCCTCGTACCATGGTCCAGGTCTTTCAACTGGATGAGACCGTGCATTCCACCGAGGAGCCGCTTTTGCCAAAGGATTCCGAGTCCTCGGCACCTGCCACACCGGTACCGACACCGGTGGCCGACAATGGCGGGCCTGATGAACCCGACCTGGTCGAGGCCACGTCACCACAACCCGACCCTGTCCTTCCTCGTGCCCCAGCCACACCAGTGCCGACACCGGTGGCAGATAGCGACGAGCCCGGTGAAACCGACCTGGTCGAGGTCACGTCACCTCAACCCGAGCCTGTCACTCCTCGTGCCCCGGCAGCCTTGCCGACAGCTGCGCAGCCGGTAGTAGCTGTCGTTGCCCCTGAGGATACATACGGGGACAACAGCGCGGCAGCCCTCTCAGGCCCGGCGACTGCTGTTGAGCCTTCACTGGCTGTTGAACCTGCAGCGGACCGTCAGCCTTCCACGTCTGAAAGCGCACTCTCCGCAGCGCCGGTTGTAGCTGTGTAAGACCCTGAAGTCTGCTCTATCGTCAACAAGCTGTCGCTCACGCCTGCTTCCGCTTCCATTTGTCGCATCCAAACGCAGAACAACCACTGCTGACTCCCTTTACGGCACGGCTGTTGGGTAGGCTTCTGTTGTTTTTGCTTTTGTTTTCCCGTTTTCGGTTTTCTTTCCTTACTTTTCGCCCATGTTCTGGTCTACGTTTTGATGGCTTCACAAGCAACTGACCTTGCCCGTGTCTCGCATCTGATAGAGAGCCTTTGAGCATGGATCTGAGCGATATCGGGCCCACCGATATGGCTTACGGTGATGTTCGCAGGTTAGGCCTGTTGTCCATCTGCATGTCCAATTTTCTTTGGCCAGTTGGCTCGCCGCACTCATATTGTCTTGTTTATTTTTGCGACGCCCCTGGCCTGGGGCCATTGTCAGACCGGTTGACGCCACTATCGAGGAGGAGAGCGATGATGAAGAGAATGTGGTTGATTTTGGCTTTGGCAATGAAGCCGCTGGCGATTTGACCGCTGGCTCGAGCGAAGCACGGCGGCTCATCACACTCGGCTGTGAGGATGATGATGATGAGGAGTCTTTGCTTTATTTTGATTTACCTATGCTCTCGGCCGCCATGGCAGCCGGCACAGAAGGTGGTGAGGGCGAAGGCATCAAGACTGAAAGTGCCTATGACCTGGACATGGGCAGTGGCCTCGATGCACCTGTAAATCCTTTGCCCGAAACTTTTGAATCTAAAGTTGAACCTGATGCCCCAGACGCAACCCGCCCCCAAGCGTACGAGAATGACTTTTCCCCACTCCTGGCCACTGTGAACGATGCCCTCGTCCAAGCAGCCGAGGTCGAGTTGGCTGAATCCAAGCCTGTCAATGCCAGCCACCCCGACAGCCCATCGACTGGCAAACTTGACTCAACGCAAGCTGCAAGCGCCGCTGCGGGGCTTCCCGATGCACCACCTCGTCCCTCTCTCAATCAGTCTCAGGACAACCTCGATGCTGGCAAGGGCGACATGGATTTGGACGCTATCAATGAGGATGCTACGGATGGGGATGAGCACGACCCCGCAATGAATGATGTTGACTACCTGAAGCCAGCTGTGCTGGGTGAGCGAGCAGAGAATGGGGATGCTGGCCAAAGCAACGACTACTCCAAGGCCTACGAGCGCTTGCCCGATGATGACACGGAAGACATTTACCGGTGGGCTCGTGGTATCGACCCTCATCTGTCAGCAGGCGCCATTCAACCACTGTGGGTTCATGGCACGTACTTGAATCGTGACAAGGCTGAACAGCTGCTGGTGCGCTTTGGCCGGGGCCAGGGACTTTTTCTGGTGCGCGAACGGCAGTTGCGCGACGCGAATGACGCGTGTCGCTTCTGTTTGTCACTGGTCATTGACCATGGCATCGAGCACCATTTGATCGCGGACAATGGCACTATGTACTCCATGCCGGGTAGCAAGCAATTTCGCACAGTACGCCAGGCGAGCGACCTCTCGTCCATCCTAATGCAAATCAACGCGGCCGTCCCCGGGGCACTGCGTCAGGCAATCGTAATTCCCAAGCTTTCGCGCGAAGAAATTGGTGGCTTTCCCGATTTTTTCCACGGAAAGATTGACCGCCACGAAGCGAACCGCCGTCTTCGTATTGACGGAGGCAACGCTGAGGGTCACTATTTGGTGCGCGTATCCTCCAACGTGCATGGCAGCGCAAACTCGGGCGCGGCCGCCGCGTTTGTGATATCAGTTGTCAGCAACAAGCTGCCCATGCATCACGTGGTGCGCCGCGATGGGAACCACTGGGTCCTGAATGATGCCTTTAAGTTTCCTCACAACTGCATCAACCTGACTGATGTGTTGTCATTTTTGATGCATCCACTCGCCCACGTTTCCTTTCAACTTCGCTCCTACGTGCGCTGCCCTCCGGTGTATCGCCCCAAACCTTTTGGTGCGCCCGTGTCTGAATTTGACGGTTTACCGCCGCCCCTCATCATGAGCCCCCCGCCACCGCAAGTTCCTTCCATGGCCAATCGTCCCAAGCGTATGTACTATGCCCTTTGTCAGTTTGACCCGGTTGCAGGCGTGGCCTCTCTCACGAAGCATCAAATATGTCGCTGTTTCCTCTCATAGTTTCACAAAGCCAGTAGTCATCGAGATGCCGGACATCTCTTTTGGCCACCGTGCTTTTCTTTGACATCCCTGACTTTTTCATTCTATGCTATCATTTTTTTTTTTCCTCACGGGGGAGGGGGTAACCTGGGGTTCTAGGTCTTTGGCGGGATATCAATGTGTGGTATTCCTGCCAACCTTCGTCTTTCAAACTGGCATTGAAAAATCGAGCTGAATTTCTTGTTTACGAATACGATGTCAGGTCTTGTCCATCGAGCCTTGGCTACGCCGAGTCCCATGCCTCCAACACGACGAGCGCGTTGCCACGGAAAAAGTTGGCGTCCAGATGGTCCAAGCCACATGCCAGCACGCGACCTGTGGTTTTTATTGAACAGGTAGAACCCAGTGTAAGTCACACAGCCACTTCCAGTCGTACAGAGTGTTAAAAAAAAAAAAAAAAAACGTACCCGTGCCACCCAAGATTGCCTTTGTTTGAGCGAGTGTTTCTTCATACAGTTTGGGTTGGGAATCCTCAACGATTTGAAGTTCCTAGAGGAGTCATAGGCCAGAAGCAGCTGTCAGGACCAATAATTTCGTTCTCATAATCAAAATGGCACTTATCGCACCTCGATGCCTTTGCTGAATCCTTCGCGCATGGATTTGAGTTGGTCCTTCGTCAGCTCGTGGCCAGCGCTAAAATAAATAATGAGCCAACACCGGCATTAGGAAAGCAAGGTTGGTTGAGGCATTCGACGCCTCCACACGCCCTTACCCGTCCACAAAGCACTTGCGCACACGGTCGAAAGCTTGGCTGGTATAATTTTCCTGCTTCATGTCGATGGTGACTTGTCGCAAGTCTTCACGATACTTTTGCAGCATCTGATAGCGTAGCAGAGGAGGGAGCGCTCGTCGACGTGAGGGGATGAGGCGGAGCAAAGTGTAGAAGGCAAACAAGATTGATGAATCCGCCAGCCTACATCATCGTGGTTGATCACAATTGCCCCTTGGTCAATGCTCACGGCGCGAAAGTCGTTGGTTGGCTTGGACACATCTCCTTTGAGCATGACGTTCGCCAGGTTGCCGCTGTTATGGTGAGCTGCCGACCCCATCAAGCATGCTTCACAGTCAGGCTAGAGCGCGCTGGTGCACACAGGAAAGAGTCGAGGGGGCCAGATCTAACCGAGGGGAACGCGATCATGGTTGTTGATGACGAGGTCAAGCACCATCATGTGGCCAAGATCTTGTAAAATTTGAGGACCTGCGTGGCAGAGCAAAGGGGTAGCATGAGCGCTCCATGACGAAAAGCACGACGAGACGGGCAATCAGAAATGTAAATCAAGCCCCTCCCAAAGCAAGAGAAGTGAAATAAAGAATCGAGCTGACCAGATTGCTCCGGCAACACCAACATGGCGCAACTGGCCAGAGGAATTCCCTGATCAAAAAGAGAAAACAAGAGTTGTCAAAGGGCCGTGAAATAAAACCATAATCGTAATTTCGACAAACACTCGGTGGGCATGACGCACCGGCACATATGACATGATGGTGAAGCCGTTGACACGATCATTTTTGAGACGCGGCTTATCGCCAGGATTGGTCATGCGGGTGAACGAGAGCCTGGTGATGAGCTCCTAGCAGAACGTGTGCATGTCAGCGGTGAGCTGTCGGCCCAAGGGCAAGGCTGACCACGCTTGGGCTGTTCAACCCCATGGAGCTGACCTCCTGGCCACTGTAGTCCGGGCAAGGCGCAAGTTCGGGGCAGGAAACACCAATCTTGGGACCCAAAAGAGCACCATACACTTCACCGGCCGTGGTGGTCATTACCGGCTTCATCACAAACCACCCTGGGAGAGGCAGGGAGATCAACAGAATCAAAACCACGACGTGTCTACCTTGCGATCCTGGCCCTCACGCTCTGCTGCTGAGGGGAGTATTGTTAGTAGCATACCGGAATCACCAAGGACAAAGAACACGCCGGTGCTGCCCAGGCCACCTTCTGACCAGTGCAAGAGCCTGATTGTGTGCCAAGCAGAGCGTGAGGTTGCGCCGTGTGAATTGTTGGGCAAGGCTACCACATCGGCTGCAAAGACGCACTTGAACTTTTTGAGATTAAGATCTTGGACGTCAGGAGCAGGCTGGGCTGTACGTGGGTCAAATGTCAACGCATCCTAACGCAGCAACGGCCAGCACACGGGATAAAGATGAAAGAGTCGCGTTGGTTGTAGACTTGGCGGTCCACTTGAAAGGGCACGAGATCCAGCGGATTGTGCCATACCTGCGTGTTTGAAGCCATGGCTGCAGTACACGGGTGGCAACGCCGAGGTGGAGTCACAAGGTTGACGAGATGGGGGCACCGCGAATCTTGGAGTATATCTAGCGGGTTGGCCTTGATTCTCAGGGTCGGGAAGAAAAATGATCTGGAGCTGTCCAGAAAGACGTGAAACGCACCGGCCACCTAGTTGAGACGGCAGCTGTGAGCCAGCACATCCCTGCATCACCACGTCAGCACCCGCATTGGTAAGCCTGTCTTCACCCGAACGCTCCCCGTGCCCTGTTTACGCGACCCATCTGGGCTCCAACCCCATCGTCAGTCCACAGAGAGAGAGAGAGAGAGAAGCCACCCCACAAACAGTCAAGAGAGCGCACCGACTTTGAGTCATAAAATGAAAGAGCTTGCCTGCGCGCATTTAATGGCGGACACACCCAATGTCATTAAAAGAGTAGGGTCTCTCTCTCTCTCTCTCTCCAATCTCTTTTATTCTCTCTCTCTCTCTCTCTCTCTCTCTCTCTCTCTCTCAATCTCTCTGCTCTCTCTCTTTTTTTATTCTCTCTCTCTCTCTCTCTCTCTCTCTCTCTCTTCTCAGGCCAAACTTGGCTTCTAAAGTCAGGTTCAAACGAGGTATGATTTTGGTTTTTGCATCGATTTAGATACTTATTGTAGTTTTGTTAACATCTACTATATTACATTTTGCACATAAATAGCTACATGTAATACTTATAGTAAATACGACGGTTATTGCAGATTTACAAACATCACGCCAGTTAATAAACGCATTTGCTTGCCAGGTTAGAAGCGCGTCCATGTTGATGTTTTTCTTTTTTCTTCATTCACACAAACGGACAGGGGATTGACGACAAAAGGTCAAGCTGCCTGTTGTCAGGCTTCACGGCGGGTCGAGACCAGTCTTGATTGTGAGGAAGCGCGTAAGAGCTGAGGACGTGGTTTGGAAGGGCTGTGCATCAGAACGGAGTGGGAGCTGTGTTGATGTCTTGAGGTCAATTGAGACGGCTGCGGTTGGCGAAAAATCACAATGACCAGACCAGGTGCACCCGTTAGAATTGCTCAGAACGCCTCGGGGGATTGGGAAAGTGTGACTCGTGCCCGACCGCAGCAAATTTATCACAAAAGGCAGTCTGCCAAGGTTGTACAAAAATTGGAGCACGCGGCGTTACGCATGTGTTTCAGATGGTGAGCGGGGTTGGGCTATCTCAGGTTCAGAGTGACTGGAACAGTCAGTGCTATAGCCATAAGCGGGATTCTGTGTTTCAACATTTGGCACTGCATAAACATGATCGTCCTCAGTTTGGGCGTGATCGGACCAGTCAGTGCTATCGCCATAAGCGGGATTCTGCGTCTCAACATTAGGCACCGCATAATGATGATCGTCCCCAGTTTGAGGGTGACCGGAACAGTCAGTGCTATCGCCATTAGCGGGATTCTTCGTCTCAACATTAGGCACCGCATAAAGATGATCGTCCTCAGTTTGAGCGTGATCGGAACAGCCAGTCCTATAGCCATAAGCGACATTCTGCGTCTCAGCATCGCAACCATCCTGCTCGGCGGCAGTATTTCCGGCAGTATTTCCATCAGGCACCACAGGATCGGGGATATCCACCTCAGACCAACTAGTGTAGTGGTTGTCACCATCTGCAACTTTTCTCTGATCCTCCGGCTTGGCGGCAGCATCTCCATCAGACACCATCGAATCGAGGTTATCCACCGCAGACACCACCTTAACTTCAGACTCTTTATCCACATTTACGTTTGAAGAGCTTGTGGTTTTTCCGTCACCCTCGCTCTTCTTGAAGCGTCGTGAGCACCAAAATGCTGCTACCACCAGGGCGATGACGCCAATGACAGCCACTGCAATCATCCAGATCCAATCTTCGTCGTGCTTGGGCGGAGGCGGAGTGGGCTGAGATGTGGTGGGAGGAAGCAGCTCGGGCTCCGGGCAAGAGGCATTGCTCTCGTTGATGGCCACCATAAAGGGCATGCCGGGAACGATCAACCGACTGCTATTGTCAAAGTCACAAATACTCAGGCTGCCAACTACAAGTTGCCCTGTGAAGTTGAGCACCATGGTCTCGTCGGCCCGAGGGCATAGCATCAACGCCGTCGTCTCACAAAGCCTGCCCGCGGCACCATCAACCGTTGACCAGTACTGGCCTGCGATGACGCCCGAATCGCGAAGCGTCACCCGCCTCTGATCCGCAATCACGCCAATGCTCAAAGACAGAGCAATGATACCAATCAGCTTAGCCATGGCCGTGGTCACAGCAAAACTGCCAGAAGAAGCTGAGAGGTGCAATGAGCTCTGGGTGAGGCATTCGTCATCCAAAGATCCGGAGGCTTTGTTGACCTGCGAGCCACTAACATAGTACGCTGACTTGATCAACACAAGCTTAAAGCATTTGTGCGTTTTGTGCGCGCCCAACATCAGGTACGTGTGCAATGCTGCTTGTATCAGAACTTTGCTGTTTCTTGACACGTCAACTGACGCTGACGCGCGCTTGCTAGCTTCCGCTTGCATCACGACTTCCCTTGGCACGAATCAAAATGCAGATCCCCAACTTTGTAACCCTTTCGATTGTGTTGGCCTGCGAGCCACTAACATGGCTAATCCGCATTTTGCTTCTGACAGCACACACATCAACAGACGCGCGCTGAAACATTTTCCAAGTTCCGCTTGCATCGCCATCTCCCTTGGCACAGATCAGGATGCCGATCCCCAGCTTCGTAACCCTCCTTTGTGCTGTTGCTTGTGTTGGCCTCGCTGCCGGGCAAAACACGGCCATCGAAGTCACTGGCGACGGCACCATGGTCGTAGCGCACGATGTCGTGGTCAACGGCAGCTCCTTTGGCGCGGAGGTCAGGGAACAGGCCGATCTGGCGGCAAGGTTGGCCACGCTCGAGGACGCCACCACGAATTCCCTGAGCCCCACGGTCTCGGCCCTTGAGACGGCAAACGCAAACCTCGAGGCCACTGTTTCGACTCTTCAAACAGCAAACGCAAACCTCCAGGCCACTGTTTCGACCCTCACAAGCAAGGTCGATGGCCTGCCAACATCAGAATGGGTCCAGATGGACATCGATGGCACCGACGCATTCAATCCCGAATGCATTTATCGGGCGTGGCCCAACACGGGTTCTAGAGTATGGTCGTCAACGATGGTCTCGCTGACGGAGTTTTGCACCGTTGGTTCTGGATCCATCATGTGTGTGCAGGCATCTCGAAAGCGTGCGTTGTATCTGAGGACCTGGAACAACATGAACTCAGGCTATGTCTCTGACTCCGATGCCCACTATCGCATAGACGAGCTGTGTTAGCGACAGTTTTGCTGTGTTGTGGACGGCTGTATTTTGCAGCAATTGATTGTTCACTTTGCATGGTATCGTCACAACCTGAGAAGCACCAAATGCCCACTCAAACACGATACAGAGCCTTCCAGGCTCCACGTTTAGTGCTTTGGCCGTTGCCGCCCAACCCTCGTCCCATTTTGCGGGACGTATCAGCGTTTCGACCAAAGATACGCTGCTGAACCTCCCGGCAGAGGAGAGCTTCGTCGGCATTATAGTCGTCAGGGAGAAGCCCGGCTTGATGTTCAGCCACCAAGCGTACCAACGTCCTCATGAAGGACACCAACGCAACTTTTCCTTCCTTTTTTTTGAAAGATGGCCCGATGAGCACTGGCCGAGAAGCGGTCATCTCGCAACAGGCGATCTGCCGAGACATGCCTCGCGCGGACGCAAAGAAGCCTATTTATTATTGCAAAGGGTGTCATCGAAAATGTCAAAAAAAAGAAGCGGGGTTTTTTTCATCAGACAGCTTGTAAGCTGCATAGAAGTGTGATAAAATTGTGACTTTCTGCATCTACTTGAATTTTGGTTTTTGCATCGATTTAGATACTTATTGTAGTTTTGTTGACATCAACCATATTACGTTTGGAATATGAATCGCTACATTTAGTATTTGCAGTAAATACAACGGTTATTGCAGATATACACACTTGCACCGAGTAACTAAACGCATGTGTGTGCGCGGTTAGAAGCGCGTCCATGTTGATGTTTTTCTCTCTCTCTGTGATCGCAACGGGTCGAAAAGGCAGCGACCGACGGTGGGATCTGGCTTGCAGGAAGCGGAAAGCGCAAAGGTTCTCGATCCTCAGACAGAGCTGAGGAGGCAGCAGCATGGCTCAGGTTAATGAGCTCCGCTTGTTTGTGCATTCAGAAGGGCGTTCTATTCCGGTACGTGCACGGCCTTGGTGATTGGTGTCATCAACTGCTGCGTGGCCTCAGTGACCGACGTGCATGCGCAGACAAAAGTCCCTGTGGATGCCACCTGGCCAGCCGTATGCCAAGCCATAGCCGGCGTTCTCGGATCGGGGCTGGTGCCGACCACTCTGACTTATTTTGACGATGACAACGACCTGATCGTTGTCTCCAGGTTGGTCGAATCTCGGCAGTACCAGACCCCTGTTTCTCGGGCTGTCGTGCTTGTCTATGGCTCCTCCAGAAGATCTGACCTCACAACCACGCTTCGATTTAAATCCTTCAGTCCAGCTGAGTGGGCCGCCGCCGTGGCTCAGGCCCGTGCCTTGGATTTGCAACGGCCTCAGCTCGATGTCAGTCCTCGATGTGTCCCACCACTGACTGCCGCAGGCTGCTGTCCGTCATCAGCACCAAAGGATTGCTGCCCGTCATCAGCACCAAAGAGCTGCTGTCCACCGCCATCATCAACGCCGTCATGGAACAAACGAGACATGCTGGCACACTCCCGCGACCCTCGCTCGCGCATCTGCATGTCAGAGACTGCGGTATGAGATGCTTTCTCCGTTCTGGGCTACGTCTGCAGCTTCCAGCTCAGGAACTGGCTGGCGATCTACTGCTTTAGAACATGCCCAAGAACTTGGGACGAGACTCCAACCCAACAGCCGCAGACTACCAATACTCTGGTGCGCAATCGGCCCCTTCCTCGTTGGCTGTTGGCTCTGCTGCACTCACTCGTCCCCAATCCTTTTTTTGCACCTCCATCTGTGCAACGGTTTTCTAGGCTCGTCCCTTCGAGCCTTCGCCTGTCCCCTAGGGCCCTGTGGCGGAGGCACCATCGCGCTGGCGGGTGATGGTGCGCTACGTCAATGGCAGGTCTCCAATCGCATCTGCCACGACGCCCACGTTCCCAACAGGTAGTTTTTGTATGAGTACAGCACGCCCATACATCGCTCTTGGCGATCCCTTTGCCATGTCACAAGCTTGCCTGTTCCCCAGCTTTTTTGCGGCCCGTGTTGTGGATGCCGACCACAACTCTACTGCTGCCGTTCTTCAGGTTTGTGGCTTGTTGAACAGATGAACCACAGGTCATGTTTCCGCGAGCACGGAACAACTTCGGGCGATTGCTTTGCTAACACCATTCCCCATAACATTTCGTTTCTAATCGCATCTCTCACAGTCGTCTGAGAACTACGATCAATCAAGCTTCACACCAGCCCCAATTGTGACCGATCACGTCGTTCCTCCCGCCTCCATTCAGGTCAGGTACTTTCTTCTCAGCTTGTGATGAGTTGGCAAACAACAGGCCACCTCATGCTCAGACCTGCACCTGCTACAGCTGCTTGAGGACTTGCCCGAAGTGGGGCCCATCCAAATTACAGCCAAGTACCCCGTCATGGAGGTCAATTACACCAGATCCCTTGGACCTGTCCAGGTTGGCTTTGGCAGATGACGCTCTCTTTCTCTCTCTCTCTCTCTCTCTCTCTCTCTCTCTCTCTCTCTCTCTCTCTCTCTCTCTCTCTCTCTCTCTCTCTCTCTCTCTCTCTCTCTCTCTCTCTCTCTCTCTCTCTCCTTCTCTCCCTCTTCCCTCTCTGTTCCTATTTCCCTATTGCCTTGACAGCCCAGACTTTTTTGTGCTGCAGATTAGCATGGAGGGCTTTTCGCCCTGCATTCCCTTGGACAGTCAAAACTCGGGTGCGCCGCTCATCTACTTCACCTTTACTCTCCGCAACACCAGCAATGAAGCTGCCCAAGCCCAAGTGCTCATGAGCCAGCAAAACTTTATTGGTACGTGGATTTTGCTCATTAACTCTTTCTCATGCCCTCATGCGACAGCACATGCGCATGCGCGATTTTTGACAAAGTCCCGACTCCTCGCAACGACCTGCAATTGCGGCATCCCTCTTTCCTCACTTCAGGTTGGGACGGGGCCTCGAGCATTTCAAACGAAATTTTCAACGCCGGCTATGGTAGCAATTCCAATGCCTTTTTGGCCTCCCCCAATGAACAAGCACTCATCATGACCAACAATGCGCTCCAGGTCAGAGCTCTGGCAGCTGATCCCAGTTTTGATTCACACTGAGGCTGACGGTGTCTTTATTTGAATGGCTCCTCTTTGGGTACAGACGTCGGACGCACGCAATGGAAGCATCGCCATCGCCACCTTTGAGTCCGATGCCAGCTCCGTCACGGTGTCTCAACAGTATGCCCAACACCAAGATTTGTGGACCGCATTTGCCGCCGGCCAGCCGCTTCCCAACGCCAGTGGGCCATCCACGGCCGGTCGCACTTGGAATGGTGCCCTTGCAGTTACGTGCACGGTAAGATACGGTCTGCACAACTTCAACTGCAAGCAACTCTGTCACTGAAAAGCTGCTCTTTCCGTTGCTAGCACCCGATGGCCACATGCTCTGGGTCCAACTCGCTATTGTTCGCCGAGTCAAAAAGGCTAGACTCATCAAGCTTCATTGCGGCCGTAGGTACCACCACAGGGGCAGGCAACGGTCGTCTTTGCCTTGGTTTGGCATTTTCCCAATCGCTATGTCAACTGGGATCAGACGGGCTTTGGTATCAAGGACGTGACAACACAATACTTTTTGGGCAATCAGTACGCCAACGTATTCTCCAGCATTCAACAAGTAGTGGACTATGCTCGTGATAACTACACGGTCGGCACATGCATCCGTTCATTGCCCCATACTGGCGCAATATCAAGGTACTTAACCATCCACCCTTGCACACGACGAATATCTTCCCCGTGTTACGTTAGTGGACGCGAGAGCAAACGCTGAAATTTCGGGATGCCATGTACAACAGCAATCTGCCATGGCAGGTGGGTGGGCGCAACGTGTTTGTAGCAACTGCTGTCCGTAGACAATCGTTTAGTCGGCTTAGTTACTCATCGGCCTTGCATGCGAGGGCAGGTGGTTCAATCCGCTGCCGGCACGGCTGCCATCCCTCGCTCCCCGTCCTGCATGTGGCTAGGCGATGGGTCCTTCTACTGCTTTGAGGGGTGCTCCAGCGACAGCGGTTGCTGCCCTCTCAATTGTGCCCATGTCCTTGATTACTCGGTGGCACTGTCGCGACTCTGGCCCGACCTAGAGATGAGCATGCGCAGTAATGACCTTGACCTTCAGCTTTCTCCCAATGGTTAGGACTGTTCATTTGAGCATGTTGCTTTTTTGTTTACACCGTTGCCACATCATGGTATGTGAAACTCAAACTTTTTCTTTGTGCAAAAGCATCTGCTCACTTGTCCGTACCCTGCTTCAAGGTATCTTGCCTTCGCGCAGCACGGTTCCCATTTGGCTGCGGCGACAATGGAGCTTTTGGCCCGACTATACAGACCAGTAAGATTTGCTTTGCTTTCCCCTCCCACGATACACGATGCTGTACCTTGCGCTGCACTGAGCACAGCTTTCAACATGTCATCACAGCGACTTGGATCAGAGCGTTTGCTCCGACGGTGAGATTTGCACAGTCATCAAGACTTGGCGTGACGTCCGCATGGGCGTTGATCAAGCATGGTTTCAAGACAAGTTTCATGAATGCACCAAGATTATGACACGTTGGATGACGGTCATGGATGCGCAGGTAGACTTTGGCGGCTCGCTGTCTTGTTGGCGCGTACACTCTTCTTGACTGTGTCTGATTCTCATGGCATGCATGCTATTTGGTATGTCAGGGTGATGGCGTTGTTCGCGGTGCCCAGCCATCCACTTATGACGTGGCGTTGTATGGTGCCAACACCTTCATCGGCAGCCTCTATTTGTGTGCCCTCTGCTGCGCCGCCGAAATGGCGACTCGACTGGTTTGTCGTCGCTACATCCATGGCTTACGCTTGAGCACTTGATTGTGTTTAGATCAGGGAATTTGTACAGCCCACTTATTGCGCACTCCATATACAGGGACAATCCGAACTGGCGGCCACGTATACTGCACGCTACAAGCTGAGCGTGGCCAACTATGATAAAGCGTGCTTCACAAACGGCAAGTGGTACACTCAGGTAAGCGGCAATTTCCAGCCTCAGCAAACAGCTGCAACCAGGCAGCAGTGCCGCTCGCATTAATGAGACACTTCAAACATTAGGTGGTGGACCCGGACCACGCTACCAACGTGGTATCTGACGGCACCTTTGTCGACGCACTTCTGGGTCAATGGTGGGCCCATCTTCTCGGCATTGGCGACATGCTGCCTCAGGCTCACGTGGCCTCGAACGTGAGCAGCGTGTTTGAAGCCAATCACGTTGATGAGTTTGATGTTGATCGTCAAGCTCCACGCAAGTTTTGTGACAACGTGAGTTTGACACAACCTGTATCCACAGCGTCGCAACTGGTGCCACTGACAACGCTTGCTTGGGTGCTCTGCAGCGTGATGCGGGGATGTACATCTGCACTTGGGGTGGAGCGGCTCAGCCACCTCCCAGCAATGCACTGCTCTACACCAGTGAAGCCATGTGGTCCGGGTTGGCCTATCCCTTTGCTGGCCTCGCGTTGCAGACCGGCCAAGTGGATGTGGCCCTACAGGTAGGCCTGTGGCATGAAATGCATTTTGCACTTGCTGCTTCCTTGCCTCGTTGTCGTTCCCCGCTGTACGCCCCGCCGCTCAACCTGGCCTTCATTTCGAATGCCCAGGTGCTATCGGACGTGCGCGGGCAATACGACGGCACCCGCCGATCGCCATTCAACGAGATTGAGTGCGGAGATCACTACACGCGTCAGCAGTCAGGTTTTAGCCTGTTTGAAATTGCATCGGGTCAGGTATGCTCGCGCCGTAGCTTAGAGACGGCGGTGCATCATTCGGCTCTTGCTCGATTCATCTCACTCCCTCTCACCTTTTGGCGTCTTTGGGCCAGCTATGGGATGCCACGCAAGGGCGACTTGCGTTTGCCCCGCGATTGAATTTCTCCGATTTCCTCGGCTTTTTCATAACGGGCCAAGCTTGGGGGACGTTTGCTCAAACAGCTGCGGACGACACGATGAGCAGCGGCACTGCAACTGTGAACGTGATGTTCGGCACCCTTGAAGTCACAATTCTGACTTTGCAGGCATCCGCCTCGACCGTCACCATTGAAGCAGCCGGTGCCGCCGTGGCCAACTTTACCACCAGCCATGCCAATGGCACACTTACCTTGACATTTGCTTCGCCGGTGGTGGTGGTGGCGGCCAGCGCCGCCGACCCCACCCTTCGGCTCACCCTCACCACCCCATAAGCCCCAATAAATTCATCGTGTGTGGTGTTGTGTAGAAGTTGTAGTGCACCAAAAGTTGTCAGATAAAAATTGATGATGGGATGTTGATGTTTTCTTTTTTTTTCTTTTTTTGTGATTTGTGATCATAGCCATGGCTTCAGCTCTGCTGGCACGGGCTAGCACCATGACCGTCGTGCTCACATGGATGAGTTTTGCCCTGTTGCTCGTGTCTGTCCCGATGGTGGAAGCGCGAACGCCAGAGGCCAAAAGGTATGCTGATGCCCAGTCCAACCCAAGACGCGGCCTCCACCACCGAGCAGCTGAGCAGGCTTCGATATATCCTCTGTGTTGATCTCCACTCGCGTTCTGTAGAGCCAATTGTAACTACACGCTGGCCTGCAACGGGCCCATGTGTGGTGATATCTGTGTCCCAGGTTGGTCAATCCAAACGTGCGCGCACAAGTCGATACATGATCCAGCTTGCAAAGCTTCCCAACACCTTTGACCTTTTCTCAAGCATTCGCTGAATGTCAGGTTCGGTTGTCATTGATCCGTGGATCGAAATGGCACTGCAATTCCAGCGCAACTTGCAGATTGATGAACCGCTTGTCAAGCTTCAGCTACCTGGTATCAGTTGCATGAACTAACCCCCCATCGCCACGGCAACGCCACAATCGCTGTTTCACCGATGCTTTGCTTTTTAAAAAACAAATCAGGCACGCACAATAGTGCCATCACGCAGGCAGCTGGGTTTGGCATTGAGATGGACTTTATCGAGGCTAGTTGTCGGTTCGATACGCCTACTTGGTAGACTTGTGACTACCTCTCATGTGGCATGCACGCTGCTTGTGACCAGGCTCTCACCGGGATCCCTCAGTATCAAGGAGATGACCTCGGCGAAGGCGTATGCCAATACCTCAGTCTTTTGGATCAACTGCGCATAGGCTTACGACACTTGGAAATTGACATCAACATGGACGCAGTTGATCACGACATTGTGACGTGCCACTCGCCAGTTCCTCTTCTTGACCCGATGGTAACGATTCAGGTTTGTTCTTGTTCTTTCCTCTCCCTCTTTTCTGGAAAGGGGGAACAGGACAGCGTTGATTGGTTCGCAAGGCGGCAAGGAAACTCAAGCATGAATATGTTCTTTCAACACGCGTGCGTCATTCATGCGGTGATAGATTGAAGAGCAAGCACGGCAGCGGAATATCAGCCTGGAAGGCTTCGACCTGAATCGTCTTTCCTGTCTGGGAACTCGACAAACGTTCAATGAGACGTTGGCAGGCATCAAGGTATGTGGCATATTTGTGCCGTCATCCCGTCATCAAACTGGTCCTTGCCTGTTTTTTTGGGCAGCAGAGGTCTTTTTTCCATCACCAAACTGCTTGCAAATGGCTTTTTTTTTTTGAAGGCTCATGACCTTCATGTGACTGTTGGACCTAATGCTGTTAGACCTGGCTAGATGAGAACCCGGATGAAATTATCATTCTCTACCTGGACACCAAGTTTTTTCCTTCAGAGGCCAATGCGCAACAAGGCTCTTTTGACATGATCGGAGCTTTTGGTGATCGGATTTGGAAGGTGCCACTGTATCTTCTCGCCTATTTATTTTGGCCCTACTTTGCTGTTTTGCCCAATTTTCTCAAGCACGGCAACCAGTTGTTCTGGATTTACTGAATGTACGAAAATGATAATGCCCTGTACCTAGGTGTCTGACGGCAATCCCTTAAACATTACAAAGCGCGAATTTCTTGCGGCAGGTATTATTTTCCCCAGAGCATGCTCATGCTCTTCCAAGCCCATGAAGTACTCAATCTGGCCATGTGTGCCTTTGGTGATTCCTCTGTTATACCCAGGCAAACAAGTGATTTTCGAGGATCATGAGAACGGCTGGCTCCACCCCAAAGACAACGACCCAATTGTCTTTGTCCCCGATCTATGGGTGCACCAGGTGAGCTCGGACCCTCTCTTCCTTCAAATGACAATCCGTTGTCTTCTGATCCTTCGCACAATATTCGTATGTTTGCAGTTTGGAGCTGAGGACTTTCAGGCTTATCCAAATTGCTCGATCCAGGGTGATGACGATTGGTTGGACCTGTCATTTCCGCAACCTCCCAGCAAATCTAGTTCTAGTGCAATCAGTCCTTCTACGTCCTTTGACCATGCCTGTTTAGCCATTGTGCGATCTTCTCATCTGAACAATGGGGGACTCGCTCTTTTTTTGGTGCTTGAATAGGTATGGAAATCGCTTTGTCCGCGCCTTGGACGGCACGTTCAAGGAGGCCGCAACGCGATGCAATGTCAACATTGTCTCTGGGGACTACCAGCAAGTAAGAAGATTTTCAAAGAGTCGTTGAGTCAAAACCGCCCTCGTTCACTGCTGGCTTTCTGGTGTGCAAACAGCCCGACGATATGGTCCATTTTGTCTGGAGCTGGGCAGTGGGTGAACCCGCGTCAAAAACAGGCTGCACCGCAATGCGCAGCGATGGCCGTTGGGTGACCCGAGTATGTCCCATGCACGCGAATGCTCGACTCGACCAAGATGATGCAGGCATGAGCTCATCGTTTGCCAATCACTGTTCTTGTATTCAGAATTGTAGCGATGAGCTCTACTCGAGCTGTCAAGGCGTGGACGACACCATGTGGGTGTTATCAACTGCACGTAAGGTTATAGCCAGGCACAACACGCCGTTGCGTGAGAAGGTCCCATGAGCTCATCCCTTTTCCCTCGAGCGCAGGCACCGCGTACGACGCCAACACCACCTGCCCAAGCGGATATCACTCTGCCCATCCAACGAATGGCTTTGCAAATGCCAAGCTTCGTGATGCTGCCCTTGCACAACCCATTTGGCTACCGGGTGTGACTCCTCCAACATCTCACCTCCTCAACTAGACCCTTTGTACGAGCACGACGCTTCACGTTGCTCGAGATGAAAACAGACTTCTTGTCCCGGCCCCTCTGCTTTAATCCTAGCGAATGAGAGCCCGATTTTGAATATGAAATCGACATGTGAAGTCAGGAAATGCACAAAGTATTGCCATCATGCATGCAGCCATGCAACCAACAACTTGGAAAATGTCAAGCAAAGATCTTCACACCCACGAGCGCGTACACCACGGCAGTTTTGGGTCGTTGGCAGCGCCCGGCTCATTGATGAAAAAGCCGTTCAAAAAAGCTACAACGTCGTTTCTTCATGGCAATGGCCGAGTCAGGCAACAAGGGGAGCCTCCATTGATTCTCTAGCAGGATTATCGAGGTCATTTCAACAAAGATGTTCAGTTGAGTGCACATGTTGCCTTACGAGAAACCTCCAGCCTATTCGCCGAGCTTGGCAGCTCGGAACCAACCGTTGTCAGTTTCTTCTCAGGTAGCTTATCGTCCATTTCGTGTCCCTCTGTTCGCTTGTCGTCATCGGTCTCATTGGGTAGGTCAAAGGTTGGGATTCATGTTATGGTGCCCAGCAATGTCAGTGCTCATCAAGCAGAGGCCAATCTTTGGACAGGCTTGCTGGGTATGCTGCGCAAGGACATGGCCGTCAGCTCGCGACAGCATGAAGAGAAGCTGGAAGAGAAGATCAAAGACACGAAGGCGGATATGCAGAAGATTTTAAACGCGCTGAAGCCGGAAGAACAGTTTGGCTTTGCTGATGGTGTGGAATTGAGGGCATTTTTTGATGGGGCTAGGGAATCAATTGACAGTCACTTGTGAGACGCCACCTCTTGCCTTCAACTCTATGACACTAGAAACGCTAGCCTTGTTTTTTCTTGACAGCGGTGTATCGTTCGCTGTACCTTTGATAGCCCTACACGCCCGTTCATTCGAATTTGCGTACTCAGGATGACCGGGCAAATATCTGCTGTAACGATGCCAAGGTGGGAGATAGGACAAACCTCGCGATCTTGAAGTTGTCGCCACGTAACAGGATTTCCGTCCAACTCGATCAAACTCACTGGTGATTCAGCCAGCAAGCTCTCAGGAAAGCCAGCACTGGCAACTTTATTCTACGCAAAGGCGGACACCATGAGAAGATTGGATCAGAAAGGTTGAGTCAAACATGGACAACCACAGGAGTTGATCGTATCCTGTGATCGATAGCAAAAGGTGCAGGCCATCCTACTTGGCAGAAGCGAAGAACTTTGAGCTTGCTTGTCCTGCCCAAGGATTCTGGAAGACTGGTCAGCTATGGGCCATTCCACAACAAAATGAACAAGAGAGAAGAAAAGTATGCCCATGACCACGTGTCAGTGCATGTGGGCAGATCCACCTGATTAGAGTCCAAAATGAGCTCAGTGCCGGAAAACTCGGCCATGTCCTCGGGTAAAGAGGTAATGTTGTTGTGCGCCAGGCTTAAAACCTCAAGCTTTTGTAAGCGAATCAATCCAGAAGGGATAGCCGAAAGCTTTTTTCAACACAATGATCCCATCAACACGCAAAACGGTTAGCTGTTGCGAGCTTGTGGACACAAATCGAGCAGGAGACATGGGGGATGGTCAAAGCTTGGTTGGCATTGTTCACACCTTGTTGTGGGCGAGATCAACATATTTGAGCCGCGTCATGTCGCGGAAGAAGTCGGGGATCGAAGCAATTTGATTCTGTTGCGGCACAGGTGAGTACAGTAGCAAGTCGGCATGTGAAAGCCCGGCATTTGATCGCCCGGGGCGGAGACGAGACGGAACCGAGGCATTGACATCAGGCTTACATAGGCCAAGTTGAGCGTCTCGAGTTTGACCATACCCACAAATTCCGAGGGCAACGAGGCTAGAAATGGTGCCAAGAAGACACATGGACGATGAGAAGCCGAGGTGATGAGAAGCCTTGGCGACCATCCAACTCATTGTAGGATTTGGCCGTGACTGACTCAATCGGTTGTGGGAGACATCCAGTACACGCAGCGCAGAAAAGCGGCCCATGGAAGGTGGGAGCTGAGGCAACCGATTGTTGCTGAGCGTAAGGGAGCGCAAAGACTCGAGTTGACTCAGTTTGCTGGGTACCTATTGTGATCGAGCGCGACACGTCATCTTGAACGCAGGCTACGTCCAAGGAAAGGCGAACAGAGGCCGAGGAATAGGCGAGAAGGGCCAGGCAGCTCCATTCAAGAACATTTCGGAATGATGGTGATACTTACTTCCTCGAGCTTTAAATCCTGCAGCGCCAGAACGCCTGTTTTGGCAGCATGGTCAATGCGTTGTTGCGCTGCCTTGGAGCCAGACGTTCCCATCTCGCTGGTGCGCACAGATCCCCCAAACTACGGTGCCCAATTGAGGAGTGCACAAGCACTATAGAACCATTTCCACACTGCAAGGTCAGTCCTGATGGGTGCCGGCAGCCCAAACATTGACTGCTGAGGGTCGAGCAGCACCCAAAAAAAAAAAATGAATAACTCACTGCCAAAGCCCTGACAACGCATTGATGCGCTTGGCTTTCTCAAACGCTCGATCTCACTCTCAACTCACTCTCTGTATCTCGATCAAACCTCTCTCTCTCAAACACTCTCTTTCTTTGTCTCTGTCTCTCTCTCTCTCTCAAACTCTCTCTCTCTCTCTCTCTCTCTCTCTAAAACTCTCTAAAACTCTCTCTCTCTAAAACTCTCTCTCTCTCTCTCTCTCTCTCTCAAACTCTCTAAAACTCTCTCTCTACGCTCTCTCTCAAACAAAACTCAATTGTCAGCATGGTATTTTTGGTGGCAGGGCAAGGGAGCATGGGGTGGCGGCAAGCATGGGCTCGCCAGAGTGGGGGCCATGGCCTGAACTGGGTTGGGCGGTTGCGGGGCATGGCGCAGAGCCGAGTGCCTCCGCGGGGAACATGGGACGAGGCTGGACTTTGGGTTCTGCCCAGGGATCAGATACCCAACCTCAACCTCCCTCCATTTGCACGTAAGTGTGCCTCAGGCCTGCCGTGAGGCGACCCTCGCGATTTTCATTCCATGATGCGAACCTTGATGGCCTTTGCACCTCGATGGAGAATCCCTTAGGCCCCCTGCGCGTCTTGTTCCTTGGGAGTGATCAGTTTGCTGCCGCTGTGCTGCGGGGTTTGCTGCCTGCTACGCAAAGTTCGCAAGCCATTGTTGATTTACATGTTCGTGAGTCGCGCTCCTGCAAGGGCTCACGCGCAGCCCTCGCTGGCCGCCCTGTTCGACTCGACCCTACTTCACAAGCAACCCACTCATCACCCCCTTTGTTGCGGTGTGATTGCATTCTTGTACTTTTGGCGTGTTCAGGTTGTAACCGTCCCGCACCCGACCAGAACCCGACGCCGTGTCATCTCCGCTCCGCTGCAAGTGTGTGAGCAGAATGGCCTGCCGTACAGCCTTATTCCACCCAAAAGCAAGACGGCTGATGAAGAGCTGGCACAGGTGCGCTTGTTCAAGCCGGCTGATTCGCAAGGTTGCCGTACTTTGCTGGCTGCTCATGCGGTCCATTTTGGTACATTTCACCTCTTAGCTGGCAACCAGATACGATGTGGGCGTTGTTGTATCGTATGGCCGTCTTCTCAAGGACGACTTTTTGAATGCCTTTCAACTGGTGAGCCCAACGTGCCATGTCCGTGATTTTGACTTTAGCCGCCATGCGAAATAAGAACCGCCGCATCTGACCCGCTCGTGCAGGGCTGCCTCAACGTGCATCCATCACTGCTACCGCGCTATCGCGGCCCGGCGCCCATTCAACATGCAGTCATGAACCGTGACGCCGTCACCGGTAAGTCTCCTTGCTGTCGCCGATCTTTGCCAACCAAACAGCTTTTCTTGTCGCCGGCGCCATTTCCTTAAACAAAATGCCGAAAAGCAAGCTCAAAGGCCATTGTGAATGGTGTCAGGGGTTAGCTTGATCAAGCTTTCCTCCGGCCAATTTGACCATGGTGCCATCATCGCACAGCAAACACATGTTGTTGCGGATCCCCCGCCAACATTTGAACAGCTCGCAGTGCCTCTGGCATGTCGTGCTGCTGCGGTATGTCTCTTGCCGGTGCTCTTGCAATACCAACCCGTTCACTGTGCACAAATGTCAATTTTGTGCCACCTGGTGACAATGTATCTGGTCACAATGCTGTTTGGATAGATGGTTACGGACACTTTGGCTTCATTTGAGAAAACATACGCCGCAGCATGGCCACAGGTGGATCATCTTTGCGACACCTGCAACACCCCTTGTATGGAGCACCGCATTTGACCCATACAAAATGGTTCATTGTAGCAGGGTGATGTCTACGCACCAAGCAAGGCGCCATTGTTTATGAGCAAAAGGCGGCGGGCTGTGGATCCCCATTCAATGAGTGCCGAGGACGTTGAGGCCATGATTCGTGCCTGGGGCCCCGTCTATCTGATGATACAAGGCATCCTCGTTCGACTTGATTGTACGTGCAGATGCGATCGACTGAGTTGGACGTCAACAAACGCTACGTTGCTTATTGTGGCACCAACGCCTGTATTCCCGGTTGCCCGCGGCGTAGATGTCGAAGTCATTCCATCCTCGCTTCTTGAGGAGCAGGTCACGACTGGTGGCTACAAACTCGTGCGAAACGAATTGGTCATTGGCTTAAGCGGCAACACTCAGCTATTGATCAAGGTGGCATCGTCCAGCAAGGTTGGGATTCTGTTCTGAGCACGTTCCACGCCAGCACATTCACTCATTCCCATGCCGTGTTTGCATAGGTGCCGCCGAGCAACCCAGGACGTCTTCTCAGGAGTCATCAACTCGCGCGTGCACAAGCCAGCGGTGCGCTCGCCAAGCCAGTGGCTGACGACTTTTAGGCGGTTTTGCTTGAGATCCAAACGCGATTGCGCTTTGCTTTGGCTCCTTAACCCATGCACATGCTTAGAACAATAGAAATCACAACAAAAATTAGTCATTTAGTCATTTATCAAGGCCGCGTCCTGCGCATGCTCCTTGCGCAATTTCTTGTAGATCACTCGACCCAGTTCCACGCCCTACCAGCCGCAATGGCAGCGACCCCCAGCACCAGCAATGTGGTGCCCCTTCAGGGGCGGCCGAGCCTGGTTCGGCCGTAAGCTGCCTTTACGGTGGGCAGGCCGTGAGAAAAAAAGTAGCGGCAACGACGGTCGTGCGCGCACTTTTGGTGTCAACTTTTAACATCCGATGTAAAATATTTTTCGCTAAATCGTCTCCAGTAATGTCTCATGGTCGTAAGGCCGCCAGAGTAAAATAATCTTTGAAATAGCAGCGTCACAAAATTGGCAAAAATTCAGGGCTACCAACGAGTCAAGTCTCAGACGCATGGCTGCCGGCACGGCAGAGCAAACCCTGAAATACTGACTGCCATATGTACGTGAATGAGCGGTATCTCAATGTAGCACTTTATGAAGGAGAGGTATGTTAACATTATGTCAAAAGTTGTAAAAATCTGGCAAACACAGTGTAGTGGGGTTACATGAGTGACACTCCAACTTTGGCTCTCCTCTTCTCATCTGGTCGCTGCTCTAAAAAAAGAACACGCCATTCACCTATCGCCTTTGGGCTGTCACTGGCTCTCCTGCGGACGGGGAGTGGTACGCGGGTCATCATTGGATCGTTCTGGCGATGGGATGCATTTGGTTTGGAGGCACACAGCGGGGTGATAACTTGGATCGTCATTCGCTGAGTGTATGGGTTGCTTAGCCTCCTGAACGGTATTTTTTGGGCCTGATTCCGAAGATCATCATTGACTCATCCTCATTACAGGATCGGGCAGCTCCGGCACAGCCGCCATGGCGGTTCGTGGCCGAGGCATCGAGGTAATGCAGCACGCGGCGCTGGGTGGGCAGGACCTTTCAAATCCGCTGCTTGATTGCACGCTCGGCTTGGCGGCTGTGTCCTCGAGTGCTTCCCTGTCCGCGCCTGATGTCGCACCACGCACGGATGGCCTTGCGAGCAGCGCCTCGTCCGGCGTTTCCACCGCCAACACGCTTCTGCAAGCAACATCGCTGACAGCAACGACTGATGTTCGCAGCCTGCACCATCCAACTGCAGTGCTTACGTCTGTATCCCAGCCCTCTGAGGCAGCGCCCAGTACGCATTGTCAACAAGCGCCGGGGTTTCTGCAGGGTCACGTCTTTGCCATTGAGAAGACCACGCAAACTCCCAGCAATGTCCTTCGAGATATCAAGCAGGCCATTGTGCAGCAGGGTGGTGTTGTCAGTGGTGACGTTCGCCCCAGCTTGACAGCTGTTGTGGTGCTCGAGACCAACGCCGCCTCGGTTTTGGCGCGGCCCGGTTTCAAGCTTCGCAACGCTTTCAAGTATCAAGTTCCGGTTGTTTTGGCGTCTTACATCACTGCCTGTGTGTCGCGGGGTGCGTTGCTACCCATGGCTCCTTACCGTTTACACGCACCAAACAGCGCCGAGAGCCAAGGCCAGCCTAGGTGCGTCAATTGTGAGCCCAGAATTTGCCTCGCCCAATGTATGCCCGAGTCATACTGCTGTCATGAGGCCACGAACGCGTAGAGGCGTGGCTGCAGCCCACTGTCATTTGCTCATAGTACCCCATGCTGAAAAGCAGCTTTGCCCATCCCGAAGGTGCTTTGGATCGGTCGCTAAAGCGCGTGTCTAATGGCGCCTTCACCGAACCCCCGTCCGAAGCGGTGTGTACTGCCCGCAACTCTTGAAGCTCGGTGCAGGCCATCTCTGACATTTTGACGTGGGCAATGCTATCAGGTGGACGTGGCTGGCGCTTTTCGTCCTTTGGAGAATGACGACGGCCGTTATGCTGTCGTGCAAACGGCTGACTTTATGTGCACTGGCACGCAACAACAGCAATGTCATATCGAACTTCAGGTATCAATGTTCATCTTCCCCCTTTTTTTGTCTTGGCCATTGATCTCAGGTGATCAAATTCTCCTGCCCTCACGTGGATGGTCCTTGCGCGCACTCAATGCTGCTTACGGTGAGCAAGGCACTGGAGCCTTCAACGGAGTCATCAAAGGAGTCATCCGATAATCCGGCAATGTATAGGGTATATATGGAGGAGCATGTGGTCGTCGACTCTGAGGATGTGCGCAGCGTGCGCGTGTCACAACCTTCTGCTGCCGCGGATGCCTTGCGGCTCTTTGAGGCTCTTTTGCGCTCGACGTCCCTGGAGCGCATCTTTTGTCCAGTCGTTGAGGGTACGTCTCAAAGGACAGCTGCGGCGCCGGGTTTTCGTTTTGCCATACCCATCTGACTTGTGCGCATGACGCTGAGCACAGGTCTGGGTTCCAAAGGCTTCCTTCGGGATGTCAACGCTGCCTTTGCTGGGCTGGCGACTCGCTTGCAGAGCAAGCCCACTCGCCGTGCTGTGATTGCAGCGTATGCGGCTGCACATGCCAAGGTGACTCAATCGGCATTTCTCGTCCCAAGCCTCTCTTGGCCTTTGCTCTCGTCATCACAGCACGGACCTTGACTCTCATTCTTCACACGTTCTAACGACCCTTGTTCACACACTCGCGCCATAGCTTTGTTCTTTAAGGGACAGAGGCGCGCACTTGCATTTAGAAGATGTGGATACTGCCGAAGGTCTACTTTTGCAAATCAAAGCATTGCTTGACGCGCCTGCAGAGCACACCGAGGTACGGTGTTCGACTGCTAGGGCAGGAACCTGTTCAAACCTTGAAAAGCCGTCCCCCCCAAAGTGTGGTTATTCTCTTATTCTTTTCTGTGTACCATGTGCCTGCTCATCATCGCGTTTTGACCCCAAACCTTTTTAGGATGCATGCAATCTGTTTGCCAAGTTCGTGCACCAGCTGCACGTGAGCCAGCCCGACGTGGCGAGCTCTGCGTGGAGTACACAACAGGGGCGTCAGCTGTTGGGGGAGGCGGAGACCATGTGCCGCGTGCTGCGCGACTTTGTGTTGAGCAGCGAGGCGGGAGGCCAGCAAGGAAGCCACCTACCAGCGCCAGAAGCTGTTGACAACGACGAGGCTGCACTTTTGCGTGTTGGTCGGATGCTTGCATGCAACTTGGAGCTGCTCGAGTCAAATGCAACATCAACACACCGAAGCTGGATCACGGAGCAGTGTGCTGAGGCAACAACGTCCATCGGCCTGACTCTGCGTAGTATTCATCGCGTGGCGCGACCCGGTCAGCCATGGGCACCAGGTAGGCATTGCCGTGCGTTGCCCTTGCCCTCCTTGAGAGCTGGAGATATAATCTTTAGTTTGATGATGATGACAACTCTTTGTGATGCTTGCTAGGATGTGGGAATAGCCGCCTTTTGTTTCACGGCACTCCAGCTTGTAATGCCTTTGGCATTCTCAGCCGGGGCCTTCAACTCCCGAAGGTTGTGGTCGAACAACTTCAAGGTCAACAGCGTCGCCCGGGACGCCTTGGCCAGTAAGTTTGTATCGCTGGTACATGTTGATGAGGCGTGGCCCTGACAAAAATCTGTTTTTGGGACATTGCATCGATAGGGGCATCTATTTTGCGTCTGATCCTGGCGTCTCTCTTCAGTATTGTGACGATCGGAGTGGCGATGTCTTCTTGTTTGTCTGCGAAGTGGCACTAGGCTCCACGTTTGCAGCGGATTCAGAGCTACCACACCTTGTGCAAGCCCCTTATGGTGCGCAGGTTTTGAAGACTATTCGCTCGTTCCTCCGCCTGCCCTTTGGCATCCTGATTTGGATTAGACATCATTCTTGGTGCAAATGTGTCAGTGCCATTGCATGCACCTCATAGCTATATCTGAAAACGTTCCAATGTGCCCAACATATTTTAGGTTTTGACTCTGTGCGTTCGCAGTCACGCCGCGAGAATCCAAGCTCGGCTTTTGATGACGAGGAATTCGTCGTATATGCCACACGACAACATCGCGTTCTTTACGTTTTGCATTTGAGCGGCCCGCAGTCTCGCCCTGATCGTGTTTCAATGCGCCCTCAATCTGAACTGGTGCAAGCGACCAACAAGCCCGAGCTTTCGTCCGCAGCAGCACCAACCACTGCACCCGCTCAAGTATCGTCAACGATGGCTCAAACCAAGATTGAGTGGGAGCTCCCGCTGTCTCATCGGACAGCGCTCGTATTAGTACCTTGCGCCGAGGCGGCGGAGCGCATTCAGGCCATTCGGCGCATTCATGACGCATCGCATGTCGATTTGTGGCCAGCGCACATCACGCTGGCTTACCCATTTGTACAGCCCGAACAAGTGCCAGACGCCGTGCGTGTGCTACAGAGGCACCTGACTGGTTCCAAGGGTGTTGTGCCCTTTCAGCTGCATTTGACACAGGTGGGGGCTTTCAATCAGCGGAAGCGTGGGTTTGTGCACTACCTGGCTCCGGCAAACGGCGATACGATCCAGCACCTTTATCAAGCCATCGGCGATGCACTTGGTTCAGATGTGGTGCAGCCCGGCAATTTCAAACCCCACCTTACCGTTGGTCGGCGCAACAAGGTTCGAGCACTCGTTCTGTGAGGAGCCAGATGTGTAGAGTAAGCAGCACCTTCAAAAGAGCTGGGATGCGATTTGGTGCTGAGCCTTGGTGTTTTTGTTCTTGGGAACAATTTGGTTTTATTTAGACGGATTTGACGACGTCGCTGCACGCGCTGCTGGCTGACCTGCCAGCTTCTCGTGTGAGCAAACTGTTGGTGTTGCAACGCGAACACAACAAGGATCCCATGCAGGTTGTGGCCGAGATTTCATTGGCCCAGCAGCAGGTGCATGGACCGCCCGTCCATTCCACAGAGGGCGGTCACGTTCACGGACATGGGACAGCGGTACCGTTGCTGCATTCGCGTTTGTCTGCTGCATCTTCAGACGGTGCTGCTACAACTTTGTAAGCTCTAGTTTACCAGCTACGCGCTTCTCATTGGGCACAGCTCGGCTCGTGTGTGTCGTGTCGTGTCGTGTCGTGTCGTGTCGTGTTGTGTCGTGTCGTGTTGTGTCGTGTCGTGTTGTGTCGTGTCGTGTTGTGTCGTGTCGTGTTGTGTCGTGTCGTGTTGTGTCGTGTCGTGGTCGTGTCGTGTCGTGTCGTGTCGTGTCGTGTCGTGTCGTGTCGTGTCGTGTCGTGTCGTGTCGTGTCGTGTGTCTCGCCCGTGTTTTATTTTGACACGGTCTCGACTTCTTAGTTTGACTCTCTTTGGTTCTTCCATTTGCCCATCGTATTTGATGTTCAATGAGACATGCCAAGGACCGCTTCCTCTGCATGGTTGTCAAAAAAAAAGCCAATTTGTTGTCCTGGCAAGGTCCCGCCTTGATGAATGGCGCGTGTTGGGCTGACGCGCCCGTCTTGCATTGCTCCAGGCGAGAGGACGTTGAAAAGTTGCTGCATCTGGTAGACCCGCTCGACGCCGTTCAAGCTGGCCTGCAAAGCCAGGATGGCAGTTTGATGGGCCTAACTTCGGTCCATGTGCGCGGGCACGTTGTGGACATGGTGGCACGTTGTGTTCTCTTTCAACAATACCAAAATAGCTCGAATCTCCCGGTGGAAGCGAAATACGTCTTCCCCTTGGACGAATCAGCCACCGTGTGTGGATTTGAGGCCTTTATTGGACATAAGCACATTGTGGCCCGTGTAAAGGAAAAAGAGCAGGTCAGCACTTTTGTGCCGCTGGCCCCATTGCGCCTGCAAGTGTGCCGCCACCAAGGCAGATGCTGCAGTAGCAGTTGCTGCCGCTCATGTTGCTTTTGCATATTATTGCTTTTGCTAGGCTCGCCGCGAGTACAAGGCTGCTGTTGCCGCCGGCGATGGTGCCTATCTGATGGAAGAAGACGAGAAGGCACCCAATGTTTTCACCGTGGCCGTGGGTAACATTCCACCCCACACTCAGGTGCGAGTCATAGCTTTGGAGACAGTAGTAGCTCTGAAGCCGACAGATGTTTTATTGATTGTTGTTGATTGATATTTGACAGTTTCCAACATTCCAGAGCGTGCGTCGCTAATGGGTGAATTGTGCCAGGTGGTGATCAAAATCATCTTTCTCATGGAGCTGGGTGTTCAAGGACACGATGTGCTCTTTCGCCTTCCGAAAGCAGTTACTCCTGAAACCATGGACACGGCATTGGATCAAGCCCTGCAGACCACGACAGCCTCTGTGTGGGACTCTCAAGGCCTGAGTGACCAACCTTTTACCTTGGAGCTGGCTTTTCGCATGTCCGATGTTGTTCAAAACATCTTCTCTCCCACCCATGCGCTGCTTCTCGAGGTATGTAGCTTGTTGATGTTTTTTTTTTGTTTTTTTTTTTCAAGTGATGAAATACCCAAGTATATGGACGCAACACATCAATCATCCACAAAACAAAAATATTCTGTTGTAGAGCAAAATTGTGGGGCCCATGGCTAGTGTACGCTTGGGCGGAGTTGCTGGCCTTGGCGCTGATGGCTTTGCCGTGCATTTGCGCGTGGCCAACGTTCACATTCCACGCATGTGGGTTGAAGATGATCCCGTGCGTGGCACCCGAGCATGCATGCTGGCCTTCTATCCTGATTTTGATCTTGGATCGCAAAGCGTGGATGCCCTGCATCTGGTCGTGGACATGTCTTGCTCCATGGCGGAGGTCGAGCAAGAGGTCAAGCAGATGGCCGCTCTGGTCGTCAAACTGCTTGACTCACACATGCGTTTCAATATCACTGCTTTTGGCGACACCGCTGACACATTGTTTGGTGAATTTCAACCAGCTACAATGGAAAACATCACCAGCGCACTCGGTTTGTTGGCTTCCCTGCGTGCTACTCTGGGCACGACGCACGTTCTGCCACCGCTTTGTAACAGCGCTCGGCTGAACGTCGATCTTGGACGGAGGACTGCTGTGGTGCTATTCTCTGATGGCCAGTTTACAGAGACTGCAAAACTTGTTGCAACACTCGAGTCAAATGCACAGCCCATCTATGTCGTTGGTCTGGGCAAACCGTGCCAGCGCTCGGCATTGATTGATCTGGCTCGCAGCACTGGTGGTGCTACGCTGTTTCCTGAGTTGAAGCGTCGGTCCACGTGGGCACCTCTGTTAAAAGACTTCTTGGTGTGCGCACAACAACCAAGTCTTTCTGATGTTCAGGTGCGTTTGAGCATATTTGCTATCCACAGTTCTTTGGTTTACGCAATGAAACACACTACGCTGAGTTGTGGCGATTGGGTTCTTCTTTGTTTCAGGTGGACTGGCACTGCTTCAACGACGCCGATCGCCAAGCCATCCGCCAAGCTCCTGCTCGCTTCACCTCCGCCCACAACGGCGTGCGACAGGTTTGTATTTGGCCGCTTAGCGCACAGTCTGTTGTACCGGCGAGGGGGTGCCGGCATGTGCCTTGTTGGAGATAGACTCGTGGGCTCATCATACTGCATGATAAATTGCCGACCTTATCTGCCTCAGCTGGTTTACGGATTTGCGGCCAATTGCACCTCGGCTACGTTGTCGGCGCGGTTGGGCCAGCGTGAGCTGCACACCATCGTGTCATGTAGTGAGCTCCAGGCAACCAAAGGCTCATTGCTGCACTCATTGACTGGTCAGACAGCCACCGCCCCCGTTAGCTCGATCCCAATCACTCGATTCACGACACCGGTGCCTGTCACTTGAATCGTGGACAATGATATTCTTTTCCTCACCTGCTGGCGTGCTCCTCGTTTGCTCTTGGATTGGTCTTCGGGCCAATGATGGATACAGCTCGTGCACTTTTACGTGACTGGGCCTCGGGTCAGCTGGCTGGTGATGCAGCTCAGCACTCAGCCCGAAAAGCTCAGGAGCGTCCTCATATGATTAACATGAGCATTGATTTTGGCATTGTGACGGACATGACTAGCTTTGTGGCTGTGGAAGAGCGTACAGTGCGTTCATTCGCGCCCTTTGTGCGCCCATTGCATGCAAAGGCTTTTTTTCGTTGCGGTAACCAGCTCACAATCCCAACTCGCAGGCAGAGGAGAAGGCTGGGAAAGCCGTGTTCAAGCGCGTCGATCTTTCAGCTTTACTTGAGCAGCATGCCGTTGACGAGCTTGTTACAGTGCCGTATCCTGAGCCACCCGCTCTCGTCGAGACGGTACGTCGAATTTTGTCTGGAAAACCGACAAGTTGGAAAGCAGGCACAGGTTCATCTGATCTCATGTCCATGCCTGCGTCGCTAATCCGCTCGACACTACAGCTGAAGCACCAGCGCAAGTTGCAGGCGCTGGCTCTAGAGGCGGAAAGTGCCATGCATACAAATATTATGCGCTCAAAACTGTTGGTGCAAGAACTTCAACCAGAGTTGGAGCAGCGACCGCTCTTTAGCGAAGAGCGACTCCGCTGCGCGAGCACCCTCATTTACTTGGCCGAAGATAGCGGCTGGGGAGATGAGACCTTAATGTCTTTGCTTCAGCACCAAGAATTTTACCTTCATATGGTGGTAGACCAGTCAGAGTTGCTGCCACCAGCATTTGCTCACCTGGCTGTGAGTGCCCAGGAAGCCCTTCATCAGCTGCTTGACCTGGCTGAAATGGAGCAGGCACAAGAGGAAACAAGTGGTGCCAGTGACTTGTGCGTGGCATTGCGTGCCAGCGCACAGAACCTTGATCTTGGTGGAGGGACGGATGTGAGTGACGGTGTTGGAGTGCCCATCGTGGTTGACGTGGGGCACAGTGAGGTCAAAGCTGGCTTTGCAGGCCAAGAGGCGCCACGTGCCGTGTTCCGAACGGCCATCGGCCGTCCACGCCACCAAGGTGTGATGGTGGGCATGGGCCAAAAAGATAGCTATGTTGGAGACGAGGCCATGGCCAAGCGGGGCATCCTCACCATGTCCAGCCCTTTTGGACCTCCTCGCCCATCACGGTCGCTTCCTAAAAGGGCATCGCTAAAAGAGAAGAATGCAAAGAAGGTTGTGCGTCAGAGGATAGCGGCAGTGCTTCAGCGAGCCGACAGCCTTGATGACTTGCCAGCACCGACAGAAACTTCAACCGCAGCGTTTCGCTTGACCGACTCGCGTAGCGATGATGCACCCATGGCACCGCCAGCGCCCAAGGCTGCCCCGGCGCCTGCCCGTGCAGCGTTTCGCCTGACTGACTCGCGTAGCGATGATGCATCCATGGCACCGCCAGCGCCCAAGGCTGCCCCAGCGCCTGCCCGTGCAGCGTTTCGCCTGACCGACTCGCGCAGCGATGATGCACCCATGGCACCGCCAGTGCCAGCTGCCCCAGCGTCTGCAACCGTGCAGCGTTTCGCTTGACCGACTCGCGTAGCGATGATGCACCCATGGCACCGCCAGCGCCCAAGGCTGCCCCGGCGCCTGCCCGTGCAGCGTTTCGCCTGACCGACTCGCGCAGCGATGATGCATCCATGGCACCGCCAGCGTCCAAGGCTGCCCCAGCGCCTGCCCGTGCAGCGTTTCGCTTGACCGACTCGCGCAGCGATGATGCACCCATGGCACCGCCAGCGTCCAAGGCTGCCCCAGCGCCTGCCCGTGCAGCGTTTCGCCTGACCGACTCGCGCAGCGATGATGCACCCATGGCACCGCCAGCGTCCAAGGCTGCCCCGGCGTCTGCCCGTGCAGCGTTTCGCTTGACCGACTCGCGCAGCGATGATGCGCCCATGGCACCAGCTGTGGCTCAACCCAAGCGCATGTCTCAGCTTGCAGCGCCTGCACCGCCACCACCGCCATCACCATCGCCGCAAAGCGCCTTTAATACTCGGGGTCGGGGGAGAGGTCGAGGTCGAGGTGCTGGTGCTGGTGCTGGTGCTTTGCGGACGAACGCGGCAGGACAAGGCTCTGTTGCACCCGCAGCAGCGGGTGGCCCCCAACCAGAGCAAGTTTCGGCGGCAGATCGCTCATTAAATCTCATCGCCACGCGCGTGGCCACCGAGCCGGCGCCACCGCCGCCACCCGGCGTCAATTCGAATCCCGTGCCTCAGCTCAAATCAGTACTAGGCACGACTTCTCGTAAAACTCCACTTGAGTTCAAGCGCAAGCCTTGTAAAAAGAGTGCAACGCCGGTCACCGGCGAGCATGGTCGGGGTGGCGACAACTTCCTTTCAGAAGCCCAATTATACGGTGCAGGTGCAGTGGCTGCTGCGGCAGCAGCTCCTGGAGGAGGTGGAGTGGCGCACAACAACCTGGTGGAAAGCGAGGAGAGCGAGGATGAGGACATGGGCGCCTTTGATCTCTTCGGAAATCTCAACGAAGAGCTGGCGGAGTCTTCATCTGATAGGCCTGCCACAGAAGCGTCTCAGCTGGCTGCCTCGCTATCCAGTCGTTTGATGATGAATCGGAATTCAGGGCCGACATCTGTCAAGCGCCTCTCGAGCCCACAGTACAACATCAAGACTGAGCTGGTGGCAAGCGTGAATGAGGCTGACGACGACGACGACTCTGATAGCGACGGCTCGGAAAACAGTGAGTGGAGTTCTTCATCAAATGCTAGCATCGCAACGACTGGCGTGATCAACGAGCAGCCAGTTGCTAGCACAGAGGCACTTGTGTTTTCCAACCCTTACCGCAAGCCGGCACATGCGCCAGTGATTCAGCAACAGCAGCAGCAACAGCAACAACAACAGCAACAGCAACATCAACAGCAACAGCAGCAGCAACAGCAACAACAGCAAGAGCAGCTGGCGTGCCGCTTGCGGGAACTTTCCGTGGGCATTGGCTGTGTCTCTGGTCTGGTGCTACCTCTCGACGGTCCAAAGGAGGTTGAGTTTTTCCTCGACCCCAACCGTGGCAAAAAGCCTTGCATTGCTCTCACTCTGTGGCGAGGTGAAGCTGGTACCGTGCTCGGCAATGTGCCCGTGGTCACAGAGTATCTGATTGTTCATGATCAGCAAACAACCGTCAACTTTCGCTTTTTCGTGTCCCCACTTGGCCTGCAAATTGGCGGACCTTGCGTCGTGGAAGACCGCATCGACTATCTTTCGCGGTCTAGACCACGACTCCTCGCGAGCTGGGCCGACATGGAGGCTGCCCGTGGGTCAGGGCCGGCACACCCTGCTGCTTTTCAGTTGACGCAACTATTGTCGACCTATGCTAAACAGTATCGATGCTTGGGTTCAGAGGTCACGATGGGTCGGCCTGTGGTTGGTCCTATCACGCTGCAGGGCCATTCGCGTTCGCAGATTGAAGCTCAGCTTGAGGCAGCCATGCTGGCATCGGGTGGTCCAGCCGTTGCCTTTTTGCCCTTACACGCCGGATTTGCGTTTGTGGCGGTGGAGGCGTCCGGTGATGTGCGGCGTGGTATGCTACGCACGACGGACGCGGTGTACTTTCGAGCATCTGATACCTTTCCCTCTCTAAAAGCCGCCTTGGAGTACTACGCAGTTCATCGTGTCCCTGGCTTGGACTCTGCCCTCTGCCAGTATCGTTTTGCCGGCGAAGACACCTGGCAAGTGCTGCAACCTCCTCCCCACCCAACCCGGGACCTTGCCTTTGAACTGCAAGCCATCGTGGAAGCTGGTCAAGAGCCCAGTGCTTGCTGGGCCTATTCGGACACCGAGGAGGAGCTTGGGGAACCGGAGGAATTCAACGCCACCGACCAAGAAGCGAGTGTGATGGCCTCAAGCCCTATCGGCACCAATCTGCCCGTGACAACCCTTGCAGCGCCATGGCTGGCTTTCAATGATGCAGTCGTGGCGTGGGCATCTGCTCCAATCATCACAGGCCGCGGCCACAGCTGGCTACTTGGCGTTGTGCAACAGCTGCTCGGCGAATTGGCTCACCCACAACCCGGGCCGCTCCTGGCCAAGCTTTCGCAACCCCCCAGTCGTGGTGATGCATCTCACACCAGTGTCAGGTCTTTGCCGCCACCGCCACACCCTGTGGACGAGGCTATATTGGCGTGGGAAATGGAACGGGTCACCGGTATGCACGGCGCACCGCGCTCCGTGAGCGCCAAGACTCAAGAATATTTTATTCAACTCTGTCGCTTGACGGTATGTCTCACGCCTGATTGCTCGCACAGAACCAGGGTGAAGGGAGCTTGACTTTCGTGCTTACCTTCGCCTCGCCCATTTTCAACCGGTGATCAATTAGGAAACCGACGGGACTGCGTTGCCACCACCGCCGGCGCTTGCCCGGCAAGCCGGGTTGAACGTCAACCCCTCTGAGATATGGATATTGGCACGCATAGTCCAATGGGGACTGGCCACACAGCAAACTGTCAAAGACGTAATCTGATCGTGTTTATGTGTCATGGATTGTCATCACGTGCGCAACCCAATTGTCACACAAAAACACAAGCAGCCCTTATTTTGAGACCATGCTTGCTATCAACCAGGCTGCAACAGGCGCTATTCAACCTGCATGGGTCCCAAATTGATGCCCAACGATACAAAAATCTCGTGGCCACCGCCCTACATCGAACCACAACAAACAAACAAATAAAGAATACGCCAACACGGATATGTATGTATCCATGGTGAGAAACGCGAGGCGAGTTGACCTACCGTTTCTTTTTGAACAGGATCGTGCAGAATCAGCTTCATGTTGACAGGCAGCTGTGTCAAATCACAGATCAAAAGGTGGATGAGCTACAAAGGAAATCAAAGCTCATAGAATGCTTCATAACTGGGTACTTGTAATAACGTACCAACGCGGAGCCCAGGCTAGATTCAGAGACGTGCACTGGAACTTTTAACTTGATTGTACTGCCATGACGCGCCACCACTTCATCGGGATCATCATCACGCCGCTCGCTCACCTATTCATTCCAAAGGCGGTGATCAAATCACGGACAAACCACACAATGCATCATGCATAAAAATCAGTATCTCGTGCCCAGATATTATGCTATTCACCTGAGAATCCGCCGTCAACTCTTTGACCGTATCATGGGCCTCCAGCGTGATGCCGGCGTCGAGGTGAGGAAAAGACCCCTGGCAAAAGAAGCAGGAGCAAGATGAAAACAAAAACCATCAGTGCCTCGCCTCAATCAGAAGAAAGTTCAGGTCGACTTGGCATACCTCGCTGTTGCCTTCAAAGGGCTCGGGCACGGTGCATTGTACATCGCGACCCAGCTCTTTCTTGTTGGGGGTCAGAACAGGCAAGTTGCGGGGGGTTGCTTGTGGGGCAGGAGTGGCAGACAGGGGGTCCTCCACTGCCTCAGGCGGCGGGGAGGGTGGCTTGGGCAGCTCGTCCACGAACCATAGAGGAACAGCAAAATCAGAAGGGTTGGAAATGGCCAGCACCACTTCGCCCGTACTACCGGGACGAAGGTCGGAGACGCTTACCACCCGCACTGTCGGGATGGTAGAGCTAATTCAGCCAAACAAAGGGAAAAAACCAAAAACAAAAACAAAAACGATCAGTTGCCCTTTGCGCGGTGAATCAGAGTCAAGGCGGCAGATTTGACGGGACAGGCCGACGAGACGAACATGGCAAAAAGTTGGAGCTTGAAGCGTGAGGAGCCTGGGTTGAGCTCAGGCTTGATCAGATTGTGCTGACAACGAGCGCAGCGCTTGCTTCGCTTTGCTTTGAGTGGATGCCTGTTTGGACGCAGCCCGCTAGAAACAGATGCACACAAGAAGGAGTGAGAGGGGGCGGAGCACTTTAGTGTTGAGTGGCAATTAGATTCTTCTTCTTACGTCACGAGCTGTGGCTGCAAGTCGAGTTGACGAAAGCGCTGAGCCAGGGTTGTCTGGGTTGACAAATCAGTCTATGAAGGAGAGACCCATGGGCAGGCGATATGATGAGTACGGCGTGCGAAAGATCAAAAACCATCTATCAAGCTTACTTCAGCAAACTCTTCATTGCTGGGAGCCGCCCAGGACGTGTGTGCTATCGTGCATCAAGAGCATTCAAGAAAAAGTCAGAGTATGAGTCTACCAAATCAGAATTCTTGTCTCGGCAACACGGAACAAGACAAGGAAACGGAGCCCATGCAAAACCATACCCGAATTGGTGAGAGCTTGGAGTTGCTCATCGGTGGCTGGGGCTTCGACCCACTCTTTACGATACGGATCATACCTGCTCAAAGAGGAAGCAAGGCATTCAGGGCGTGTGACCAGAGTCAGATGCGGAACAAAGCTTCAGCACTAGGAAGCGCTTTGCCATTCGCCCGCAAGCCAGGGGCGTGCAGTGCTCAAAACTTACACTTGCTTGAGGCGCTCGCGTACTTTTTGATGCGCATCGCGGGGTGTCAGCATGGCACTGGCTTTGTTTAAGGTCCCAAACTGCACACAACCCAAGACAGAAGCCAGGTCAGGAGGCGGATTCTTAGAGCCCGCTCGTTTAAGATAAAAGGTTGCGCAGGCTCTAAGCATTATGCGTACCCGAGACGCGTAGCTTCGGGAGCTTCGATACTTGGTCTGTTGTTCGGCTTGTTGACGACGCTCGAGATTTTTAATTTCCTCGGCGGACTGCTGCTGAAAGAAGTCAATCACCTGGTTCACGTGTGTCGCAGCCTCGGTGTCTTCCAGGCGATCCGCCTCTGAGATGTAGATTACAAAAACACATTGAACAAACGCAAAAAACGGGGGCATTTGTGTCAGTGTTTATCTTTTTGAACAAATGCCAATCCCAGCAAAGACTGTCAGGCTGCGACGTACGGGCGTTGAGTTCCTCGACCGTGCCCTCAAGATTCAAGCTGCGAGAGCTCCAATAGCAGTACGGGCATCGGATATGACAACCTGTCACGCAATTGCCAAGGTAAGGAAATATCAGAAAAGAGTAAGCACAGGGCAGGGCTTGTGGCGAAACTTCAGCTCGGCGGACGATTTCGCGATGTGGCGTACGGGTGGCGTTGGGATCGCCCGAGGCGCTGTCGGCATCAACGGGAACAAATTCACAAGATGAGGTGCATAGTGGGCACTCGAAGGTTTTCATGTCCCTGTGCAAGAAACATACGCCACAAAGACATGAGGGGTGCGAGCCATGTGAGGAAGGGGGCAAAGACACCCTGCGAATGCCCGTGCAAAGAAAAGCTACCAGCAACTGCCGTACCGATGGCGACTTTGCTTGACGCCTTGCGAGATCATGAATTCATCCATGAGATCATTGGAAAAGTACACATCAATCTATCAACCACGCCAAAAACAAAAAAAAACGCTTATTGAGCGACAATGGTAACGCCGGCGCATCAGCAAAGACAGTTCGCAGCACGCAGAGTGTTGGAGGGTCATCCGAACACAAGGAGGCACGATTGCTGCGGGTTGGCCACTGACATCCGTGTTGGTGCATCGACCGCAGCGAAAACAAATGCAATGGCGGCACCAATAAAGATTGGCAATTTGAGCCTCAACGCCACAGCTGCAACGGTAGTAGACACCGGTTGCCTGTGTTGCGTCGGCATATGGCATCGCCATCCTGCTGGTGCTGTGACATGCACCCTAGAGCAACAACAAATGAATGATGATATTATCAAAAAAAAAAAAAAAGAAAACAGAATAAAAGAAAAAGAGGAAAAAGAAAAAAAAAAAAAGAGGAAAAAGAAAAGAAAAGGAAGGGTTGACTGATTTGATCCGTCGTTGTTGTTATGGATGTTTTTGGCTTGAAGGTTGACTCGGCAGCATCTCGGCTTGTTCACAATTTGCAATTAGAATGGTATCAATGTCTACTGGTATGGATGATAAAAGCGTGCTCGGCACTTGACACAACTTTGAGTCCGGATGCAAAGGCATCCTCACGTCACGACATGAAGCTCCCCAGGTCCAGTGGTGGGGGCAAATCCCTGCAAATCAAGTCAAGAGGTCAGCGCGAGTATTTTTTGGGGCTGTGACGTCTGGCTCACAAGCCACTGGAGCAAAGAAGGGGACCAACCTTTCGGTAATAACGCTGGCGGTTCCGTCGGCGCGCGTCACGGCAAGGCCATGCTCGCGCATGTGAGCCGTAAAGTGATCATCTCCCACTGTCGGTCAGCACGGTTCAGCACGACAGGGAATGCATTCGTGAAGGGACCTGGGAGCAAAAAGGAGCTGCCGCTTATTGTCACGGCTTACCTGAGCCTCGAGGCCGATTGTCTTCGGGTTCCGGGTTCAACTTTGCCTCTTCGGCCTCGATGGCCAAGATCCGTTGATGCAGCAAGACCTGTGATTGGGGGAGAAAGAAGGCACCGAGTAGCATTGCGGCACGGACACGTTGTCAGGCAGACAGCCTCAACAAATTTTTTCATGTTCCTGTTTAAGTTGTGTTGCTAAAGATCAAGGTTGACCAACCTCTTCATTTTGTTGATTCATGACAGCCTCAATCGAACGCAATTGTTCTTCCATGGCAATGGCCGCCGAGAAGCGCTCCACCTACACACCATGCGGTCAATATTGGGGGTTTGAAACAAGCGAGTCTCGTCCAGTTGGCACGTCTTGTTTAAAACGCGCCCATGTTGACGGCGAGGCAAGAGCTTACATAAATGTCAACTTCTTGTTCTCGAAGCTCGCGCAACTCTGCTTCGAGGGCGTGCTCCATTTCAGCCATTTTTGCTTCCAAAGCCTGCCAATGTGTCATTGGTCAAAAAAAAGTGGACAAAGTACACTGGGTGCGCGATGGAAATGGCCAAGGGATGACGGGCCCCAGACAATGCTCAGCGACGTGCCTGCCGCTCTTCGTCCGTGATCGTGTCACTGGCGCTGGCCAGCGTGAGGCGGGCCTCCTCTCGGAGTCGGCGCACAGTAATCTGAGAGCAAACCAACCATGAGGAGTTCGCCCCGGATCAGCATGGCCGAGCATGATGGAACGCAACACGCGTACGAGGTTATCAATGAGAGCTCGCTTGAGCGCTGTCCCAGTACTTTTGGCTCGCCCCCAAGTCGAGGTCACGGCCGTCGTTGCTGCTCGACCCAAGCCTACACCCACGTCCAGCACCATGGTACCCATGGCCGAGGCCACACTAGTCACGGAGGGGCGCAGCTACGTACAAGCAGGGGATGGCCATGGGTGCATCGCAACCATGAGTTGAGCAATCATCACGGAAAAGTAGAGCCTATTCCTGGCTACACTCAACAATAGCCGGCGGGGCGAACGCTGCGTGTCTCTCTGCGTTTCAGCCTTACATCTGCCAGTGCCGTCAAAAGGTTTGAGGCACGGATTTGCGGAAGCTCCAAAGGTGGTACTTGAGCTTCCTCATCATCGTCATCCGCTTCATCTGGTGCATGACTGCGGCTCGAGCGCTGCAGTCATTCAGTTAGCCAACCGGCACCCGCACATCAAAGGCGAAGCATAAGCAAAAATGGCGTGGAGGGTTCAGACGGACCTGTGAAACAGCATCTTCTCGATGTTGCGGCGTTAATAGTCGACAGGCATCGAGCTCCACCTTTTCAAGCTCTGCGCCAACAAGAGTAAGTGAGTAGGTTGGCCCTTTACACAGCAGGCTGTAGAAGGTGGTTCAGCGCTGGCCGTTAATCACTCGGTCCATACCATCGCGAGGCGTTGCAAGTCCAAGGAAGGCACACATGAGGCGCTCGATAGTCTGTCATCAAGGTTTGCGCCGTCATGTGATAGGGATCGTTTGTGGTTTGGAGAAAAAACGTATGCAATCAGTGAGCTGTCCAGATGATGAACAGCGCATAAACTGTGCTCAAGAGGACATGCCGGCTCTTTCTGCCCAACGTACCGAGCGATGCCACACAAAGGTGGCGGTGTCATGCCTAGGTGCCAAGACTGCACAGAGTCATAAGCTGTGAGTGTGTGGTCCAAATACAGTGCACCGGGCGTGGTTGGTGCGCACCTTGAGTGGGGGGCGGCAGCACCGAAACATGCTCGATGTCTGCCTCTGACTTTGTCATCATCGAGTTGAGCAGGCGCTCCAACGCCGGGGCATCCTGCTCGCGGGAGCACCAGTGTAAGGAATGAAGGATGGAATGAGGCTTGGCGTGTGCAAGCGCAGATCGATGACGGTGGTCCATAGAGGCACAGATTGACATGTCGCACCTGCTCCGTCCAACTCATGTGGCTGGCATGATCTAGCCCGTTTGCTGTTGATGTGCAGTCGTCGGCCATGCTGGCTCGTTGCGCTCCATTTGCAGCCCACGACAAGTGCGTGCGTGTTGGCAAATCGGTGCACCGCCGTATTGCTCAGTGATCCCTGCCACTCAAGTACGCGTTTTCATGCACCATCCATGCTCTCTCCCCCATCACAACCCCCGAATCGCCACATTTATACTTGATGATCTCTTCCCTCACACACACACAAAAACGAAATTCACACACACACACACACACACACACACACACACACACACACACACACACACACACACACACACACACACACACACACACACACACACACACACACACACACACACACACACACACACACACACACACACACACACACACACACACACACACACACACACACACACACACACACACACACACACACACACACACACACACACACATGCACGAAAGCGATTGTTACGATTTTTGCAAGAACGACCTTGTTGTTATTTTTTTACGGGAAATTTAGACGGAGGGCGTGTGTGTGGCGGCGGTGGTGTTCGTGGACCAGGTGCGCGTGTGCGTGTTTGCCGTGCGGCTGAGCAAAGGCTGAGGCGTTTGCTGGTGATCTGCTGCTGCACAGGTTGGTATCGCACTGCCATCGAGTAGATGCTTGTACAGAGTTTTGATTCTGATGATCCATGCGGGCATATCTGCGGATAGGTGGTCCAACAACCGGCGTCATGGTCGCAGGAGGCTCCGTGTACAGTGTGCAGAAGCAGGTTGGTGTACTTGGCGAGTGCCGACTCGAAACGTCACGGCTCTCTTTGCGCAAAAAGACTGACTGACCATTGTTTCCGAACCATGTGCAGCTGACCACTGCCGTGTTTTACGGCGTCTCAAGCATCGCCATCATGATGGTCAACAAGATCGTCCTCACCCAATATGGGTGCGTGAATGGGACCTCATGTCTGAGATCAAGGCAGGGTTGCCGTTGGCAATCAAGTCTCACCTGTGCGCTCAATCCTGCTTTTCATGCTTGATATGCCCGACCCAGCTTTCCCTCGGCCGAGGTCGTCGCAGTCTGCCAGATGGTGTTCACCATAATTGCCCTCAGCTTTGCCAAATTGTTTGGCTTGGTCTCGTATCCCGACTTCTCTGGAAAAGTTTTCTGGCAGGTACATGTTTGCACAAGGGCTCGCCTTGTCAAACGCCATGCGCACCTATGATTGTTTCTCAGAATCTTACTACCGGCTGTCCATCACCGCATGCACATTTTTTTGCTGAGTTAGGTGTTTCCATTGCCTCTCATTTACTTGGGCAACCTCATCTCTGGACTCGGTGGCACTCAGCTGATCAGCCTCCCCATGTTCACCTTGCTGCGCCGGTACAAAAAGCATCTTGTCCCCACTGACCAAGTCATTTGATCGTGTGCGAGAGTCGTCTCTCCTCTCCTCATGTCCGATCCGACATCTAGATTCTCGATTCTGATGACCATGTTGGCTGAGAAGTGGATGCTTGGGTAAGTGAATGGTGATCTCATTTGCACCCTCCTCCCCTTGATCTAAAGGTGCCAAGGCAAGGCTTTTCACGGGCATTCTCTTGCATAGCGTCGTGCCAACACAAACAGTGCAGGTCTCGGTGGCACTGATGATCGGCGGAGCCTTGGTGGCAGCAGCGTACGTTGATGTAACGGGCCAAATATTGGACCTTGTGAACGCTTTTTTTTTTTAAATAACGTGCGCCGGGCGCGATGAAGCTCATGGGAATGCCTTGCATCTTCACTCCACTCCCCTGAACACGGCTGGCCAAGATAGAGATGATCTCAGCTTTAACTTGGTGGGCTACATGTACATTTTGGTCAACGACCTGCTGACTGCCGTTAATGGTGTTGTCATCAAGAAAAAGCTCGATTCCAAGGTTCGCGCCTGCATCGCTGCCGCTGGCCCAATCAAGCGGCTCAAACTATACCTGCCCTCGCAACACGTGCCCAATGCCCCGCCTTCCCCCTGCGTATTTATATTGCCGCGTGCCATGCCGTCATGTCACACAGGAGCTGGGCAGCTTTGGTCTGATGTACTACAACTGCCTCTTCTCCCTGCCTTTTGCGGTTGCAACCGTCTTTCTTGAGCCCAGCAAGCTTGAGGCGGTGCGTCTGAATTTAAATCAGCTTGCCGGCACTTTTTATTGTCACGGTGGCAGTCTCCATCTGCAACCCCTTTTTTTTCTCTGACACCATCCTCATCACCAATATGAAATGGCGCCTATAGACCCGGGCATTTGAGTTTTGGCATGACCCGAGCTTCATGGCGTGCTTTTTAGCATCGTGTGCCATGGGGTGAGTTGGCTTGCGACCTCTACGGATGCAGTGGTGCTACGTGATGGAAGCCTTCTCACACGCCCAATCCCATGTCGCTTCGGGTGCTCGATGACAGGTTCTTGTTGACCTATTCCATCTTCATTTGCACGCAAGTCAACTCGGCGCTCACGACGACGGTAGTAGGCTGTTTGAAGGTGCGAAGATGAGCCACGTCCACTGCTCAGCTGCAGGTGTTGCACAAGCAGTCCCTCACGACTTTCCCTCTTGGTCATCAGAACATTTTGGTGGCATATTTGGGCATGACGATGGCTGACTACGTTTTCAGCTGGCTTAACTTTGCTGGCATCAACCTGAGGTGAGCCTCGTGTCGGCTCTCTGCTGGCGCGCAACGCTATTGGGGACATTTGCCAACTAAGATCCCGGCCTGTGTCTTGACACTAGCATTTTTGGTTCCCTTTTGTATTCGTACTACAAGTTTCGGATACAAAACTCGCGCAAGCAGGACCGTGTCCTCCATGGTACGCCACATCTGGTCTGCGTCGTTTGCACTTTTTTTTTCAAGTGCGGGGTGGGCTGGCTGTTTGTGTTCCTGCCTCATCTGTCTGCCGCCCTCGTAGTCAAACCGGAGGCGGTGGTCAAAGAATCTTCCACCAAAAGCCAATCGGTCTAGATGCTTGTCGCGCCTGCATGTCCATCCATGTATTGAGACCTGACCCGTTGGCCACTCTCCCGAAAGAAAAAGCAATAATGTACCCTTCTCCAAGCCAAAAAAAACCCAAAGGTGTCGAGTTTGAATGTTTGGGAGATGTCCCCAGCTTTCGTTTTATCTGACAACACATTCCACATGACTGAAACAGTGACCCCCATTGTTACTCGTTGCATCTGTCCAAATCATCAGAAAGACAAGAGCGCAGAAGAGCACGCCTTTGCGCTCAACATCACTTTTCTCTGAAACTGGTTCTCTCTTTCTCTCTTTCTCTCACTATCTCGCAATGTCTCTCACATTCCCTCACATTCCTTCCACCCACACACAGACTCTCTCAACTTGTTTCTCTCACCACGACAACTCTCTTATTTGAAAACACAAAAACCTTCTCTCTCTCAAAGTTTCTCTCTCTCTCTATCTATCTCTTTTTTTTTCCCTCAAAGTGTAGCTGTCTAATAAGGTCGGTCTGGCGGTCGGGCGGTCGGGCACTCGGATCAAGACGGGCTGCCAGGACCCTGTTGTGCACTTGTGGGATTGGTTGGCCTTGGGGCAGTGTCGTCTTTCTCTGCATGAAAGCGGCGATAGTGTGTGGTGTGAGCCAGATCCTGCAATGTACTGCAAACTGACCCTGCATCTTTGACTTTGGTTGTAGGCAGCTTCACAAGACGCGGAGGTGGGTGTGAGTCATCCTCACACCTCACACGTACATTCAGACGATACGCACAAGCCAGGGCTTGCATGCGCAAAGATCAATCCCATTCGCAGGCAACTGGGCTTCTATTCAGGTGCCTCCAGTTTGCCACCCTGCAGCAGCACATCATGCGGTGCAATTGTTGAGCCTGGCTCCACTCCTACTCCCCCCTTTCCCCCGAACGTTGCTCGCGCCCTTGTAAAGTGGCCGCGGGGGATTCGCGCGGTTTGCATTAGCGCGTGGGTGCATTGACACGCCATCACCTGCAAGCATGTCGTGCTGTTTTGGCTGTTGCTGCTGTTGTGGCGGCCAAAAGCTCAAGGATGAGGTCAGTTCCCACGCCCTCCACGTTCTTCCCCGGCTCGCAGACAACTACAAACTCACCACCGTGCCTTCCCGGGCTTAGTCCTTTGCCGGCTCAACCACGACGGCCATGGAACCCAATCCGTTGGCCACCGTGGGTGGTGGCACCAAACCTGCTGGCTGTGCGTATTTCGTTTGCTGCGCGCGTTTGAGAAATGGATCAGGATGACACAGACGGCAGGTCCGCTGGCCCAAGCCGCTCGCATTCTTCACCCCGTCGTCTTTTGTTTTTCCTCTCTATAGGGACAGACCTTGAGATGGCTCAAGCACGCTCAGTCACTCCATTGTCCAAGGCTGGGGCACAGTCAAATGGACACTCCACACTTTCTCGCACAGATCGGCCAGCTGCCATCGACCTCTCCAACATGGTCGGTTTGCATGTATAGATTTGCTTCCAAAGAGATGCAGGGTTTCATCCTCCCTCCTGACCTTGCGCACATGGTGCTTTTTGTTCAGACCATGACGCGGCCGAAGCAACGCTATGTCAATCTGGCAGAGCCTGGTCCTGGCAGCCTTGCAGACCCACAGTCCCGCCCAGCCCCCGTTCCGCAAGATAGCTTTGAGATGACCCATCGCAGTCCCTCCAATTTGACAGACTTGACCACTTCATCTGAAGCCTCTTTACCTTTGACCCCCACTGATAACCGCACGCCCCAGGTCCAGACCTTTCCGCCCCGTATGGTTGCTACACTCTTCTTCATGACTCGAGCATAACTCACGCCAATTTCGCACGCTGTCACACATCATAGGTGGTCATCAGTCAACCCTCCATGGGTGGCGATTATGAGCGGCCCTTTGACATGCCCAGTGCCCGTCGCTCGACCCGCGAGCCGGCGCCCCTCCCCAACACCGCATCATCACATCGCAACACAGGCGTCAAGACCGCGGCCCAGACTCAACGACCCGCAAGTCCGGTACGTGCTTGCGCTTTGGGCCTTGAGCCTACGCTTGCAACATCCAATCTCACCCTATACTGTTCTTTCAAGCGCGTGCCGTCTCGTGGCCAGTTTAGCGCACCAGCAACGCCGGCGCCATACCCGGCGTCCTCCATCAGTAACCCACCCGTGCGTACATCCATGACCGGTGGCAGTCGACGGCCCCTGCCTCCGCCGCAGGCAGCACCCGAGCGTACGGCCACTGGCGATCGGCTGCACCGCCGCTCAGCCACCCCGTCGCAATCAGCACTGAATCGGGACCGCTCAAGCTCCGACCGTGGCAAGCGCCTTGTTGATTGGTCGTGTGAAGATGTCCAAACTTGGTTCGTCTTGCTTGCCCGCAGCCTTTGCCCGCCGACAATTTCTGCCAATCGTGTTCCTCGGTTGTCGCCATGGCTGCCAACCGTAATCTGATCCATTTTTTTTTTTTTTCTAGGTTGACAGCTCTACTCGTGGATGCCAACTGGCGCGCTTGCCTCGCCTCACTTGATGGACAACGTCTAGCTGCAGTTTCCAAGGTGTGCCCATCTAACAGCAATGTTTCGTGTACCAGAAATCAGCTGCCAGCGGGGCTTTTTTTCCCCTGCTTTGGATCAAGTCATTGATTGCATGCGTTGTCAATCCTCAGGGGGGGCTGCAACAAGCAGGCATTACCGACCTAAACACCATTCACAGAATCATCCGGGGACGAGACGACATGTTGGCTGTGCGCTATCTCAAGTATGTCTTGGGCACGGTCATCCGCATTTCTGAATCCCACCTCTTTTGGTTTGGTCATGTGAATTGGTCATGTTTATCCCACAAACTAATGATGCCTCCTGCAACAGCGACGAACAACGTGCCAAAATGGAACAGTATAAACAGTCAAAGCTTCAGGAGGCCGTCAATAATACCAACAAGGTAATGACATGTCATAAACATGATCATGTGGACCTGTGCGCTTTGAGTTTCCTGGTCCATCGACTCTCTCGGTTTATCGTCCCCCTCTTTGCCTTTTTTGCTATCATTCGTGTGTATGCCTGAGACCTGCCCGCCAGTCACCCCCGTCTTACATCTTCGCCCCATGGCCTCCTGCTGTTACAGAGAGCTACGCAGTCGCTTAAGGAAGACTTACAAAACCTTCTCTCCAGTCTCAACCTCATGGAATACAGCTCAATTTTGGCTGCTGAAGGCATTGAGGATCTTGACACGCTGCGAGAATATTCCGAGCAGGAACTTCGCGATCTTGGCTTCAAAGGCGGGCATGCCAAAAAGCTGTTGGGCACGTTGGGCCGAGTGAGTGCTCAATTATTCTTTGCCCAATGTTGGCACTCTAATGCGCACATTGACTGACCGTCGTACCTTTTTTTTGCTTCAGATGACCGCGGGCGGACTGGCCCCGCCGCTGAGTGACACCCGCACTGCACAAAACGTAAGATTTTCTTTTTCGAAGCGCTAGGGACACTCCCATCATTCGAATGCTGTTGCCTTTCTCTCACCTTGAAGTTTGACATTCGTGGCAGTCGCACGAGGAGCGCTTGGGCAACGTTGTACTGGCCAAATACAAGCGCGATGGTCGTCGACTTTGGGAGATTCCGCGCCATGACATTGAATTGGGTCGCCTTCTGGTATGTTGACTGTTGGCCCCACCGTGTTTGCCTGTGTACCTGTTGCGTGCAGTTTCTTGGCTGATACACGTTTTGTCCCATGTAGGGGCAAGGCGCTTTTGGCAACGTCCATTTTGCCACTGCCCGTCATGTTGTGCCACTTGAGGAGTCAACCAAAGTGGCCGTCAAGACTTTGAATCGGGATGCTGACGCATTGGACAAGGAAGACTTTTTGGAGGAGATTCGCGTTATGCAACAGTTTGACGAGCACCCCAATGTCGTCCGCCTACTTGGCATTTGCACCTTGGACGAGCCCATGATGCTTTTGGTAGGTAGTGTTTGTGCGAGTGCCTTCAGGTGTCAATGCTGGTCCCTGTGAACATGCCTAAATGCCGATCGACAACGGCTTGTGTACTCTAACGAGTAGCTCACAAGCCTTTGATTGGCGATGTATAAAACTGGCACCTACTCTTAACCCCCTCATTCCAATTTCTTTTTACGCAATAGGTGGAATACATGCCAGATGGCAACATGCGCGACTTTTTGCGCGAGGCAAGGCCCAAAACCCCTGGCGCTGCGGCTAGCGTCACATCAACACAAATGTTGGGATTTTTAAAGGACGTGGCTGCTGGTATGGCCTACATTGCTGGAAAGCGATTTGTGCATCGTGACCTGGCTGCACGCAACGTGCTCCTGCACATGCAGCGCAACCGAGCAGCCATTGCGGATTTCGGGCTCTCTCGTTACATGAACGAGGAGTATTCATATTTGGTACAACATCGGAAACGCAAGTTGCCGGCGAAATGGATGGCCCCCGAGTGTCTGGACTGTGCAGCCTTCACCACGCAGAGCGATGTGTGGGCCTACGGCATTGTTATCTGGGAGACCGTTCTCATGGGCGCCATCCCATACCCCAGCATTAGCACAGCTGACCTGTTTCCCCTTCTCATGGAGCAGAACTACCGCATGCCCAAGCCAGCCAGCTGCTCTGAGGAGCTCTATCAAGTGATGCGCAAGTGTTGGTTGCAGGATCCTGCTGCGCGGCCTGACTTTCAGACGCTGGAGGCGCAGATGGCCACCCTCATCGCCTCGCCAACCAAACACATTGACGACGGTGTCGAAGAGCCCGTCCTACGTGCCCTTCCCACCCAAGCCGAAGACAATGCAGCGATGGATGCCACGAAGGAGTTGACCCGCGCCTATCAGAATTGGCCCCTCCATCCGCCTGCCGCCCTCGAATCGCCGCCGCGGAGACAGCGTCGAGCATACGAGTTTAACACGCCAACTAACTTTGTGGTCCACGAACGGGGTCAGTCATCCACGGCCCCAGACTCGGGCTCGGCTCTATCGAGCAGCAGCGAGGTACCACCCGACCCCGCTACCGTTGAGGCTGGTCGTGTGCTGGGCGAGGAGCTAGACATTATCGCCGCCCGTGATGACGAGGACGAGAATGCGCACCTGGCGCGCCGATTCTCCTCCGTGTCTGGCGGCCGCTCCATCAATACCCTTCATCGGCTACGCTCTCGTGACGTTGCTGCGCCAACCAGTGCACCGGAATCTCAGGCAGTGCCTGACTCAGGTGCTGCGGAGGACGAGGGTGATCCTTACGCATACCATGTACCTAGTAACAGGCCGGTGGCTTTTGAAGAAGACGAATCAGATGAAGAGGGCCTTAATACTGCAGCCACTGCAGCACCCGATGTCTCCCATGTCGAGCCTCGTCCGCCGCTGCTCCGGCGACCAGCTAAGAGGGAAAGCGTTGCGTTGCCCGTGCATGTACTGCCCGGCAAAGACGATGCCAGCTCTAGCATTTCGCCCGGTCTCATGAATACATCGGAACGATCAGATGCCTTTTTCACCCCAGCCTCGACTGTACGATCGACGCAACCCACCCCAGGCCCGAGCACCACAGCGAGCAGCACCGGGCCGGCGCGTAGTACAGGCTATGTTTTCCACACACCAACCAACCGACCAGTGGAGCAAAACCTCAACCAAACTGTCGAGAGTGCCGTCAATGCCAACGACAGTCGAGCCGAGCGAGCGAGTGCCTCGGGTTCCGTGGATGGAAACAGCCACACCTATCAGAATGTAGAGCCGGCGCAGGCGCCAGAGACGCGGGAGGTGCGGGCGACTGGTCACTCTGACCATGCCTATCAGAATGTTATGCCAGCGACCAGCGGCGCTGTTCCACGCCCTGCACTTCAGATCAATCTCACGGCCGAGGACGAAGCCAGCTTTGCTGAGCTAGGCCAGCTCTTTGGCGCACAGATGGAAGAATCTACAACGGATCCCACGGTCCATCTCACACTCGATGATGGCAGCGCACAACTAGAGTCGCACACGGATGATCTGGTCTTGGATCTGGATGCCGTGGTTGATGCCGAATACGACCTATCCGACTCGTTAGCTGCTTTGCCGCCCATGCCTGCACCTGCTGCCACAATGACTGCCCAATCGGCGATGCCAGCAACCGAGTATGGTACTCCGGTGTTGCCAGACATGCGGCCTCGCAGCGGGACTACGGCCGACGAAGCCAAGACCATGGGCATTTACGAAGAGGTCGAGGCTGTTTATCCAAACCATGCCTTGCGCAAGTCTCACTCAGCACCGCCCGCGCCACTCAATCGGCCCGAGCCCAACGATGAGGTTTTAATGTACGGCACGGTCGGCGAACCGAGTCAAGGCGAGGTTCTAATGTATGGCACGGTCGGTGAACCAGAGGCGGACGAGCAATTAATATACGCTTCCGTCGAAGAGCAACCACGGGCCATGTCCATGGATATGGGTGTCTATGGCACAGTCACTGACCAAGCGTCGCCAGCGATAGCAACTGATGGCGCCTATGGCGCACCCACCATGCTCAACCCGGGTGTAGGCACTTCGTCGGCGTCTTCTCACCCAGATGCTCTCGACATGCTGTACGCGACCACCGCCTCAGTCTCCCCCGAAAGGCCAAAATCAACCTTGACAGAACAAGATGAGACTGATGGCTACATTGAAACAAGAGGCGAAGATGCCGAGCTTGAGCCGTATCTGGAAGTCGGTGGCGCGGCCTCTCAAACCACTTCAACTGCTCCTGCCGCTGATCCCAAACCACGGGCGAACGATGAGGAGAAGGATGCCCGTGCCCACCAACTTGCGCCTGATACTCCCCCGCCTCGTCCACCTCGGCCTGGAGCTCCAGCATCTCGAGATGCACCTCCTCCCCCCCGTCCCAACCAAAACTCAGCATCCGCTGCTTTGTCTCGTGCGGGCGGTGAATATGACAGGCTCTTTTAGTTGGATGACCTTCCGTTTTTGATATTACTCTTGTCCCCCTGCCCCCACGCTCCTTTTTTTTTTTTTTTTTTTTTTTCTTTGCTTGTTTTTCTCGACATCTTACCCCGTCCCGCTTTTCCTTTGTTTTCTGACGCTCGATAATGCGCTTAGACCAGGTGCCCTGCTGCTCACCGATCTTTTGACTCTTTGTTCCAGGCATCTCGTTTCTTTCGTCGCGTTTCCGTACCGTTGGACTGTTTTCGTCTCGCCTTGAGTGCGTGCAATAGTTGTTTAGGCTGACAGTGTGAAGTGTTTTTCCATATCCTTTTGTGGTGTGATCATGTCCTTTCTCTTTTTATATACAAGCGTGTACCGAGAGCATTGCGTCTCTTTTTGAATGATCAATCAGACAGCAAAGCAGTTCTGGCAACGCGCTCGTCCAGAGCTGCACCCAAACGTCTTTTGTTGTTGATCCATTTTTTTTTTCTTCTTTTGAAACGAAATCAAAACGTGAAAGACCAACAGTTTCAAAAAAAACTCACTTTTTTTTTTTTTTTTTGGAAGAACTTGATGTCGGAAAAATGGCGAGTCCAAAGCCCGACGTCGCGCTGCCGCCTGGGTGGGAGGCCCGCCAAACGGCAGAGGGGAAATGGTTTTACATTGACCATAAGCACAAACGTACACAGTGGGACCCTCCACAACCGGAACCGGTGCTAGAAGCGGTGGATCTCGACCTGCTTGCGCCCGCCTCGGCCCACACGGCCAAAAGCGCCAGCAGCTCGCGACCTCGCTCAATGGATCTTGAGATCGACGACAGCTTCGAGGCCAACATGGTGTAAGTCGTACAGTTGCATTTGCCCGTAGCCGGACCCTAGATGACGGCGTTATCGGTGGACACGAAGACCATAAACTGCCCTGTGATCACTGGAATCGGCTTGACTTTTGTCTTTGTCCGTGTGCAGACCAAGTCATTTGCAAGATGAATTTCCCACCTGCCCCTCCGATTTGCTGGGTGCCGTGGCCAGGTAGGTCAGCTGCTTGAAAGACCAATGGCCCAAACGGGCGTAGCACTCTTGCTTGAGCGGCTAGGATCATGTGCAAACTCAACTTCATTGCCACCTGACCTTGATCTCGACAACCATCCGCAGCTCGGCAACTGACATGTCCTCGGCGCGCCAAGCCCTACAAAGCATGGGGTTTTCCCGAAGGTCCACGCAAGCTATGCCTCCGCCACAGACTGCGCCACCAGCACCCCCGCTGCCAGGATCGCAGCAGCGTGAAACCCGCTTTGGTTCAACCGGTGTGTTAACAATGCGATTTCATTGTACCGTCAGAAATTCTGGGAAAGGCGTTGGGTGCCCCAGGGACGACTCGTGTTGACAGCCTGTGCGTGCCCGGTGCCTTAGCCGCCCAATCAAAATCAAAAATCGAGCAGAAACGGATCCTGCTAGCCTTGCGCAAGGAGTTCCCACAGATCCCGCTGCCCCTGATGCAAAGCCTTTTGGAAAGTGTCAACTACGATGCCGACCTTGCGCGGCCCGTGTTTGCCGATGTCAACGCTTCATCCTCCTCGAAGCAGAGCACCACTCGAGTTCAGTCCAAACCAAGCAACCCAGAATCCAAACCTCAGCTTAAAGCATCTGCTACAGTATGTCAGAGGCCGTTTTTGTGATCATCGTGTTTTTGTTGGCGTCGTTGAGGCGTGACAGGCCTGCATTGTTGTCCCGGCAAGGCAGGCGCATACCCGTCTCTGAGCTTGAATGTGTTGTACTTGTAGACCAAACCCGTACAGGCGCCCACACACATCCCTCCATGGAAAAAGTACAGTGCTCAACCGAAGGCTTCTGGCCTCAACAATGCGCCTGTTCAGTGGAGCGGCACTTTTTCTATTCCAGCCATTGCTACATCGTCGGCTCCCTCCAGTCCTGACACAACGCGTGCCCGAGCCACGGCATCCACCGAACGTGCTCCACCGACAACAGGCAAGACATTGCCTGTCACCGGGCAAAATCCTGTGCAGCGCCCATCATCTTCTTCGAAAAATTCGACCCGCTCGACGAAACAAACGCAGGCCGTTGGTGCGCGTGCCCAGCGACACGAGCCTCTTAGTGGGCACGAGCGTCGCAGTGGTTTGACGGGTACTGCACAGGGGCCTGATCCAAGCCTCACCGACGGACCCAACCCAGCCCATCGCCGGTACGCTGCCCTCTCCGCACTTGCCATGTCTAACCTTTTTGTGTATTGGATCGCTCATTTGCTTTCTAAACCGGTATGCTTACAGCGGTCCCAGGAGCGAATTAAAGACACACGCCAAGTCGTTGGCAAAGGGTCGCGATGCAACCCTTGTGGCCGGCCCGCAAGCCACCGTGTGTGGCCCGTGTGCTCTCAAACATGATCGCCCGTTGTAGCATGCGACATGCCAAGTTCGTTCTGAACATAATGGATCATCAATTGAGTTTCTGCACTACGCACCAAAAGATGCCGCTATGGCAAGTAGCTCATCCATCAGTCGCTCTTCAAAAGCCTGCGGCACTCGAGTCCATCCAATACCAAACAGCACAGCAAGCCGCCTTTGCCGAATGCAGCGTCGCTGGGCTACGATTGTGCCTTGCACTACGTGGATACCCCATCAAACCAGATTAAGTTCGCATCGATGCCATCGAAGCAACTCTATCGTGCAGTTCAGGATGAGTTTATGAGGGGGGCTCATAACGCACGCACCAGCATCGTCGGCAGAGGATAGCACATCCATGCACTGGCTTTGCTCCAACAGCCGACGTAACATCTGTTTGCAGAAAGCAACGATGGTCGAGATGAGACACAGAGCAACAAAGCGCCTCGCTGAAACACAACCAAAATTGTGGACCATGAGGCCTGATGTACATTGCGTTGCGCCAAGCTCACGCACGCGGACTCGAGGCGCATTGGCTTGGCCCACCGGCTCTGCTGGCTCTGCTGGTTCTGCTGGCTCTGCTGGCTCTGCTGGCTCTGCTGGCTCTGCTGGCTCTGCTGGCTCTGCTGGCTCTGCATTTGCATTTTCCACCAGATCCAGCAATTTGGCCAGCACCACTCGAGCAACCTGCACGTGGCGACGATAGCTGGCACAGTCGAGAGGCGTGTGTCCAAGCTATATCCGGGACCACACAAAACGGTGAGACAAATGTGCCCATCGCAGTTCACATAGTGCAGCATTGAGTCAACAGGTAATTCAGTGACATTGCACATTGGCAGAGAGGTGCGCACGCACGAGCGCACACGCTCTTGGGGGGGCGAAAAGGCAAGGAAGTCTTGCCAGCTTACTCTAGAGGTGGCCTGGGGGTCAGCAGAGCGACCTAAAAGAACGCGAACAGCGTCAAGGTGGCCGTTGCTACACGCAACATGTAACGGCGTAAATCCATCCTAGTTTTGGCAGTCAATACCCGCATCAGCCATGGCGAGCACATGTTTGGAAACAAAAGCAAGCCAGCGCCCAAGGCAGTGTGGGCGTGTGCTTACGAGGTCTGGTGCGTCGATATCCACCTGTGCAGCAAGAAGAGCTCCGATCAACTCAACTTGCCCCGCTTCACAAGCGCGGTGAAGGGGAGTCTCGTTGTTCTAGGGGTACACCTGATAAGGTTACGCATCCCAGGCCATGGGCACCAAACCAAGAAGAGGGTCAAAGCGAAAGAGTCGACACACCTGAGCCAATGCACACGGCGAGGCATTATGCTGAAGCAAGAGTCGAGCAATCCGCATGTTGCCGTTTTCGCAGGTCCAGAATATTGGGGTCATGCCATCCTAACGAGCATGTCCACAGCTGATGAGCAGCTTGCAAAAAAGCATCATACCAACGATGGTGCCTCCATTGGAAGTCATTCGCACCGTTGCACACGCATCAACGTTGGCACCACACCGCAGCAAATAGCGAACAATATTCACATGTCCTGCACGACAGGCACAGTGCAAAGGCGATAGCCCAGACTGGACGTCCGGCCCATGAGAAATGTGAGTCACGGCACGGTTCAGTACTCTGAAGGCAGCAAGAGAGTTGGCCGCAGCTGTACGAAAATCGTTGACAAACCTCTTGGCAGACTTCGACTCCAGCTCCATTGATCAGCAGGATGCGTGCCAGGTCCATGTTTCCAGCATCGCAGGCCTTGTGTAAAAGAGAGTGCCCTGACTGCATGCATGGTTGTCATAAGAGAATGGACCAAGGCACTGAAAAAAGACTTGTGGGGCGATTTGACTAGAGGTCAGCCTACCTTTGGGTGCACCCACGTCGCAGCTTTGCGCGTACGCGCAGGCGACCAAGTTTGCAGCAACTGAGCAATTACATTCATGTCTGCAAACTGGTCAAGTTTAGCACCGTCGGACAAATGCTCGTTGTTGCAAGGGAGGTAAAGCACGCTGGCTGGACACTCTGCTGCTCGAAGGAGCAGCAGAGCCATGTCGACATGTCCGCCTTGACAAGCCGCATTGAGCGGCGTAGTACCATTCTGTAGGTTTCAGGTAGCCCCAAGACACCTCTCAATGAAAGCCAGCAAACAAAGCCAGGACAAGCTTGTCTTCTTGGATGCTTACCGAAGCCATCACGCGGAGGTCGGCTCCAGCTTTCAAGAGCCGTTGCACAATGTTGAAATGACCGCCCAGGCAAGCCGCCAGCAGCGGTGAAGTGCCATTCTAACATTGGCAAGCATCGGTCGTGAAGACGCAGCAAGTGCTCATCCAGAGCTAGCGCCGATAAACAAGACCCATTACTTTTTTTTTTAATTGTTTTTCAAGAATGGCACAACAAGGGAAACCTACACGGGAGGTGGTGTCAGTGCGTGCCCCTGCTCGAAGCAGTGCTTCAACAACGGTTGCATGCCCCTGTCGGGCCGCAGCCAACAACGGCGTGTATCCATCCTATATGGGCAAACGCATGCCCAGAGCTGATCAATAGGGATGCGACCTGGTTGATGTCAACGCATCATGGGCCGTAACTTAAAAAAGTGGTCGACGGACCTGACGTGCAGCGTTGCAATCGGCGCCGGCATGCAATAAGGTTTGCACGACCGCCATGTGACCCACGCCGCTTGCAATGCAGAGCGGCGTGGCCAATTCCTTTCCATGACAATGACTGCAATGAGGTTTTTACAAGCGGGCATACCGCGTTTGGCAACCTTTCTGCTGGGGCGTACCTACCCCATCGAGTGCGTTAATCCGACTACCCGCGCCCAGCAAAAGCTGAATGGTTTCTATATTGTCACCTTCACTGGCGACATGAAGTGGGGTCTTACCCTCCTGTGCGGGGCACAGCAATAAATGATAACGGCCACGCGAATGCCACTCAACATGGTTGGGCATGGTCAGTTCCCTCACCTCAGTGACAGCGTCGGGATCGGCCCCTGAGCTGAGCAGCTGCGCCAGCAGCGACGCGTGGCCAGCTTCACAGACGTGATGAAGACTGGTTTGTCCTTCAGCCTGTACATGATCAAGGGTGTTTGAGAGGCAAAAGGTAGGCCAATGCTCAAAGAGCAGTCCAAGAGTAGTCCAAGCATAGGTACTTACATGTTGCTCTCGCAGATGACAGGCAGCGGCCTCGCGCTCGGCAAGCGAGGCCTGTGCCCAAAGCTGTAACGCCTCCTCTGCAGTGCTTTGTTGACACGCATCAAGCCACGCACGGGCGCGGACAAGCTCGGGGCCCTCTAAAGCATTGCCCCGATACAAAACACCCTGATCCCCCGCCTCGCTCCCTTCCTCACTACCACCAGCGTCATCATGAAGCAGCCTGGCACGTTTGGCCACGGGCTGTCCCGTCATGGTCATGCCGGACGATCCATTCCCCATCCTGAAAATTTCACTCCTCCCTCAAAAATTTCATTTTTCTGACATTCTCCCATTCCCAAGTTGTCAGACGATTGCTGCCGTCGTCTTTTGAGTTTTACCGTTACATCACACACACACACACACACACACACACACACACTGGCGAGGTGTCAGTTGTTTCATAATATTATTATTGCGAGGAGATGGCGGGGTGTGACTCGCGAGGTGGTGAGACAGGTCTCTGGCGACCGTTGTCGCTAGAGAGGCTGGACGGGGATGACGTGCCTGGCAGCGGAGCTCCGTGGTTGATTGAAACCCATGATCATTTCCTGACAGCACCCAGTTCCCCGGACCCCGAAGACCATCAGGTGGGCCGTTATTCAGACCGCGATCGACTGATCTTCCTCGACCTGCTGGATGTGGTGGATGAACACGATAATGTGCTCTCCGACAGAAAGATTGCAGACTTGCTGCAGCAGCGTCTAGGAAAACGCTTCCCCGTTTCAACAGTCGCTAGTTGGCGACGCAAATACAGCGAGCGCCTGTTAATGCGCGCTGCTGGCACGCTGTCCATGAGTGAGCCGCTCTTAAAGCCGGTACGAGGTTGTCGTACCGGCCGCCCTTCTGTGCTGGATGCAGAGGATGAAAGCATCCTGATCGAGTATGACGAGCGCTATGGCAAATCTGGCTCGGTAGCCAATGCCCGTGAGTATCTTTTTGCAAAGCGCTACAAGCCCCTCGAACTCAGCGGTTCCATTGAGCCGTGGCATGTCTCCCTGAGCACGATCAGCAACCATCTCAAAAAGTACTGCCCGACGCCAGTGTCAAAATGTGGAACTATGTCCATGCGCCCACGTCAGCAAGACACCTTTGGACCACAAACAAGCGAGGCATGCCGCAACTACATTGCATTCCTGGACTCGCTGGACGAGAAGCATCAACTATTTTCATCAAACAAGCACGCGCTCATCTCTGTGAGCGAAAGCTGGATGAGCAGTCTAGCGTCGCGATGTCGAGGCCCCACATCTCAAACTCAGCGGAAGAGCGGGCACCTCGCCACTCGCTCGTCAATTTCGATCTTTGCAGCCATGACCTGTACAGGTGAAATGATAACAAGGCGCACCCACCACGGCCCCTGCACGGCAGAAAACTCACAGCGCTACATTGAGGCAACAATTGCCGCCTGGAGGGAAAAGTATGGTTCAGAGCTCATGGTCATCCTATTGGACACTGCCCCGCATCGACTGAAGGCTATTACCACCATGATGGGTGCCGACGGTGCCGAATGCTCGGGCAAAGAGTCGACGTTCGTGCGGACCTCGAGCACAATCCTCGAAAGCGATGAGCGCTATTCCCCTCTCACGTACTATGAGCTGGACGCCTCACAGTACGGCGGACCAGTCCTTGTTGTTCCTACGCCAAGGCGCCAGCCGAGCTTTGTTGCCATGGACGCCGTGCTAGGAGCCGTCAAATATGCGGCAGAGGGCATTCACGTGCATACACTTGATTCTGATGTCCGGTGTCTCTCAGATATCTCAAAGGCAATTCTTGGGGTTGCCTTTCATTGCTACGTGACCAGGGGTGTCTTGGCAAGCGTAGCCGACGATGCGCTCGAATATATGACAGCTTGGCGCGAGGGCACGGTGAGCGAGGATCAAGCTCAAGCCCGCCACGAGCAGCTGTGCAGACGTGACATGAACACATTTAACCAGATGGTGGCTGCAATCGGTGGTGTCTTGGAGCATGACGGCAAGCTTTTTGACCTTGTGCCAATCCCGGTCGTATCTACAGATCTGGTCTGCTGCAAAAATGCCGCTGGCCAAGAAACCTCTGCTCTCACCAAGGAGTATATGCCTTCAAGCGAAAATATGCGATTGCTAGCACAGCGTGACAAAGCCCGGGCGCAGGCCCGGGCTCGTCAAAAGCGGCCAGCTGCCGCACGCAACGCCAACGCAGCAAAGACATGAAACTTCTGCTCAGGCACACATTTGAATCTCAGAGCAGTCTTATCAGTGCTCCCATTTAATGCGTACAAATTGACCAAGACGTGCAGCCTGCTCTCCCGCACAGGCACAGACTCTTTCCAAAAAATTCCATGCTGCAGATTCACTTCAAGCTTCCCCAACTGCTGCTTAGTTTCTTCCTTAAAAGGCCTTTAAACTACGTTCATGCACCTTGTCATGCCGAAACATTGCCACGATTCAAGGCTTCCATGGATGTTGATTTGGGAGCTGAAAAAGAGGGCATGGACTCAACAAGTCAACTGTAGCCGAGAAGCACAAGATTGACGACGTGCACACAAATACCTCTATTACTACAACATGTACCAGCAACGACAACCACTTGATGTGACAGCGCACATCCAACGTGTTCAGAGAGGAAAAGTCAGCGCTCAAGCAGCTGTAAGAACCCATTTACCCTCCTTGCAGGCAATGTCGATGGGACGACCAAGATCAAGCGACTGTCGACCCGCCTCCAGCACGACCGTGGTCATGATGGTGGAGTGCAGCGTGGGCAAGACGGCGTCGAAATCTTCAGGACGCTTTTCCTACAAGAACAGATAGCGGAAGGATGAGTCTGGTCATAAATGCCTCAACCCCTCGTGAATACGGTTCAAGGGCACCTCGTTGTTAATGGCCTGAGCAGCAGCCACGAAAGCATCGATGCTCTTGTAGCCATAGCCATTGTGACCATTGAAATGGCCATCAGGCCCAGGAACGTAAGCCATGTACAGAGGATTGATGCTCTTGTAACCCTCCTTGTCCGTAGTCACAAGATAGCCACGGTGAGCTTGGTCCACGGCAATGTCACCTACAGCCATGGGCACGAGCCCCGATTATACTGAATCATGACGCCCGACCAGGGACGACTCTCGGGTGGCTGCAACACATACCCTCGTGTCCCATGTAATGGAAACGTTGCTGAGAATGCACTTCCCCCTTTGGAGCTATCATGTGCGGAAACCAGTCGAGGCAATGGCACAGGATCAGTTCACGAGCAAGCGTATATGCAGTTTGCAGTTTGACTTGATCGATCAGGGGAACATAATAATGCTTGCTGGCGGCAGACCGTACCGCCCCACGAGGAGGTGTAGATGGCCGTGCCCAGGTTGCCCGTGGGCTCGTTTTTCCATGTTGCCATAATGGAGATGGTATCCTCGGCACCTGCACTCAATGAGTCACTCATGAGTTGGGAGACACAAGAAAGCGATCGACAGGCTCAGATGACAACAGGCAATGGGCAGCAGCGGTGTTCACTGTCAGGCGTGAAGATCGCACCCTCGGGGCAGTTGAATGGTTCCGAGGATGCAATTCCTGTCGCGGCGCTCGCCACCACCCGCACGGGCTGGCCACGGCCCTCCATTTGCCAGGCGTGCGCATCGATGTGATGCGAGTTGAGGTAGTAACTGATGTCTGACGACTTGCCAGCCCAGGCCTTGAACGTCTGCAGCACAGGCAAGCAGGGTGTAGCAGGCAGAAGAGAATGCTGTGAGCAAAAGAGATGACAATCGGCATCGGGTGCTCAACCGGCAGCTGTGCTTACTTCGAGCTGAAGCTTGGGCTGTGACATGAAGCTGTAGAAGTAGCTAAAGTCACCCAGTTCACGGGCGCGGCCACGGGCATCCGTGTAAATGGGGTCCCAGCGCTTATGGAACTCCACCATTACTAGCACGTTGTGTCGGCGGGCTAGCTCTTGCAGCTGCTCGTGATGATCCACGGTCATGACGGCCGGCTTGGTAACAAGCACGTGCAGGCCACGCTAGGGAGGATTCGAGAGCAGACGCGGCGATAAGCTCAAGGTGCTGCACGTGAGAGCGGGCAAGAACAACGCAAACCTTGATGGCCACTTTGCAAATGTCAAAATGAGTGTCGTCGGGAGTAAAAACGGTCACAATGTCGCCTTTGTGCATGCTCTCAATGGCCGCAAGATCTACGGAGCGTATGCGAAATGCACACGTGCCCAGCCAGGGTCAAACGGTGAGAACATGGGCGTGTGCAGCAGGTGAGGATGACAGATGAGTGGAGTTGGTTGATAAACAAGCACGTACAAGCCAGAGTATCCCGAGGCACGTTGTCATTGGGGTACGTGTCCATTGACACGTCTGGACGCAGGCAACGAGGATGGGCGCACGTGAGCTTGCACAAGAAGGGCAAGTCAGGCATGCGAGTACAGTGTACCATACCGAGACCGGCGTAAACATCGGAAATTTGCGTCTTCAAGTGTTCGCGAATACCAGGGAACTTGGTCCCGTTGGTGCCGACACAGGCGACGCGGCCGATCCGGCCAAGGCGGCGGAGCTCAAACATGCACAGGCCGATCACGCCCTTGGCCTTGTCCGACTTTGAGCTGCTGTCATGAACATAGCCGGTGGTATACTCGCCCGTCCTGAAGGATCCCAAGTGCGCATGGCATGCAACCAGCCGCAACAATCAGAGTGACGGCCGTTTCAAGACGAGATCAGCGCAGTGGCCCCGTTGCTCGTGCGGATCGCACGCCAAACCGCATTTCGTGAGTTTGTGACGTACCCGCACATCAGCACGTTCACCTTGGGCAGGGCCTTGGCACGCTTGGCATCGGGTGCAGCCGCCATGCTTGAAGTTGATGGATTGATCGGCCGTTGACGCTCCTTCTCCGCACGATCCACCAGAGGCGTCTGCTCGTGGACTCGGCAAATCAGAATAAAATACACAACAACAAGATCACCGAGCCACTGAACGGAGCTGCTGTCTGGAGCCGAAGATCAAAGACACAAGGCGTAATAGTGTTGGTGGAGTTTGTGTAGATGATTTAAAAGTTATTGTTGTTTTGTTAAATCGCTAGTCGTAACTATGAGAAGATAATGTTTGAGGTGATGTAGTAGAGTAATGTTTTAACGAACATAGTGACAATATCAAAACTTTTGCTGACCGTTACACACTCACGCTGCTCTGTTTCCCTCTCCCTCTCTCTCTCTCTCTCTCTCTCTCTCAGCAACAACGACAGGGATCCCAGCCCCGACCCAAGCGCGACCGAGAGAGAGAAAGGAAGAGGGTGGGCGTGAGATAAGTAGGAAATCATCGCGTCGAGGCCGTGGCTGTTGTGCGGGTGACAGGGCGAGGCAAGGCCATTTTTATCGCCTCGAAGCCGACCGATCAAGCAACAGCAACATGACAGACACCGCGGCACAGGGTGCAGAAATGGATCCGCTGCTGGCAGACGAGGAACAGACTCCTGCGACGAGTCAACCGGCCACGCCCAAGCCAGATGGCAGCGCCGGCAACAAGCGTCAGGCACGACTCTCATCAAGCAAACGGCGACAACTAACTGAGGTATGATGTATGGCGAGATGGCGAGACGCAGGCAAGCATCACCTCATTTTAAGCGCGCTCACCGTGAGCATATTGGCCTGCGTGTGCCTGACGTCTGGCCGTGCAGGCATTGGACCGAAGCTCCGTGATCAAGCCTATGGAGGTGATGTGGGGCCGCTATCAGCGCATGGCTCATTGGCCCTGTCAGATCATCAACCGCTTGGCCCCAGAAGCCGAATTTGAAATGCCTTCGGCCGAGCGACCAGCAGACCAGTACCCCGTTCGCTTCTTCGGCACCTGTGCGTCTGCCGGCCGTCAAGATGCTCGGCACATTGTGATTTGGGTCTTTGTCACTGCTCCGTGGATGCTCACATGCATCGGATTGCATTCATGTCTCAGATGATATTGCCTGGCTCGACCGAAGTCGCTTGGTGTATTGGGAGCCTGGCTTTCCCTTGTATGCCAGCAAGATTCGCAATAAGGTGGGCACCTTGGGCGGCGACAAGGGGAAGGAGAGAGAAAACAATGACCAGGCACTTGGCCCCTCTAGGGTCGACTTGGGCCTTCCTTTGGAAGATGGACCGCCCATGCTCATGTGATCTTCACGCCGGCTAGGTGGCCAAGCAAGCGATTGCCGAGGCCGAAAAATGCGCCGAGACTGGCGAGGTACCTCCACAGTTCAACAACCCCAACGTGACCATGCAAGGCGCTTCCCAGGAGGAACCAGAAGATGCAGCAGATGCCCCTAGCGTTCAGACTCAACTTGATGGCGCCGCCTCGACTACCACCAGCCAGCCACAGGAAGCCGGTGTGACCATGGAAGGCGAGGACGCTGGGGCAGCCCCCGCCGCTAAAAAGAAGGGTCGAGGGCGTCCACCCAAGCTGGGCACCATCACATTGAATGTCAAGGGTCCAGCCACTCCCGAACCAGGCCAATCAGACGCCACTGCGCCGAAAAAAAAAAGCAGCACCAAAAAGTCAGCCGCAGCTCGCAACAAGACCAAAGCCTCAAAAGAACCCAAGACTCCAAAGACCCCCAAGGCGGCCAAAAGCAGCAAGAATGCAATTGACGAGGAAGACGCCGAGCCCGCCTCAAAGAAGACGCCCAAAGGAAGCAAAACTTCCAAAACCCCCACCAAAAACAGCACCCCAAGTGGACAGAGCAAGACCTCCAAGAGCAGCAAAGGCGCCAAGAATGCCAAGCGCGCCGAGTCTGCGGCGACACCAACCACGGGAGGTCAGACAGCCGCCAAAAAATCTAAAAAGGGCTCGTCGGCCAATAGCACGGCCGAGGACGACCCCATCTTGCCCCATAATGTAGACTTTAAGGTGCGGCTGCGGGCCAACCTCAAGCCGCACGAGGCCGCACGGAAGGAGCGCCAAGCCAAGGTTCAACACCAACTCGGCCTCAATCTCCCACGTGCCGATGCCTTCCGCAAGTGGCGACAACCCGTGACCACGATCTAACAGCCTTGCATAAGAGAAGCTGCATGATAGAAGCTGTGCAAGCCAATTCTTGTCGTAGCCGTGCCATGTTTGCCTGACCGCCTGCCGCCCTCTTGGGAACGGCTCTGCTGATTTCTAAAGCATGCAAAGTGCAGTGAGCTGTCTGGTTTCGTGGGACAATGAATTGAAATTATGATTCGGCGACATTCCCGGCACCCCACTGCGCCAGCGACCTCCGCAATGGCGCACACGATCCAGCTGATCATCACCCCCTTTCCAATTTTTGAGGGATCTTCGGTATCCAGGCTTCTTATTGCTTCTCTAGCGCTGCCTCTTCCTTTGTTATGAGGGCTTCTGGACAAATCACTGTTATGGGGAGAGGAGTGCGCCCTTGGCGCCCCATCGATAACCACGAGCAGCAGCAGGGGAAATGACGAGAGAATGATGCGCCAACGATCTCTGCCACGCTCCTCCACGCCTTGCCTCACCTTGTGGCTTCGTGCATCTCCGGCGCAATGGACGGGTTTCATTGGCGGAGTGTGGGTCTGATCCAGGGATCATGTCCTGGCCATGCACGTTGGCACCACTCCATTCCCATGCCGTCCCACCCTTTTCGTGTGCGCAACATTCAAGGCGCGCATTGTTTTCACTGCCGTTTGTCCATCGAAGATTTGTAAAACCAACTCTTCACCAACTCCATGGGTCGTGCACACCCTCCTTGACCAACTCTGGATCGCGTACAAAGTGATTGCTGATGGGCATCTCGCCGACACACACACACACACACACACACAATGTGACTATGGGGAAAAGGTTCACAATTATTTTGTCATCTACCAAACTCTCTCTCTCTCTCTCAAACTCTCTCTCTCTCTCTCTCAAACTCTCTCTCTCTCTCTCTCTCTCTCTCTCTCTCTCTCTCAAACTCTCTCTCAAACTCTCTCTCTCTCTCAAACTCTCTCTCTCTCTCTCTCTCAAACTCTCTCTCAAACTCTCTCTCTCTCTCTCTCTCAAACTCTCTCTCTCTCTCAAACTCTCTCTCTCTCAAACTCTCTCTCAAACTCTCTCTCTCAAACTCTCAAACTCTCTCAAACTCTCTCTCAAACTCTCTCTCAAACTCTCTCTCTCAAACTCTCAAACTCTCTCTCTCTCTCTCTCAAACTCTCTCTCTCAAACTCTCAAACTCTCTCTCTCTCTCTCAAACTCTCAAACTCTCTCTCTCTCTCTCAAACTCTCAAACTCTCTCTCTCAAACTCTCTCTCTCAAACTTTCTCAAACTCTCTCAAACTCTCTCTCTCTCAAACTCTCTCTCAAACGCTCTCTCCTCTCTCTCCCTCTGCGGGTTATTGTTCAGCCACATTCCCCATGTGGTAGTTGTACTTTTCTTGCTCTTTACATTCCCCATTGCCCACCCTCAATTCTGCTGACACGCAAAGGTCGGCGCTCAAACAATGTCGTGGTGATGGAAGAGGCTGCGCCAGTGACGGTGGAGGGGTTTTGATGCTCCGGGACTGACTGTGAGCTCTGTACAACAGAGCAGGACGCAGTGTTTCTTGCACGCTGACTGCAGCATTAGCAGCCGAGGTGTGGCTGCCGTGCGTGTGTTTCTGTTCACAAGAGTATCCGCGTGCCATTGACAGCTGGAGCCATGGAGACTACCAGCATGCCCGCCGCGGCGGCCTCGACGACCACTAGCCTCGGGGACAGCGAGGCACCTCTTTGGCAGGCCATCATCACGTTAATCATGCTCGTGGGCATGCTCGTGGCCATGGCCTTGGAGGTGGCACCCGCCGACATGATCATGATGACCACCCTGACCCTCTTCATTCCGCTGGGAATTGTCAGCGTCGGCGATGCCGTCGCCGGCTTTGCCAACACGGGCATGTTAACCGTCGCCGTTCTCCTCGTCGTGGCAGCTGGTGTGCAAGCCACAGGGGCGACCAATCCGATTCGGACGTTCTTGGAGCGTGCCACCCGTCTCAAGTCGGGACGCACCATGTCCCTTCCCCGCATCCTCCTCATTGTCATTGCTCCCATCTCTCTCCTCTCGGCCTTTCTCAACAACACGCCCGTCGTGGCCATGATGATCCCGGTTCTCGAGCGATTTGGTCAGCGCCTGCACATTGCTCCCACCAAGCTCCTTATTCCGCTCAGCTACGCCTCGATCCTCGGTGGCACATGCACGCTGATTGGCACCTCCACCAACCTGGTGGTCATTGGCCTGGCTCAGGAAGCGGATCCTGACTTTAGCATGGGCCTCTTCGACATTGCCCAGGTTGGCCTGCCCGTGCTATTGGCCGGCACTCTGTTCATGATTCTGGCTGGGCCCCGCCTTTTGCCCGACCGACAAGGTGTGGCAGCCTCCCTGCAACGTCCCAAGGAGTACATGACCTCCATGTACGTCCGAAACGCCGACGAAGGTGGGGGCTCCCTGGTTGGCAAAAGTATCGCCGATGCTGGCCTGCGACAGCTTCCAGACCTTTTCCTGGTTCAAGTCGAGCGTGCCAACTCGGGTGACGTCATCAACGCCCCAGCTCCCGAAACGATTCTCCAAGGTACGTGCGTAGTTGTGCGCACGCACAATCCGGGCAGCGTGTCTAGCACCCACAGGGTCTGCCAGATTTATCAACTCCTTACCCGCCTCCCACCTACATGTATTTTGTTCTCAAATACAGCTGGAGATAAGCTCTTGTTCGCGGGTGTGGTCGACTCGGTCGTCGCGCTGGGTCAAGTACCAGGGCTCCGACTGGCCGAGCAGGGCTCCTCTAGCTCTTTGGAACTCTACAAACTCAAGGGCGATGACATCTTGATTGAGGCTGTCGTCGCACCCCGCTCGATCCTGGTCCACCGCACCGTCCGCCAAATCGGCTTCCGGTACGCGGCCTTGCATGCAGTTGTCTCGTGAAACTCATCCCTGGCCGCTCGCGGGCCTCCTCTGCCGGCTGATCAATGTGACACCCTCGTGCTAGCTCGCGCTACCATGCTGCCATTATTGCAGTCCATCGACACGGCGAGCGCATCCGCGAAAAGATTGGTAACATTACTCTCCAGGCCGGTGATGCCCTGCTCATGGTGGCCAAGGCCGACTTTCTCAAGCAGTACCGGAATCAAGAACATTTTGCCCTTGTTTCTCAGGTATGAAAGACTTTTGGGTTGTTTTCGAAAGTCCGTCCCGCTGGCCTTTTGCACCCTTGACCTCTCGATCTCATTTGCTCGCCAATTCTATCGCGCAACCTTTGCCGAGTGCAGGTGGACGGAGTAGCAGCAGTCCGACGCACCAAGGCCTGGCTGGCCACTTTGATTGCCCTCACCATGATTGTCTTGAGTGTGGCCGAAGTTTTGCATTTATTGACGGCGGCCCTCCTTGCCACCCTCCTTCTTGTGCTGACCGGCTGCATGACTGTACCAGAGGTCGGTGTGCTGGCAGTCCAAAGTCTGGCATTGACACCTTTTTTTTTTTTTTTTCAGTACCCGGCGCAGCTTGTGCAGCGCAGATAAGACAGACATACTCACCGCGCATGACCCTGCGGGTTGTTGCGAAATTGGCAGGTGCGTCAAGCCATCAATCTCGAAGTCCTCATTGTCATTGCTGCGGCATTTGGCATCAGCAAAGCCATGGACAATAGTGGGGCAGCGGACATGCTCGCCAGAGGCCTCCTTGCCGCCGCCAAACCCACAGGGACAGCCGGTACGCTGCCTGGCAAGCACTCGGGGGTCCAGCATACCCAATCTGTCTGCTAGCTTTCGAGGACGTGCAATAAGTCACTGCGTCGTGTGTGCATGCAGGTTTTTACATCATGATCTACCTCGCAACAACACTCTTCAGCTCTGCTGTTACCAATAACGCAGCGATTACCATCATGTTTCCGGTGGCCTTTCAGGCAGCTGTCGATGCCAACGTTCGTGTCGATCGATTTCGGCATCTTCAAAACTCCCCATAGCCAATTGCGTGCACGCTTATCTTTGTTTTCCAATGGATCTTTCTGCCCGGGGCATGGTAACTTTGCAGATGGACTTTCGACCCATCATGTACCTGCTCATGCTTGGGGCCTCGGCCTCGTTTGCGACGCCGACGGGCTATCAGACAAACTTGATGGTTCAGGGCGTGGGCGGTTGTACGTCTCCACTGCCTGGCCTTTGCACTGGTTGGCAAACCCAATTTGCAGACTCATCGCCACACCCCTGATGTAAATCGCGCTGGATGCTAGACACGTTCGGTGACTTTTTGCGTTTTGGCGGCTTGCTGCAACTGGTGGCAGCTGTGTGCACCCTTGGCGTGGTTGCCACTTTGGACTACTGGTGGTTGTGGGCCATCAGCTTTTGCGTGGCAATCATTGTGAGCATCCTAGTGTTACCCAAGACGGCACCTTCACCGCCTGCTGCCGAGGTGAGCAGAAAAATCTCGGCGTCCTTGCTTCTCAGCTTCAAGCTCGAGCTCACTACCGTGTTTGTGTGCTGTTGTTTGTTGTTGTTATTGTTCGAATGACAGGTGACGCCGCGCGCTGAGCGCCAACGGCGAGAGCGATATGTATACCACCCAGACCTGGGGTTGGCCCCAATGGATGACACGGATGACGAAGACTTTAACAGTTCGGACCCCACTGTTCCGTTGGCGCTGTCGAACCTGAACCAGGGTGGGAACGAGAGCCACGTTTAGCCTGGTCTGTCCCCACTCAATTGAGGTGTGATTGAGAAAGGTGTGAATCAAAGAGCATGACAGCAAAGGTCAATTGATGACAGCTTGATGGCTCAAAACATGGCAACCAAGGATCCGGTACATCCACTAAATGCGTGTGGTGTCACGCATGTCCGAGCTGGTCAAACATGGTACAAAAGGCAGACTGCATCAGCTTTGCTGGCTTAGTTGCCCAGGTTCACGTAGTGCCACTTGTCGACTGCAGATGACAGGGGAATTTTGCGACACAGAAACGTGTGTGAGACTTCTGGAGGACGCTGCACGCCCGAGGCAGGAGGCTGGCAATGGGAAACATACCGCTGGCATCAATGGGAGCAGCCGGAGCCGGGGCGGGAGAGGCCGCAACAACTTCCGCGGCTTCCTCAGCAGTGATGACATCAACACCGCCAATGGCGCTCTTGACGCAGACCTAAGGAGCGAATCGGGGTCATGAGGACACGTCCTCAGAGAGAACACAAAGGATGGATCCATGACTTTGTGATTATCAGATGAAAGGAAAGGCCACACCACATACCTTGGAGTTGGTAGCCTCGCCAGAGTGAAGCTTTTGCCACTGCTCGCGAGTCTCCTTGATGATGCTCAAGGCAAAGTCCTGTGATACCGCAGCATACAGCAATCCGAGTGAGTGGAGCCAATGCACATGGTTATATGCACGCTGATGCCGTGCGTGAGAACGAGAGGAAGGTGCCGCTACGTACACGGCCCTTGGCCTCCGAGTTGAAAGCAAACTTGTTCTCGGGCTTGCCAGCGGGGATCTTGTAGATGCGGAACCACTCGACGGTAGCGGCCAGGTAGCCACCCATCACCTTCTCAATGTCCTCGACGTCCTTCAGCTTATCAGCCTCAGGATCGTTGATGTCAATGCCGAGAACCTTCCAGTCGGTCTCGCCGTCATCAATCATGGCCAGGACGCCCAGGACCTTGACCTGCTTGACCTCACCGATCGCGGCCACCTGAGACGGACCACGTATCAGTGTTTGGAGACATGGCAGGGCTTAGGGTCAGCGTGCTGGTGGAAGAGCGGGTGGCGGTATTCGAGGCTTTTTTTATTTTTCACATGCACGCCCAGGCCCGGCTTGGCGTGCGGGCTGGTGCACTAGGCTGAAAAAGACAAAGAAAGGCGGGAACGATCAACGTACGCGCGAGCCGAGGTCGCAGATGTCAATGGGATCGTTGTCACCCTTCTCGCCCGTGTGGGTATCGGTCTCATCGGGGTTCTCCCAGGTCTGAGGAATGGCACCGTAGTTCCAGATGTAACCATGGTGGGGGAAGCAGTTGTCCACGAAGCGCATCTATTGTGGCCGGTGCGGCCCATGGGTGTTGGAGGGAAAGGGGTGACCTGTCAGGGGTGGCATTGAACGGGCCGAGGGGCACAACTCGAGGCAGTGCGTTCTTACCTTGCCCTTCTTTGTGTCCTGGCGGATGGGGTTGAGGGGGTTCTCCTTGGAGATCTAGAGAAGAGTTGGGATGAGTGTGTGGGACAATGGGAACATGTGTCATTGCAGGTGGCAAGATTGAGCAGGGCTTGTCCGGCAAGTCCCAAGGAGTGGGCTTACCTCCATCTTGGCGTTGGTCCAGCGGGGCACCTCGCAGACCATGTTCACGATACCGTTCTGACAACGCCCCAACATCCAGCGTTCAACGCCAAGTGAGCGCAAAGAATTGTCAGAGAGCGCCGATGCGCCATGCCGAGGCCCAGCAAACATGGCGGCATGGCCCTGGAACTCACCGCCTCATCGGCAAAGGTGGGGATATCGTGGAAGGGGGAGATGTAGCGGCCCTCGGCATTCTCTGCCACATTGCGAGATGATGACAAGGACGAGGACAAGGGCGGCAGATTGAGTGGAGCGGGGCTTTGATCAGTGTGCAGCAAACCCAGCGGGACGGGCGCGAGGTCTGCAAGGGAGCAGCAACTCACTGAAGTAGACCGAGTAGTCGGCAGTGTAGCGGGCACCCCGCTCTTCGATCGAGTAAGCCATGGTTCGAAGTTGGGGCAAAGCACGCAGCTAGAAAGAAATGCACACACCAGAGTGTAGGCTTGTGAGTCGACATGATCCCTCGCTCGGGATGTGTCAGTCGATTGAACCACGACGACGTGGCAAAACGGTCCCAGTGCATGCGATCCCTGAAAAGTGCATTTGACAAATACCAGTCGCATGACCACGCTAGACCCTTTGGCACCCTGCTCCCCGCAGCCCAGCTGCGACCGACTGGCGCTGCCGTTTTGTAGTTCAGAGCTCCGTTTTGTGTGGGACACGAGCCCGACTGTAGCCAGTGTCACACTTACGGGCTGTTGAACGACTCGGCGCAGCATGAAGAAAAACTATCACCCAATTGGGAAAAATACTGCCATGGCCAATACAACTTTAGTCTGTGGACAGATTCAGCCGAACCGCTGGTCCGCGCTACCAAGTGTGATGTCTCGTCCGATGGCTTCTCACGGATGATGTCGTAATCGCTGCGGGATGATGCAACCCAGCGCGTTTGCCACGTGCCAAAAGTTCATGGTAGAAGAAGAATGGCTGGTATGTGTGGACAAGATGTTGTCATTCTGGAGGCGTTTTGCATCATCGATTTTGGAGACGAAGAAAGAGAAGATGCAGAAAGAAATGAAGATATCGTGGTCTCTTAACGCTATGACTCTTTAAGTGGACCCGGGTTATTGCAGCTCTACGGCAACAAAGAAGCAGTAGCAACCTCGGCGCAATCTACCTCTCCCTCTCTCTCAAACTCTCTCTCTCTCTCTCTCTCTCTCTCTCTCTCTCTCTCTCTCTCTCTCACACAAACTCTCTCTCTCTTTTCCTCTCTCTCCTTTCTCTCACACACACTCTCTCTCACTCTCTCTCTGTGCCATTTCGATTTGGCAACGGGGACGAGGACCTCAGGAACCGGACTGCCAACTGCTGCTCTCCGACTTGTTCGATCTTGTGCTTGAGCTCTTGTTGGTACGTGCATGCATACACGGTTCCATCGTGTGTTGTCGTCAGCTTGGGGTCCAAGCAACTTGCTGCTTGACGAGCCCTGCACAGTCCACCCCATTCTGCATAGTCTCGCTCTTGGCACCACCAGTCACTTCTCGTGCTCACTTGACGCCTGCATTTGCATGGGTTGCGGCCTAGCTCTCCCTCCACTGGCAAAGCAAGCACCACACCGTCACCATGCCCGTCTCCACCGTCGCCACTCGTGCCGTATGTGTTTCGACCGCGCGCCCAACTCTCCCACCACCCCCCCTGGACAAAACTTGTTCACACAAAAAGTTTCACTGTGTGTTGGTGCTAGGCCCCCGCGCTTCGCCGCGTCTCAGCCCGCGCAGCCAGCACTCTCACCCCGGCCAAGGTCGGTGGTCCGGACTCAGCCCCTATCACTCTGCGTGCTTGCTACCTTGCCCTCGTGCTGACCTCATTGCGAGACTGCCGACAACACACAGGAGGTCTTCATCTGCAGTGCCGCGCGCACCCCCATTGCCTGCATCTCCAAGTCTTTTGCCAGCCTTACCGCTGTCGAGCTCGGCATTGTCGCGGCTCGTGGTGCCATCGAGCGCGCTGGTCAGACACCTGCTTCCGGCCTGCTTTTCAAAGCTCCCTCGCCTTGCGCCGCCGAACGACCAGGCGTTTGGCATTGCTCACACTTTGGCCCTTCGCCTCGCCGCTTGCAACCTCAGGCCTGACCGGCAACCACATTGAGGAAGTGTACATGGGCAACGTGATCTCTGCTGGCCTGGGCCAGGTGCGCTTGTGTATTTGCATGCATGCTCGAATAGACCTGCCCACTGCGCTCATGCCCCACTGCCCTGCCCCACCTTGCAACATCCATCCCCACAGAGCCCGGCGCGTCAGGTCGCTCTGGGTGCTGGTTGCCCCGAGTCCACCGAGGCCACGACCATCAACAAGGTTTGACACACCCGCGTTTGCCTGCCTGTCTACTTTTGCTTTTCGGGCATCTCGAGTCAATCTCACGGCCAGCACCTCCACCCGTAAACAACAGGTCTGCGCCTCGGGCATGAAGGCCATCGCCATGGCTGCTCAGAACATCCAGCTTGGCTACCGCGACATCATGGTGGCCGGTGGCATGGAATCCATGACGAACGCCCCCTATCTTCTCCGCCAAATGCGCAACGGTGCCCGCTTTGGTGGTGTCAAGGCGGAAGATGCCATTCAGGTTGATGGTCTGACTGATGCCTATGGCCAATACGCCATGGGTATCTGTGGTGAGGACACGGCTGCCAAGATGGGCATCTCCCGCGAACAGTGCGATGAATTTGCCCTCATGGTAAGTCTACCATGTCCACCTAGCCAGCACATGCTTTGGGACCTGGATATCGCAACGATGAACCAACCCTTGGTTCTCGGACCACAGCTTGCTAAAAGCTCCAGCTCACCATCCTCCCCTGCCACCTCGTTCTTTTAGTCTTACGAGCGCACGGCTGCCGCGAATGAGAAGGGCCTCCTTGCCAAGGAAATTGTTCCCGTCTCGGTGGCGACCCGTCGTGGTGCCGACCCTGTACGTGCTCTTTGCCTTGCTGCACGCGCACACCTTTGTGCCATGGCGCTCGTGTCGGTGCCTGCGCCATCCTGACACTGCATATTCAACAGGTCGAGTATTCCGTCGATGAAGAGTTCACAAACATCAAGAAGGACAAGGTTACCAGCCTCCGCCCTGCTTTCCAGAAGGATGGTGTGTGCCTTGAACACGCTTGCCGCTCCGCGTATGCCCCCTTTGCCACCAGCCGTCCCAAGCTGGATTTTAACAAAGCCAGCTGACGTTTGATTGCCTTGGGGTAACCCCTATAGGCGTCATCACTGCTGCCAACGCTAGCACTCTGAATGACGGTGCTGCGGCCGTTGTGCTCGCTTCGGCTGAAGCCGTCGAGGAGTACGGTCTCAAGCCCCTCGCCAAGATCATTGGTACTGCATCTGCTTCCTATTATTTTTTTATTTTTTTTCGTCGTTGTACTCCCCATCTCCGTGCCGTCCATCCACCATAAACGGCTTGCTCAACCCTATTTGGGCCCTCTCGTGTGCGCACGCCTGTCCTTATCTTCTATTATGATACCTCAGGCATGGGTGATGCTGCCCGCGCCCCCATCGAGTTCCCCATTGCCCCTGCTCTTGCTACGCCTATTGCGCTGGCCAACGCCGGTGTGGCGGCCGCGGATGTGGCGCGCTGGGAAATTAACGAGGCCTTTGCTGTTGTGGTTCTGGCCAACATGCAAATTCTGGGTCTTGATGTTAGCAAAGTCAACATCAACGGCGGTGCCGTCTCCCTTGGCCACCCCATCGGGTTTGTCTCTGCCGCCTTTTGGTGTAAATCTGCACCTGCTCCCTGTGCGCCGATACTCATCGTCGTCGACGCCGCTTGTGATGTGTCCACCCCCAATGTAGCATGTCCGGTGCCCGCATTGTCGGCAGCCTGGCCCATCACCTCGAGTCGGGCGAGATTGGCTGTGCCAGCGTCTGCAACGGTGGTGGTGCTGCCTCCGCCATGGTCATCCAAAAGCTTTAAATTTGCATCTGCTTGCCTTCAACCCCTTTTGTTTCCTGAACCGGCATGCTACTGTGCCAAACATGTTCTCGCGCCCGCCTTTGAAATTCACGATAAGATACCCAAAAGAGTGTTGCTGCATATTATTGCTCCGCTCAAGCCCAAGGGCCATGAGAGCAGAGCATTGGGTGCACAACGCTTCAATCTATGCTACAGCTCGGCAAGCTTTGCAGGCGCAACGGTGATGCATCTGGGGAGGAGGGCATATGTGGCTGCGCTCAAAGAGCACGAGGCAGGCATTGATAGCAGCGTCGATTTCTTTCTCACATGTCAATTTGTTTCTGCTCAAAAGTTTGGAGTGAAGCCTCCTGTGAGTACAGACCAAGGCAAAAAGGATGCACGCCCGGACTGACAAAGTCGCAGGGCTGGTTGCCCCGTTTTGGCTTCTGAGATCACCTCGATCGACCTTTCCTCAACTCGAATGTCGTCAAACTTCCAGTCATACTGAAAATGGGAGTTCTGCTCAGCCATGGTGGCCAGGTCGAGGCCACACTGCAAGGCACCACAAAACCGCAGGAGGCGTGACTCGAGCTGCGCCCAGAAGAGCGGAGCAAAGTAGACCCGTTGGACCCGCATCTCCCGAGTGGCAAAGCACACCGATACAAAATCGCACCACGTGCGCACGTTGCAGACAGCCATTTGCCCTTGCATTTGGCAAAGATACCGGAGAGGTACGCCGTGCACCGGATGCTGGTCGGATCGATAAAGGCCCCGCACGGGTGCTTTGATCTCCAGCAACCCTTGCGTCGATGGCATCACGCTGTCATTGGATACAAAGCCGTCCGGGCTTGCACCTACCAAGCCATGCAGCCGCTCGCCGGGGATGGGCGTGTACAGCCCGCTCGGTGTGATCGTGGAGCCTGTCAGGACCTCGTACATCTCAGCAATCACTGGCTCACAGATATGGCCATGGTTCATCGCCCGCTCAGAAAACGATGTACGCGCCCTAGCCTTTGCCTTGCGAGGCGAGCCCGACTGTGAGCCTGGCTGTGAGCCTGGTGCTGAGCTCGAGCTAGCACGCCGATCTCTGCGATGCTCCATAAAATGAAGCATCGATCCGTCTCCTAAGCTGACGGCATCCGCAAATTGGGACGCTGTGACACACAGTGCCTGGAAGTTTGCAGCACACCGGGCGAGCAAAAAAGGGGTTGGTCAGGAATCGCTCGAGTGCTCGAGGATAAGACCTGGGGAAGAGCCCGCGCACCTGCCGGGCTTGAAACCACTCTGGGGTATTCTGAGCCGACACCAGCTCCATTTTTCAGTTGTATGCGCTCTGCCTGGTCGGTGCCTATCGAGCACACGAGAGGGCTCGGCCGGAGGGCAGCCACACCTGCATCCGACTCGAGTCGCGATGCAAGCACACAAGCATGGATGGTGAAGAAGAAGAAGAAGAAAAATCAGAGAAACGAAAGTGTGTCAAATCTTATTTGGAACGTGCAACTGTAAAGGAGAGATTGGAACAAGCTCATGCTATCGATTGGACGCGTCGACACATGTTAGAACGACAGGGGCGAGGATTGCTGGAACAAACAAGACTTTCAGCTCCAAACAAATTGGTACAGCGGGGACAAACATGACAGCGCCGGAGAGGGGGGTAAAAGGAAAAACAAAGTTCTCCCAAGAAGCAGATACAACTGTACACTGGTTCCTGAGTAGGGAGACACGCCACAGCCATGCTACGACCGCAGGCCGCGTTCTCACCGGTGCTCAAAAATGATGCAAGCCAAAGGCACCGTCGTTGGCTAACGACCAGAAGACTTGGCCGGCCCCTTGATACTGGAGCTCGAGGCGCGACTATTTTTGCGGAGGGAGAAAAGACGGCCCGAACGACGTTTGTCTGACGGGCCTGCAGCCGCAGGACTGTTGGGCAAACTGCCGCCGTTGGCCTGATCTGCCACGGCCTCGGGTCCCAACAGCTGAGCGGCCTTGCTGTTATTGACGGCATCCAAGGCTTTTTTGCGGAAGCGCAGGGCACAGTTTTCGAGGTGTTCGGCAGCCTCGTGCTTGCCTTGCCGACGATACAGTGCACACAGATTTTTGAGCGTTGTCGTGACGGTGGGGCTGTCAACCTTGGCAGCCTTGTGCCAGCCGCCGTAGTTGTCGTCGACCTTGGTAGAGGGGTCATCTGGCGGGGCTTCGCCGAGCAGATAGGCCGCCTTGTCGCGAGAATCAGAGCCTTCATCCAACGGGCCAAATTCCTTCTCGTGCGCAGCTTCGAGAACCTGGCGGTAGAGCGCCTCGGCCTTGCTGTACTTGCCCTGCTTGAGGTAAGCCGACGCCAGGTTGTTCAGAGTTTTGGCCACATTGGGGTCGTCCGGCCCAAGCGTTTTACGGTAAATGTTGAGCGCCCGCTCGTAATACAGCTCGACTTGATCATATTGCCCTGAAGGAACAAACAAGTGTCACCGGCCCCAACAGCAGGCAGGCGCAGAGTTGATGAATCAAGATCAAGGGAACGACCATGTACCAACAAACCAGATCAGGAATGGAAAAAAAAAAAATTGGCACAGCGAAAGCATGTCCATGACTGTACTGTACCTTGGTTTTGGCACAGGAGTGCCAGGTTGTTAAGTTGTTTGGCAACGTCAGGATGATCCTCTCCAAGGACCTTTTCGCGAATCTTGAGAGCTCGTTGGCAAAGAGGCAGTGCATCCTGGACATCCACACACACACACACACACACACACACACACACACACACACACACACACACACATCGGGTCACACCACAATCACCGGAGTGAGCGATACCAGGCCGGTGATCGTGTCGGGGCACAATCAAAAGCGGGTCACGGAGGAAATCAGGTCACAAACCTTGAATTTACCGCGCTTGCCATACAGCACGGCCAGGTTGTTGAGCGTGGCGGCCACGGCGGGGTGGTCCTGATCACCAGTATTTAATAAGAGGCAAGGTGAGAGAGCAAGGGAGGAAAGAAGCCCATGGGATAGGTCGGCCCATGCTAAGAGCCTTCCGCGCGCTCCGGGCCAACATGTTCACATTTCTCATACCGGGCCCAGGGTGCGCTCGCGAATGTCCAGGGCCTCCTGCAAGAGGACACCAGCCTCCTTAAACTTGTGCTGATCGCGGTACACGAGGGCCAGAATGTTGAGCATGGTGGCCACATCGGGATGCTCGCGCCCTGTACATGCGCGGCGCGATACAACCGCCGACCACAAAGTGAGTACTGCAATCGGGGTGTAAGCATGTGGGCCCGATGCGAGCGTGAGTCGACGCACCACTGGCTTTCTCCAGATCCTCCAGCGCCTGTTTGCAGAGAGGAACGGCCACTTCGTAGCGGCCCTGCGAGGCGTATTGAATGACCAGGTTGTGCAAGGTCTTGAGGCGTTGGGGAATTTCGTAGACACCAGCCACGGCAGAATTGTCCTCCTGCGTTTCGGGCTCGGACGAGGTGGGGAGAGGTTGCAGGGCATCCTCTGTCTCCATCTGTTGGTTGTCATTGGTGCTGTTGCTGTGGGTATCCTCCAATCCATGCTGTAGAAGCGCATCAAGAAAAACACAAGGGCCGTGGCAGTGAGGCACCCCGTGACCGTGTCGACGGCAACACCTGCAGCGAGCCAGATGGAGGCGTCGATAAAGCCACACCTTTTCCATCAACACGTGCTGGCTCTTGATGTCATCCAGCTCATAGTGCAGACGTTCGTTCTCCTCTTGCAACTCGGCGTTGTGCTGCATGGCATCACCCAGTTGCTGGCCGCTTTCCTCAACTTCAGTGCGCAGTCTGCAGAGCGACGACATTGATTTTGTACTCACGTCAGGTTACTGACCGCCGGTCCCGTGCGGTAGAGTGAGCCATTAAGCCTACCGCATGTTGTCTGAGCGGAGCTCCTCGACCTGGGCGTGCAGGTTGCTCATTTCTTGGCTGACAATGTCCATGTACTCTTTGAACTGTTGAATGAGCTGGATTTCGCTTGAAGCACTCGACACTAGACAGGTCAACGCAAACAGGATGGATGGTCAAACGAGAGGCCACACCATGACCAGTCGCGACGGCCAAAGGGGCAACGCTCTCAAGTGACAGTGGAGGTAAACTTACCCGCACCCGAGTACACGGGATCGGCGGCATCTTGCAGCGACACTTCCTGGAGATACAGTCAAGAGACCGATCGACAATACCGCTTGATCAGGCAAGCACCCCCGCCAATACAGTTGTTGCTGTTCAAGGCAAAAAGACCCTTCTGGCTGTGGGCCAACGGACGCGCGGGCACCAGCGCGATACGCACCTTTGCCAGAGTGGCTAGCTCATCAAGAAGCTCATTGCCATTGTCCTCCGCAAAAAGCTCAGCGCGGCTTTCCCGCGTCTGAAGCTCGGGCGTCGCCATCTCGAACAGGAGAACACCCTGCCGCGACAGGCAAAGCGACGCGAAACAAGATTAGACAAGGCGCAGGCTACACATGACGACAAGAAGCGCATCCATCAAAAAGTGGAAATGCATTTCCAACGGCTGCATCCAGCCCCACACGACCACAACCCGCCGCCTGACTGCCGCTGCCATTGCGGTTGCAGCTCCTCTCACACACACACTCACACACACACACTCTCTCTCTCTCTCTCTCTCTCTCTCTCTCTCTCTCTCTCTCTCTCTCTCTCTCTCTCTCTCTCTCTCTCTCTCTTTTGTCTAAAATTTTTTCTCTTTCTTTTGTTCTTACACACTGACTGACGAACAGAAAAAAAATCCTTCAAAGCCAGTGTGTGTGTTTCGTTTCGGTGTGTGTGCCTTATCCAAAGTAAACAAAACAAAGGGGAAACAAAAGCTGGCGCATCCAAGTTCGCCTGCAAGCAAAACTGATGAACACATCCACTGATACGCCATCGCTTGCAAGCAACCTTCTCCGTCTCCGTTTCTCTTTTTTCTTTTTGTTTTAGGAGTTCCCGCGCAAATTGGTGGTGGAATTGTCGACAAACGCGCAGGGGGTGCGCGCATCACACGCATGCACGGCGGAGCTGGGCTGTGTCCTCGACCTGCATGAGTTGGGGGCAGAAGCAGAACGGGCGGTGTGGGATCATGAGCACCGAACCGGCGCCGCAGCGAGGGCGCCGTCGGAAGCAAGGCTTTCGCGGACGGCGCATGCGCAGCACGTCCGTGTTTGAGTCCAATCCAGGACGCTCCCCGGCCGTGGCCGTGGCACACACTGACAGCGTGTACCTGCGCCAACTGGTCGAGGACCCCGAATTCCCTGCCCACAACATGAAGGAAGCGCTGCATCTCTCCCTGCAATGGACCCGGACCATTCAACTCCGCCTTCGATCGCTGCGCCACCGAGCTGCTGCACGCCGCGCGCCGAGTGTGACTGCTTACTTGGGTGCCCTGCTAGACGCCGATGCTCAAGGCCCTGCTGCCTCAGACAGCCCTACCCCACAGAATGGAGCCGCATCAGCACTGAGCTCCTTGATGAATGAGCCAGTGGCACGTCCTGCCGAACCCACACAGGCTGCTACCTACCCCGTGGCCCTCTTTGACTTTGCCCCGCCTTCTGCCATCTGACCGGAGTTGCGCTGCATACAACGCGGTAGCCATGTCGAACTCTGCCTTGGAGGATCTTTTGCAGCCAACCGCAAGTTCTCATTCTTTTGCCCTTTTTTTCTTTATTATTATCATGGCCCTCGTGGGGGGATGTTAAAAATTTGCTCGGCATTCGAGGGCAAGAAGTGCCTTGGCGCGCGCGTGCTTTTTCCGCCCAATGGTGCTTGATGGTAAACGCATGTAATGGAATTTATTTAGCCCTGGCCCGTTGCAAAATACTTGACGACACACGCAAACACATCCAATCCCGTGCAGACAGATGAAAAGTAATCAATTGCACCTGGCAAAACCATTCGACCTCCAGGGCGGATGGCTCAAACACTGCCAACAAGCTCCAGCTTGGACAGCTCATGACCAAAGTTATCGTTTGACTTGACTGCAGCCGTAGCGCGCACAAGACCCCAGGTGCGATGTGAGGGAACGAGCCACAAACTGCTTGAGCAAATGACGCAGAGCCGGGCCCACAAAGCCTTGCAACCGTCCGCCGTCCTTGTGACTGAGGCAGACCCTTTGCTTTTTCATACAGCCGGCCAGACGCACCTGCAAGGCCATCAATGGCCAGGTCATTGTTGGTAGGTCCGTTGTTGTCATAGCCGTAGGCTCCCTCCACGCTGTTGACGCCGTGCAGCTCCATTTCGACGTACATAAAGTAGAGATAGGAGGCCTGCTCAGGCCTGAAAAGTCGTTGGGGCCAGACAGAAACAGTAAAGAATGCTATGAATTGCACGTCTCGAACATGCGCAAGATAGAGCAGGCTGCCCAAAAGTGGCATCGACGAACCGGAAGATGGTGCACAGAACCTCGCCGTCATCCTCGGTCAGATCAAACTCCCAATTCTCGTTGGTGCCACCCACCACGGCAAAGGCCACTGTGCATTGAATGGTCTGGCCACTGGACGTCACCTACAGAAGCACGCGTGACCTGATGAGCCCTTGGTGGTGAGTGTGGAGGTCGACTGAAGTCAAGGAAGAGCATGGCGTGTACCAGCTCTGTCATGTGATGCTGGCGCGAGCCGTTGGGCTTGGCGTTGATGACTTCACCCGACGACAACGCCAGACCCAGCATCATCACGACCAATACTGCCAACCGCGACATGATGCTTGGTCAGTGGGATGGATTGACTATCCACGGCACCCGGAACGCAACCAAGATGCCAATGAGTGACGCAACAAGGCAGCCGGGAAAGCGATCCAGTCGTGGAGGCCAACAGCGCACAGAAAAAAATAATCACATGAACAGATCAGATTTTGTTCTGAAAAATTCCACCCTCAAGAAAAAGTTGGGTTATTTGTTTCGTTCACCCTTTTTTTGTTGTGTGATGATGAGCATGTTGGTGATGATGTGATGATTGATGGGCGCCAACCACCACGACTCGCAGCCTCAGGGGGGCAGCAGAGCAAGAGGAAAGAGAGCAAGCAAGGGTCAAGTTAAAATTTAATGATGGTCCAGGTTAAACAACACCAAACGTTGAGCATGAACAAGATGCATGGTACCGCGAGCGCCTCAGGCGACCGGACCATGCATCGGGAAAGAGTTGCAACAAACAACATGACGCGCTTCGACCCCGCAAAATTCAAAGACACATCATCCAGTTCATCGTTAGACGGGTATCCATGATGGAGCAACGAAACACAAGCCTTGAGGCGGGCGCATGAAAACATTCGCCACACGCACAGCCAAGGTTGAAAGGAAGAAGGATTGAAAGAACAATTTCAAAGAAAAGAAAAGGCCCGCCAAGCGATGCCGCGTTCCAGAAATAAACACACGGGTAAAGCAGGTGGGATAGGAAAGGGGGTAAACGGGAGGAAACCTAAAAACTCAAAAAGTTGATAAAAGAGCTAGCTGTTATAAACCGGGAGACGTCTGCGAGTAGCTGCTACTTCTGGAGCGATTGACATCCATAGCACCCTGCACCCATGAGGACAACGAAGAGAACAAAGTCATGGGTGAGTGCAAGCCTGATATGACAAGATGACAAGGCATCAGACGACACAATTCTTTCTGGTGCTTACCAGCTGAGCTTGCTGCTGCTGCTGCTGCTGTTGTTGGTGGTGATGTTGGTGGTGGTGTTGTTGTTGTTGTGGTTGCGGTTGTTGCAGTTGTGGTTGTGGTTGTGGTTGTGGTTGTGGTTGTGGTTGTGGTTGTGGTTGTGATTGTGGTTGTGGTTGTGGTTGCGCTTGTGGTTGCGCTTGCGGTTGTTGCGATTGCTTTTGCGGCGGTTGTTGTTGTTGCTGCTGCTGCTGCGGCAGCGGCGGCGGCTGTTGTTGTTGAGCAGAAGCTTGCAAGGGCTGCAGCTGTGGGATATGCGGCTGGTTCGTGGACAACTGCTGGGGTAGGGGCTGCATCATGGTCCCGGGTGCAAGTCCACCGGGATACTGAGGAGCCATCATGCCTGGCTGCCCACTGCTTGCAGGGGCTGCGCCCATCCCCGCACTGTTGGGCCCAGCAGGTAACTGGCCATTAGGAGGTGGATAATAACCAGAAGGGTAGCCATTGGCAGACCAATACACGGCATTGGTGTTGGGACCCCCGTGGCCGTTGGGGATGGCTGCCGGTGCCGGTGCGTGATAGCCGGCAGGAACTTGCGATGGAGGAGCCTGCTGGACGGCCGCGTGGTTGGCGTTTTGAGATGCCTGGGTTGGAGCGGAAGTTACTGAACCAGGCTGGACGGATGACTGTGTCGGCTGTTCTGTCTGTTGTTGAGGCACAACCTGGGCTGGCATGTGCTGTTGAGCTTGAGCTTGAGCCTGTGCCGATGGCACCTGCTGGGACTGAGGCTGAACCTGGCCTTGAGATTGAGATTGATCATGAGGCTGAGCCTGAGGCTGAGCCTGGGGCTGGGCCTGGGGCTGTGCCTGGGGCTGGGCCTGGGGCTGGGCTTGGGCCTGGGCCTGTGGCTGGGCCGAGGCTGGCGGAGAGGTCAACACAGAGGAGGGTGCTGGTTGGCCTGCCGGGTCCGCACTCGACACCGATGCCGTCCCAAGCCCGTTGCTGCTACCCTGTGATGTTGGCGAGGTGGGCGAGTCGATGCTGCTCGTGGACGGGGTACGTTGGGCAATAGGTGGTTTGGGTTCATCCGAAACAGGCTCCAGGCTATGTAGCATGAGCTGCGGTACTGGGGCTTCGATGTCCCCAGAAGTGCACTTGCTGACAAAGGCCTGCAAGACTTGAAAGTAGGCCGAGGTAGACGCGACAAGATTGTGCTTGTCCTCCTCACTAATGGCATCCCCACCCTTCAGCATGCTAGCCTCTGCCTGCCGCAGCGCCCGTCGCAACTGGTCCCAAGATACGGGCTCTACGACCTCGCGCACAACGTCGCGCACAACCTCCCGCATCGGGACACTGGGGCTAGATGAGCTACTACCAGCACGAGGCGTGCTGTCGCCATCACGGTCCCCAGATTCATCGTCGTCCCCAGCACCTGAGTCCTTGTCAGGACCATCTGCGCCCGCCGTCGAACCGGCACCAGCAGTGGCGCCCGTGCCGGCACTTGTGGCAGCTCCGCCGTTGGTACCAGTGCCATTGAGAGATTCAGTCAGCGTGGCTCCAGCGTCGCGCTCCTTGCGGTTCAAGACACCATCCTTGTTCTTGCCCGCCAATTCCTTGCGCGCACCCTCGACCAGCTTGGTCATCTGTGTCAACAACACGTCACAGTCCTCTTTGACAATCAGTTCATTCTGCATCTGCGCAAGATGTGACCAGCCAGCCATGGCGTGAGTCGGTCCCGCACAGCAAGACGAGCCTGAAAAAAAAAGGTGCAAAGGTGGGTTGGTCATGGCGTGTGTGGCGAAGTGTGACTTACCAGTTGATCCACGACATCCTTGATGTCTTCGTTGAGGTCAAGCGTGAAGGTGACCTGTAGACGATCGTCCTGACCTTCCTTGATCTTCTCCAGTAGAATTTGTGCTGTGCCGTCCTCGTTCACGCCCTTGAGCTCGAGTGTACTCGAGTGCTGACCGGCATTCAGAAAGTTGACCAGTTTATCGTCCTTGGCATCTCTCGTCAAAAATTCATGCTTGAGCAAGTCCGGGATGGTCGCGCTATGGCACAATTCAATAAAAAAAGGCCGCAAAGTAAGGTAGGTGAGAAAACAATGTTGATACAAGCGCGCAGAAAACATGACCCTACACAACATGGGCATTGGAAAAAAAAAAAAATGTTTGCAAACCCCAAAGCATGAACATTAGGCACACGAGTTTGTGCGTACCGTTCGTCGGGGTTTTGGCAGATACAAGACATAATGAAGCGATATTCGGGGGAATCCTTTTTCAACTTTTTCAAGCTGTCCGGTTTGAGGCCTTCTGAAACCATCTTGTAGACCTGGGCTGGGTTGGTGAAAGTGTGATATGGGTACTCGCCGGTGAGAATTTCGAGGACGACCATGCCAAAGGCATAAATGTCAACGCGGTGGTCATAGTTGTTGCCGTACATCTCCGGGGCCATGAATTCGGGAGTACCAATGATACTCTTTGGCTGGAGTTGCTCCGAAGCCAGACCGAGGTCTCCAATCTTGACCTCACCGGTGGTTCCGTTGATGAAGATGTTGTCACACTTGAGGTCGCGGTGGATAATGGGCGGGGTGCGGGTGTGCAGGTACTGAAGGCCGCGCAGAATCTGCTTGCACCAGGATTGGATAACCTTGGGCTTGAGCTTGTTACCCAGGGTGGTGATGTATTGCTTGAGGGTGCCCGAGGTCATGAGTTCGGTAATGAAAATGACGTGGCCGCGCTTTGAACTCCAACTGTCATAAAAGGCGGTAATGTTGGCATGATTGAGGGAGCGGAGTGTCTTGATTTCTTGCCGCAAGCGATCGCCGTCCTTCTTCTTCATTTGGGCGCTGGAGATTTTCATCTCGTTCCAGGCCACTTCGCGTGCCTCAAACGTGTCAAGCGCACGGTAAACGTTTTTGAAGGAGCCACTTCCCAAGACTGAGTCGAAGCAGTGGTAACGGTTGCGATCGGGGCCCTCTGAGGGCCCACGATCCCGCACGTTGCGTTGCTCGTCGCCGACATCCTGGTCCTCATCATCCTCATCCTCACTCGAGGTGTCGCTGGATTCACCTTCACCATCAATGGGCGAGGGCTTGGGCTCTGCACGACCGCCGAGCTTGAAGTAGATCAGGTTGACCAAACGGGGATCAATCTTGTCGCCTTTGAGAGGTTCAGCCGACTCGGGGGTCTCCTCTGGATCCCCGCTGGCATCTGGTGTTGGGAGCTTGGCCAGGTCTTCGGCGTTGAGTTGAGGATCGATGGTTTCTGGGGTGTCGAGGGTAGCCAGGGTGGGGGCACGGTAGACATCAGATTGGCTGGCGTTGTGTTCTGAGCCGAGAGGGATGGCGGGACCGGGGCCGGAGAGGTCTGGCGCGGGCAGCGGCGGGGCCGGGGCCGGTGGCGGCAAAGCTTCCGAAGACTCGGTCATGATGGCGGTGGCGACGCAAACACGGTCAAAGGGAAGAGATAAGCGAGGCGCAACCCAAAATGAAGCGCTAGGCCTGAGCTGCTGGGGCAACGGAGGGGGCCGGTGATGCGACGGGGTGGTGTGTGGTCCATCAGATGAGCATGGCGAGCCGTTTGAAGTGATGTCTTGATGGCACAAACAAGCAGGCCGACGGGAGTGTGCTCTACAGATGAGGGCAGCGCGGCGGGATCGAAAAAGGTGAACAAGGATGAGAGCGCATGGGGTTGATAGCGAGTCAAGGATGAGCAAGGACACAGGACAGCAACGCCATGTCGCCCCAGAGGTCGGCTCACCTCTAGCGTGCCAGATGGGGTCTCAAAGCCCAGAGCAAACAGGCAGGGGTGGCAGTGCGCGAGGCACGTAGAAAGCCGTTGTAGCGTCAGCAGAAGCAGGAGCTTGCTGGAGCTTGCTGGGCACCACAGCAGCAGGCACAAACAGATGTGCAAACAAGTGCGTGGACGCGCGTGTGTGTGGAAAGGAAAGCAGAGGGGCTCTTCCGGCAGAACGCAGATGACAAGTCGAGTGGAAACTTGCAGCGTGGCACGGGCAAAGAGAAAGCTAGAAGCCTGATGATAAGGCTCCGGGGTTTGATTTGAACGTGGGGCCACTCGTCCAGACGGGGAGGGAGGGAAGGTGGAGGGGGGGGACTGGGGGATGGTCCCAAGAAGCGGGAAGGTTGGGCCAATGGCCAAAGCTTGCCGTGCGCAGGGTCAAGAGAAAGGATGCGGAGGTGTACTGTGCCGTTGGGAGCAAGCGACCACGCAGCCGGTGAACGACAGCAGCGCGATGGGCAAGGTCAAGGGATGGCAGACCAAACTGCTTTTCAGGGCAGCTTCTTCTCCAACAGCAAGGGCCCACAAACTACAACAGCCCACCACTGCCACCAACAACCAACAACCGCCAGAGAAAAGTTATCGGAAGCGGCCAAGCAGCACACACACACTCACACGCAGTCAAAGCGATACACACACACACACACACACACACACACACACACAGAGTCTGAGCGAGCGAGAGAGAGAGAGAGAGAGAGAGAGAGAGAGAGAGAGAGAGAGAGAGAGAGAGAGAGAGAGAGAGAGAGAGAGAGAGAGAGAGAGAGAGAGAGAGAGAGAGAGAGAAGAGAGAGAGAGCGCGCGCGCAGCACACACACTACACACAACACACTACACAGAAGTTTCTCCCTAACAGCTTTAAGCCGCATATCCCAATGCCCGAAGAGAACAAAAGATTTTTAGCACACACACACACACATGTACGACGCACACACACACTGATCACAACGTTGGCTTGAAGGGGGGATGTCGGTTACAAAAACGCTGTGGTGGTCGTTGTTGTCAAGTGTGGTAGATGGTGTTGGGTTTGGCTTAAGGTGGCGGTAAAGTGTGTGGAAGCGAAACCACAAAGAAAGAAAGAGGGAGAGCGCTTCTATGGAACGCGCTCTTGCTGTTTGACGGCGCGCTTTCATGCTTTCACGCTGTGGTTGGTTCTTGAAGATTTTTGTTGTGTGGCCGGCCGGGTGGTGATTGCTCCGGCGCTTTGAAATGGTTGAAGACATCGAGGAGACTTGTCAGGGTCTGCGACATGCCCCCGCTTGAAGAAGGCAGACGGGCCTGCCCCTCGGCTCATCCTCACACTCCCTCTTCCCCTTCGATTCATGTATACACTGGCTCCCTGTACCACATGCATGTGGCGCTCACATTCAACACGGCGGCGTGTGGTGTGTACCCGCAAGACTACGGGAGAACACAACAAGAACTCTAAGTGTTACGTCAGTCGAGATCCCCAAGTGCTTGTCAGCAAAATCGATGCCGAAGCTTATGGCGCGTTGCGTGTGCGACGGTATCACCACAGCATGGACTTGCGCTCCAACAAGAACTGACCGCGGCAACGTGATGCAGATTTATGTGTGAGGATCGGTCACACTTTGCTGCCTGGAATGGGAAACCTGAGGAATGTTCGTCGCTACGCGCCCCTTCTTCCCTCATGCCATGTGTACCACCGACCTACGTGTGTAATGTGTCTGTGTGGAAAAAAAACCTCCCTCGCACCCATCGCATTCATATTAGATTTACCCGTATTTTTGTCTGGAAATCAATTCTCTTCCCTCCATCTGACAACCCCCACGCAACAATCTCCTCGTCCCCCACAAGACTCACTCGGGTCCCCAGAGACCAGGAGACTGGGAGACGAGGAGACTAAAATCTTGTCCGCACCAGCCGGGCATTGGAAAGTGTACATTATGCTCCACTTTCTCCCACCGCCCCCGGGGACTGCGCTGCCCTCGACGCCCCCTCGATTTTTGGTGGTACGTCGTGACGATCCAATGGGCGCTGTAAACATCTGTCGGTTTGGAAGGGAGGGAGGAAGCTGAGCGTTCTCCGTGTCTGTCTTGAGCCCATGCCTCATCATCGGGGTGCTGCGTGCTGGTGGCGGCTCACCTGCTGGAACTTGCTCAGGGCTGGCAACGACTGCGATCGCATGGGCGTGGCTGGCCACTTGATCAAGCCACCCCATTCATGAGCTCTGCTCCCGGGGTCTCATTGTTGGGTGCCCCCGCCGATTCGATCCCCCTGCTGGGGTGATCAAGAAGCCACGCGCACACCGTGTTTTGCGCGAGACTGACCGAAAAGCCCGTGACACGGCTTCGGCTCGGGTCAAGGGTGGTACATGACATTGTCGTTTGCCCCTCGATACGATACGGACACAAGCCCTGGCTACAAGCCCAAGCCCAATCCCCATCATGGCGGCGAGCCCCGCCAGCTCAAGCACCGGGTCTGGATCGGGCATGCCTCGCCCAGCGGCAACCACCGACAAAGCCCTCGTTCACCGTATTTCTAGCGTTCGTTTCAAGTCGCACACTGCCTGCCCTGCACTTGCTGCTCTCCCCTTCCTCACCCAATGGCTAATGTCCCATAGGCCAAGCACAGGGTCGCCAATGAGACGAGCCTGCTCGTGTTTCAAGGATCCTGGAAGGTGCGTGGCCTTGGGGACCAAGCGCTTAGATTGAACCTGTCCCATACCTTGTGCCGACACGGGCGTTCTCGACCCCTACCTTGGCCCGCTGGTCTAGCATCTTGCTTGCGGTGGCAAAACCGCTCCCTCACCATGTGCACGGCCCCGATGCCTGATCTAGGGATGGCAAAAGCAACTTGTGCGCATCGAACAAAACGTCCTTATCATTCGCATGCCCCCATCTCCAAACTCGGCTCGCGTACGTTTCCTCAGACCCATCCCAACCGCATGGTGGCGGAAAATAAACGACCCCTCCACATGTGCTCACGCTTGGAATCAACACATCTTGCTAGGCCCGCGATGACGTTGAATATCTCCTCAGTGGTGCTCGCATCATCGAACAGTCGGCCAAAAACATTCTGCATGTCGCCCAGGTAGACCCTAAGCCCGACCCCTTCTCGCTCCACCCTCGTTTCCCTCCCTCCCCCTCCTGGCCAATTGCCTGGCCTCTCTCTTCTGCCCTCAACGCCTTGGCCGCTGTCCACCCAGCTACTGCTCTCCGATGGAGAACGCGTGTTGTTTCGCGCCAGCAATCGACTTGAGCTTGACCGCTGGATGCTTGCCGTCCGCCGAGCCAGCACAATGGCCCCCGATGTAGCCGTTGATGCTACCCATCACTGGTAGGACGGCTCTTGTCACCACAAGGACCCTCAATGTCATGGGCTTTGTCAACCACCGTTTCGACTCTCATCAATTGGCAACCGTGCGTTCAACCATCACAATGCACACGTGCCGGCTGCCCGCTCCCTTACCTCACCGCTAGGCATTACGTCAAGCGCTGTCGTGGCACCCGCGTATGCGGCCACTGTGGTGCCAGCTGCTCCGGGACGCTTGCCCGCGCCGTGCAATGCGAAGGTACCGTCCCCCTCCATGTGCTGTCAGCTCGATCCAGCTGGCCTTTTGCGTGACCTGAAGCCTTCTCCTGGTTCGACTCACACCACCATTCATTCCCCCATCACAGCTTGCCACATCCTTCTCCATGAGAGCTGCGTTCCAGATCTGCAAGCCTCGTGCAAATGGCGTACCATCGCTCACGTTCCTCAGGCGGAACGCCTGCGTCAGGTCCGTGATCATCCCAAAGGCCCACTCAACGGTAGCCACAAACCCCGTACGCCCACATTGCTCATGCCCATCATCTCTTGCATGGCCTTCAGGCTGCCATGCCACACCAATGGGAACAGCGCGCGGTCCGCGGCAAGTGTAGCGGCTGTGCAGCTCCACTTCGTGGTTTGCGAAGCTACGAGTGTTTGTGGTGCAAGCGTACTGTTCACTCGTTTTGCCGCGCCTCCTGCTCGGCCTCGTGCGATCAGGGGCCATTTGCCCTCTCCGTCCTTCCTGTGCGTTTCCGTGTCTTCTTCTTACACCGTCGCTGGATCCGAAGGATGACGCGCCTTGCTGAGCGGCAACTCGTGGCTGCTTTTATGTTGTTGTTATTGTTGTTATTGTTGTTGTTATTGTTGTTGGTCTTGTTCTTGTTCTTGTTCTTGTTCTTGTTCTCTTGTTCTTGTTCTTGTTCTTGTTCTTGGTCTTGTTCTTGTTCTTGTTCTTGTTCTTGTTCTTGTTCTTGTTCTTGTTCTTGTTCTTGTTCTTGTTCTTGTTCTTGTTCTTGTTCTTGTTCTTGTTCTTGTTCTTGTTTGAGCTTACGTCATTCCTTTTGCCTCGTTCTTTTTAGCCTGTGGACGTGGTGCCGAGCCGCTTTCACAGCATTGACGGTTATTCCTGGCGTGTGTTAAGCCAACCTCACATCTCCCCGCTGGTGGTATTTGTCAACACCCGCTCCGGCAACAACGACGGAGTTCGCATCATGGGCATGCTTCGCTATCTGTTGAACCCAGCACAGGTGAGCCAGCCGCTGAAGGTCTTTGAAGCCAAGGCGTGAACTTTAGACGTTGCCCGCCTCGCTTATGCACCTACCTGTGTGCTAGATCTTTGATTTAGGCCAAGGTGGCCCTGCCTCGGGCTTGCAGCTGCTGCAAGACAGGCCTTACTTTCGCGCTCTCGGTTGTGGCGGCGATGGCACAATTGGTTGGATCCTGCACGAACTTGATAAGCACGGCATTCGTCATGTAGGTCGCCCCGTCGCCGATTCCCGCAGCTTGTGCTCGTACACCTCTGCCAATTTTGGGCGGACAATTCGGCATCGTGTGTTCCGGGTGCATATCACTAACCAAGTCGAATCAATCAATGACTTGTGCTTGGATAGTGCCAGCTGGGCGTGCTTCCGTTGGGCACCGGAAACGACCTTGCGCGTGTTCTCGGCTGGGGTGGCAGCTTCTCCAGTGAGCGCCTCGACAACATGATCGACTACCTCCATGCTGTCCAAAATGCCAAGGTTGCCCTCATGGACCGGTGAGTAGGCTGCCACCAGCCTCTGCCCGAAAATTGGTTGCTCTGCTTTTCTCACGGCACCTTGTGACAAATGATTTTGACAGTTGGAGCGTTACGATAGCGCCGCAAGAATTCTCAGCCGCACCAACCCTCGAAGAAGCACCCATGCCGATTGAGGACCACATTGAAGGGCATGAGCCGGACGCTGACTCACACGATATGCGTCGCAGTGGCAAGAGGTCAGTTTGTTGCCCGCCTGGTGGTGGACGATTGGTGTCCTACGCGTACATTTGTTTTTTTGTTTTGCTTTTTCCTTTTTTTTCCTTTTTTTCCCCCTGTCAGCACCCCGAGACACTTGATTCATTTATTTGTTTGGTTATTTGTCGCAACGTCCTTGCGTTTGTGCGCATCTTTGTTGACGACGCTTCGAGCAGGCTCCGACGACCTGGCTCAGGCGGCAAGGCCGTTGTGCGAGAAAAGGCGCGGGCCTTTGTGCGCACACACTACAACCAGGCCATGGACCTTGGCCAAACCATATTAGGCCTTCTTGATCGTCTGGAGAGCACTTTAGACACCGGCCCCTACACTGGCCCAGGTCGCCACTCAGGTTCCCAAATGGTCTCTTCACCTTTTTCGGAGAATGGCCGCACCAGCACATCCACGGTGCTGTCGGCCTCCTCTTCGCAGCCGGCATCCGCCCTGTCGGTCGCCGCTGACGTGTTCGCGGCGTCCACCGACGAGGAGCTCAAGCCTGCGGACATTGTCCAGACGCTTTTGCGTTACATGCAATCTCTCTTTGACGTCATCGCCTCGATGACCGAAGACATGACCAAATCGTCCAGGTGTGTGGTCATTTTCTCCATCAATCATCGGACAGGTGTAGCATCAAGTCCATCGAATGTTCACAACACCTTTGTCAAGACCGGTTATATACTTCTTTATTAGATTCTTCCTCTTGTTCTTTGCTTTCTTGGTGTTCAGCTGCTCATTCACTCGTGTGTGACGTGTTTCTCCTGGCTCTCGCACGACCGATGAATTCTTCTTGCCTAGTTTTCCCCGCGAAGCTATTTCGCGTGCGGCCAGCGCGCGTGACCGATGCGCGCGCATTTGTGAAGGCCTCGAGGAACGTTTGCAGGTAAAACAAGCAAGCGTGCCCGTGCACATGGGATGCATTTGATCAAACTGGCTCGCCTGGCCATGTGCTCACTCCACCATGTTGCATCCTCAGAGCGCTTTAACCGAGGGCACTAACATCCAAGACATTCGCTTGGCCATGTCCGTCATCCTGGATGGATTATCCAGCCTCATGGCTGCGCATGACTTGGACGTCGCTCGACAACTCTCAGACAATGGCGGTCCCAGCTCGTCCGGAGAGGAGATGAGCGTCATGAACAAGTATGCTCGCTTGCCAGCATTTCTTCTTCTTCTTCTTCTTCTTCTTCTTCTTCTTCTTCTTCTTCTTCTTCTTCTTCTTCTTCTTCTTCTTCTTCTTCTTCTTCTTCTTCTTCTTCTTCTTCTTCTTCTTGTGTTCCCCGAGTGTATCGGCATTGAAAACTGCAACATCCTTTGACTGGGTCATATTATGGCGCGCAGCTATTTTGGCATTGGTCTTGATGCTAAAATTGCAGCGGAGTTTGATACTCTGCGCAACGAATTTCCGCACAAATGCCGGTATGTGTACACACGACCGTCGCGGGCCAAGTTGATGCTCGCACATCGACCAACTTGCCTCATTGAACTGCGGTGAATTGCCCAGGTCGCGATTGAAGAATCAGATGTGGTATGGATGGATGGGCCTCAAGGAGGTGTTTTTGAACACGTGCAAAAACCTCCACCGGCGCATCCGTATCGAGGCTGACGGCAAAGTCTTGGACCTGCCACGGCTGCAGGGTGTGGTCATTCTTAATATTGGCAGTTACATGGGTGGTGTTGATTTGTGGGGCACGCCTCGCCCTGGCTCCTCGTTTCGGCCTCAGTCATTCAATGATGGCTTGTTGGAGATTGTGGGCATTCGTGGCTCCATGCAAATGGCCATGTCCAAGTCTCTCAAGCTCAAGCCCATCAAACTTTGCCAAGCGCGTGAGGTGATTATCACAATGCTCGGCATGGAGAAATTGCCAGTACAGGTGTGTTATGTCTCCGAAGACACCAGCCAGGGTTGCGCCCGTCTCGCTCCTTTCCACCGTGGCGTGGCGACTTTTGTGCTCACTTGCGTCTGCTGCCGCCCCACCTTGATTATCGTTGCATAGGTGGACGGCGAGCCATGGATGCAGTCACCGGCCGTGATTCGCATCAGTCTCAAGGGCAAGATGCAAATGCTGTGCCGCGACCGCAACTTTGAGCAAATCGTGCGCGGCTGGAACGCACCCCTTTCAAAGGAAGCCGATCTCATTACCGCCTTTCGCTCAACGATCAGCGCTGTACGTCTGCACCTTGTAGTATCGCTTCAAGCGTTGGCACTGCTTCTCTGATTTTATTGTAATCGTGGCTTGGTAATGGGAACGGATTGCTGTTCTATTTACTCAATTTTTTTATTTTTTTCTTCTTTCAGCTGCGAATGGAACTTGGATCAACCGGCGACCTCAATTCCTCGGCCCGCCATGGGCTCAAGAAGTTTGAGGAACGCCTCACTAGTTTTGCCGGTGCCGTCGAGGTGCAAGACCTGGATGAGCCTCTACTTGCACGAGAGGTGCGTCTTCACACGCACGCACATGCCATCAAAGCGTTTTTTGTTCCCACCTGACTGGACACTCTTGCATTTGGTTTGGTAGGCGTTTAGTCCGGCTCGTGCTCGCTGGCTTGTGACGAACTCACTCAACATGATGAGCACCCTGCACCAAGCCATCGCCGATTTGGATGCGACTGCACCTGCTGTACAGCTCTTTGAGCGAGCACGTTTGCAAAGCCTCGTCCTGCTCAAATTCCTGAATGAGGCTGTACCGACCTGGCTTGCCGAGCCAGCAGGCACGAGCACACTTCAGGTTGGTTTGCAATTGCAAATGACTATTCCACCCTTTGATCTCAAAGGATAAGCTTAAAACCAGTGCTTGTTATGCTCCCCCAACTCATGCTGGCACCGTGCGGCGTCGTAGGGCCGTGCTGCGTTGGATCAGCATACGTTTGCTTGATGAAAGTACTGGGAGGCAGAATAATTAATGTTTCGATGCTTTGTGTTTTTTGTCTGTGATTGTTGCCTGTCATTTTCAATAGTCAAGCATGATGCCTTCTCGCGCACGTGCGATCACACATGTCGACTGCCTTGTTTGTTAACCTATAGTATGTCTATGCACGACCTTGCGTGTAGTTTTTGTGTTTCCCTCGCGGGATTTGCACGAGTTTAGATTTTCCAAAGATGTCAATTATATCATCACAAATACGCCTCTGAATACCATGATTGCCCTTGCTTGTGCAAATGGGAACGCGAGGCGTTGGACTCAACAGCACAAGACGAAAGTGGTTTGGCCCAAGGCATTACGCCTGTTCTTCGGCGTTGGAAGTGGGAGTAGGCGTCTCCTCGTCAGGGTTGCCTAAGGCACACGAGTCATACACAAGGAGTGAAGATGAAGCTGAAAAATCAACGTAAGAATAATCAAGCTTACCAGGGGCTTCTTCGGTGGCGGGAGCTTCCTCAGCAGCAGGGGCTTCTTCGGCAGCGGAGATTTCTTCGGTGGCAGGAGCTTCCTCAGCAGCCGGAGTTTCTTCGGCAGCGGGGGCTTCTTCGGCAGCCGGAGCCTCTTCGGTGGCAGGAGCTTCCTCAGCAGCCGGGGCCTCTTTGGCAGCCGGGGCCTCTTCGGCAGCCGGGGCCTCCTCGGTGGCAGGAGCTTCCTCAGCAGCAGGAGCCGCCTCCTCCGCAGCAGGAGCCTCTTCGGTGGCAGCAGCTTCGTCGGCAGCCGGGGCATCTGCCGCTGCCTCTTCGGATTTTTCCTCCGTCTTGGCGTCACCTGAACTCTGGCCTTCATCGGCAGGCTCACCATCTCCTGGTTGTGTCGCAGTAGCATCGTTACTGCCGCCCGGGCCGTCACCGTCACCGTCGCCGTCGCCGTCACCATCGCCGTCACCATTCTTGGCCGCTTCAGCGGCTTGAGACTCAACCTCGGCAACATCGTTCTCTGGGTCTTGCTCTTCAAACAAGAGCTCATCACCATCAACATCATCTCCCACCACCATCATACCACACTTGATATCATCCACGCCAAATTGTGCCCGAATGCTGCCGGGGTCCTCAGCACTACCGACCAGCTTGCTAAGCCAGTAACGTGCCCCCGGGCGTGACAGCTTCAAAAGGGTACTCTCGCCACTATCACATCCAGCATGCAATCATGAGCCCATAGATAATAGCATGCACATGCAAACGCCTCCGGGTGCCCAAGCTTGTCCTACAGACCTGATGAGATGCTCAATGGCTTCTGGGGTTGCCATCGGAAATATCTTTTTGGCCAAGACATCCGTCAGCAAAGTCTATCAACCGTACACGGCCAGCCCGCAGGCATCATCACACAAGTGAGTTTCGGATCACACTCATGTATGTGCTAGGCGCGACAAGCAAACGGTGCATCGAACGAATAGCCCACCTGTTTCTGGTTTTCAATTGAAAACCTATGTTTAGCCAAAAGACTAGAAATGCCTTGGGCAGCGTCACCAGCACTGCACTCGGGAGTAATCACGGCAAAATTGGTCTCAGCCGGCATGTTGTCATATGCCCACCCTGATTCAAGCAGATGATTCACACGTGAGTTTACTCGACGGTAGCATCACCATCAGCCAGTGACGGAGGTGACCAGCTAGTCCGTCTTTGAAAGGCACCAGGCCGTGAACAGCACAACTCACCATCGAAGAAGAAGTTGATTTCGCGCATGGCTGAAGACGAGCTGTCAGAGCCGTGCAGCGCGTTGGCTGTTTGATCGGTGCCAAAGAGGGCACGCAGCGATTCTGGTTTATCAGCCCTGGCGATCTCTGTATTTGTGGGGCCAATGAGCTCGCGCCATGCCTTGATGGCATCTGGGGCAGACAACACCAGCACCTTGATGGGGCCAGAGGTCATAAATGTCACCAAGTTCTCGAAGAACGGCTTGTCTGCACGGGCCGGGAGTCAGACCAAAAAGGGTAAGCTGCGATTCGCTTGTAGACAACGGCAAGCGAGGCTCAAGCCCTGTTGCTGTAGCTCCTCACCCTTATGCTCGCCATAAAATGCTTCGGCTTGCTCCCGGCTTAGCGTCATCTCGTTTTGTGCAGCCACGCGAAAGCCTGCCTCGGCCAGCTTGGCAAAGATGGCGTCGGCATGCCCCGCCTCCACGGCATCCGGCTTGATGATGGCAAACGTATATTCTTTGTCTGCAGCAAAGGGCGACATCGCCGTGAGATACCGATTGGCAGAAAGTCTTTAGCATGAGCACTGTACCGGGAACTAACCGGGAGCGGGTGCGTCTGCCACGGCTGTCTGGGCACTGTTGTTGTCACCGGTGTTGGCAGCGCCCCCCTCAGACTGAGGGGCCGCTTTCTTGGACGGTTTCTTAGCAGAAGCGCCACGGCTAACCGACACGCCAGTTCCTTCAAACTTGACGCGTTCCGTGCCCTTGTCAAGCGCATCGTGCTCACGCTCCAGCTCCTCTTGGATCAAGCTCGTAATTTTGGGGCCCTCAGACCCACGAACAACATTGACGAGGGTATCGGCCTGTTGCACCAAGCAAGGCGGGCGCACCATGCGAGTTCGTTTGTCAAAATTAACAATCGATGATGCATATGCCACCACGACGAGCGGGTAAGTAAAAATGCAAAGAAACTTACGCCGTAGAAGAGAAAGCACGGCTCTGATGTACCATGAAAATCACTCAACTTGCTGATGCGATCGGTACAAGCCTGCCCAAAGTCCAAAGGCAAAATAGGCATGATGAGATGCTGAATCCACAGCATGCCCCAGCACATGACGGCGAATGGGTGTTTTTGGTTTTGTTTTTCAAATGGCAACAGCAAAAGAGGAGCAGGTGACACAACAGCTTGGATGACAAAGACGAAAAAGAAATACGAGCCGGACCGTGGCAAAAAGAAGAAGATCATCAGTAAGGTCTGTCTTGAGACGCCGAAAGGTAGACTCCAGCGCCTTGCAGGGTCCACACCATTCTGTGTAGGCATCAATCACTGCAAAACGTATATTTGCGATACCAACCAGAAGCAGTCATGAGCAAAAGAGGGCTCGATGATGAAGCGTGCAATGGCATAGGTGAGGCGAAAAGTGGAGTGGCCTTGCCAGCCAAGAGCAACTCACCCTTGAGACCAGGCTGGCTGAGGAAGGCCTCAAAGGATGGCCCATCCATGAGCTCTTCCTGCATCCCGCGCGATAAATAAAACATGCACCCGAGCATGCGTTGACAGCCCGTTAGCGAGGCCAAATGTATCGAGATCGAGCTGGACTGGGACTGGGTCTCGGGGTTTTTCTCTCCCCAAACCCCTGCCTCTGCTCTGCTACGATTGCTGGGCCCTATACCTCCGACCGCACCATTTGCACCAAACCGGGTCACACAACACACCTGCAAGACTTGCTTCTTCTTGCCGGCCATGACGAGAGGCTTGTGTCTTGAAACCCGTCACCCGATGCGCTCGCTGCCCCGCTCGCTCTCTCGCTCACTCTCTCCGTCGTCTTGACCTGGTGCACTCGAATGCGTAACTAAGCAAGTCAGGGGAAACCCTGGTCAAAACACCAGTTGTTCCACTCTTGTACCGAACGTCACACTTTTCGAGCAGCGCCTTTTCTTGCTCTCAAACTCTCTTCTCATTCATAAATCTCTCTCTCTCTCTCTCTCTCTCTCTCTCTCTCTCTCTCTCTCTCTCTCTCTCTCTCTCTCTCTCAAACTCTCTCTCAAACTCTCTCTCAAACTCTCTCTCAAACTCTCTCTCTCTCAAACTCTCTCTCTCTCTCTCAAACTCTCTCTCTCTCTCAAACTCTCTCTCTCTCTCTCTCAAACTCTCTCTCTCTCTCAAACTCTCTCTCTCTCTCTCTCAAACTCTCTCTCTCTCTCTCTCTCTCTCAAACTCTCTCTCTCTCTCTCTCTCAAACTCTCTCAAACTCTCTCAAACTCTCTCTCAAACTCTCTCTCTCTCTCTCTCTCTCCTCTCTCTCAAACTCTCTCTCTCAAACTCTCAAACTCTCTCTCTCTCAAACTCTCTCTCTCAAACTCTCTCTCTCAAACTCTCTTGAGAACGGTTGGTTTTACACGAGTCACTTCTCGGCAGAAACCAGCGGCAGCAGCAGGTGGTCCGGGGCTGAGGGAGGGGGACTCTTCTTCTTCTTCTTCTTCTTCTTCTTCTTCTTCTTCTTCTTCTTCTTCTCCTTCTTCTTCTTCTCCTTTTTCATCTTTTTTTTGGCAGCTGAAAGGCGATAGCAACCAACGCTCGGGACCAGCAGCATGGCAGAAACAGCCACCGCACTGATCAACTTTTGCGAGAATCCCGAAGAAGATCCAGACAATGTGGGTGTGCCTGCCGGCCAACACCTTGCTGACCCGAGCCAGTGCCAGCTCCTCACTCACGCGTGAACCTTTCTCTGGTCCCTGTTTGGTGCAACAACTGGCAGATTCGTGTGTATGATTTTGACCGCCTGCGCGATCTGGTGCAAGACTTTTCTCAGAGCCATGATGGCTACTCGGACGCCTTTGTGGAGAAGGTGCTCCAAGACTTTGGCTGGGACCATGCACAATCTGGTTCGTGGCATGGGCTCACCCGGGCACGCTTGGTCCGACAATCAAATAAAAACGCGAGTGGAAATAGATGGAACGGTTTGCTAGTCATGACGCCCACTGATGATTTGCCGTGACGGGGTGTTTGCAGACTTCCAGCAACACTACAATGATGACGAAGGCATTGACACAATGGCGTTGGCCATGGTCTTGAAAAACAAATCCACCGTGCCCAAGTTTGTTGGCATTCGCTTTTGCTCTGAATGGTAGGTCTGATACTAGATATGGAGACGACTCGCTTCCCCTTCCCCCTGGCTTTGCTGAGAAGCAACTCTGTGGCGAAAAGATACCCCACCGCCGATCCGAGCCAGTCGAGCCGCGTTTGTGCTCACCAACTATGGGCCTCTTTTTGCGACACGCCAACAGCAACAACATGCTTGCTCCAATGGAGAAGAACAACGAGGAAAGCGGCGAGTTCAAGTTGGTGTATACGGTGCGTTCTTTCACTCGCTGCTTTCCACTCCAGTCGTCTTTCTGGCAATTGCCAGTGCCTGCCGCCTCTAGGCGCTTTGCTTGCATCCGTTTTGGCCATCACGCCTTTCCACTCTGCTCTTTCGTCTTGGTGGTATCTTTCTCATTTCAACGAGAGCATCGTGCTTGATGTATAGTGTAAATACTGCCGCAAGTATGAAGAGGATGCGGACAACAACTGCACCTACGTCAGCCGTGCCATTCAGGAAGTCGAGTACGTTCTTGAAACCCCGTGCTGCCAGTAGGGCGAAGCACCTTGTTAACCATTTTCATGACAACGGCTGTGCCGCGCTCCCCTACAGCAACTTGGCCCAAATCAATGCCGATGTGCGTGATGACCCGACACTGCCCCATGAAGACGATATTGAGTGCCCCAAGTGCTCAGTCAAGGATGCCGTGTTCTTCCAAGCCCAGAGCCATCGTGACCAGGTAGGGCCTGATGCCGGCAAAGGCCACGATCAACCACTTTGGCCTGACATGTCCCTCTTCATGATTCTCCGTTGCGCCATTGCGCCATCCCTCTGACGCACGCCTTCCTCTTCCACATCGCAGTCCAACATGAAGTTGTACTATGTTTGCACGGCCTGTCATTACAAGTGGCAAGCCGATACCACCGATTATTAGAGACACGCTTGCCTCACGTTGGCATACGTACCTGGTGACCTCGCGCTTTTTTCTTTTTTTCTTTTTTTTTTTTTCGGAAAGAAAAAGCCGCAAAGAAGCAGGCACCGCTTCGCTGCGGTCGTGTCCATGAGATCATGTCTGTCGGCCTGTGAGTTTTCCAAATGATTTGCATTGTACCGTGCGCCGCGCGCTGGGTCCTGTGCTTTAGTCTTTTGTGTTGTTGGTTATTGTCTTGTCCTTTCGTCTTTGGGTTGTGGGCCTGTTGTCACTTGTGGTATCACGTCTAGTGCTGAACGGACCTGGTTGGCAGGTGCGAGAGGGAGGGAACCGAAAAACATTAAAATCTAGATCAGATTAAAATCTTTTGCCCGCTTACCAAGGGAGACCTATGAAGGAGACAATTGGCGATTGAAAAGCGCCTTGGCACAGTACTGCGGGAAAGAGCAGTTCGGGGGGCCTGATTACAATCCGTTGGTTGTGTTGTTTGTGCGAATTACAGGTAAACTTTTACATTTTTTTTGGCTTTTTTTTTTCTAGCTGGACCTGGTTACTTGACTTATCGAGGCTGGCCTCTCGTGTTTAGAACATAGCCAGTTTTCTTTTTTCCCTAATTGAGTTGTTGGAATGAGTGACGGGGACTCAGGATGATGCTTTGCCTTTGCCTAGATGCCTTGTGTACTGAATGGCACATCAAGTTGGAACGGTCAACAAAGTGGTGTAATCATGAATTGTTGCAAAGATAGATTTAACGCATCTTCATAAAAAAATCTGGGCTGGCCCTCTTCAAGCTTGCACGCCGCCGGCGAGGCTGGTGCGATTCACTTCTTCTCGGCAAAAAGAAATTTAAACGTATGCTTCAAGTGTTCATCGAGAGGCTTCCACCCACCTCCTTTGCGTACCATAATTTTCTATCATGCCCAAACAGGTTGTTCCGTGACTCCGCCGTCCAGCAAAGGGCGGTGTTCTGGCATGTGTCATGATCAACGTACTTGGCCACTCAGCCGCACCGTCATGGTCACTTCACGATTGATACCGTGACCCGCGTAGCGAAATGAATATTGGCCTGCGATAGTCAAAGCGGTTTACCAGGTGAACACATTAAATCAATTTGGCTGCCTGGCAAGCAGACGCAGAGAGCACGTGATATCGCCCAACATGCCATACCTTGGCCCAGCCGAACACACGTCAAACCCTTGTCAAAGCCGCCGAGGTCGCTCATGACGGCGGAGATGACCGATGACTCTTCATCAGCCGCCGCTACACCAAGCAGTTGATGCTCAAAGCGAGCAGTCAGCTGAGCTTCCAACAACTTGGTCTCTTCCGCGACTTGCTTGAGTGTCGTGGCATGTTCCTGCTTGAGAACCTAGGTGGGGCCCGCCCAGAGCATGACATTGACTCACTCCGAGTTCGTTGCGAGGATAGCTCAAAGCCAATTGACCAGCCAAACGGTCTAACCTCGAGGTCGGCTTGGTGCTGCTCCATCATGGCCTCAATCACGTTGTGCAGATGGCGTGACTCCTACACGAAAGGGCACAACAACAAGGAGGCAATGGGCATTAACCACCACGACAGACCAATGCGATAACATGGAGTAGAGAGCCGAGCTCATTTCAAACAGACACTTTGAGAAGCACCGACTATCTGTTTCGAACCTGGCCCCGCTCGTCGGCCAGGCGTTGTCGCTCATCCTCAGCCTCCTCTGCTCGCTGGCGCCATTCACGCAGGTCCTCACGCAACGCCGACATGTCTTTCAACTGAGACATGGGTGACCGAATGCATTCCGAAACGCAAGAGTGAGCCAGCGTACAGTCAATGTAACCGGCCACCAAAGCACACACACTCAATAACAAAGGTATCGCGGCGACCGTACCTTCTCGCGCAGTTGTGCCAATTCACTGTCACGCTCACCATCAGCGTTGGCCCGAGCGGCCTCACGTTCTAGCTCCAGGCGCGCGTACCGTGCCTGCTGCCGCTCAGCTTCGGCCTGATTGAGAAAGGTGAGCAATTAGCAATGACCAAACAAAAAGACTTGCGTAGCCCCTTGGACAGCGGCGATTGAGCAACGCGCAAAGCGAACAAAACGGCAAGGAGCACGACAGAACTCTCACCTTTAAATGAGTGATCTGCGCTTCATACTCGCCCAAAGTAAAGGCCATACTGGGAGACATGACCTCCTGTTGACGCGATCTAGAAAACGAGCCACGACATTTTGTCATTTTGGCAGTGAGCATGAGCGGCGATGTACGGGGTAGCGCGTGCACGGCCAAGAAGCCTCGAGACACTCGGTTCGAATTCGTACTGCCGTTCTGCCAACTCGCGCTGAGATTGTTCCTCTGACAACTTGAGCTCAAGAGTAACCACGCGTTCCCTAACAGAGCAAGCACGTCTTGCATAAGCCTCAAAGACAAGACAATGGTTCGATGGGTCAACACGACCCTTTTGTTCCAACAAGGACCTCGCGTCTTCCTTTTCCTCGCGCAGTTTCATGTGCATCATCATGCCCTCACTTGCGCATGAAGCCGAGGAACAACACGCACCGTAGTTCGGCAGCCGTCTTGCACTGGCCCCGATACGCTTCAGTGAGCTCTTCAATCGCACTGCGGGTAGCTGCACAGCTTTCCCGCAGTTCTTGTGCCTCGCTTTCACGTGCTGCAACACGAGCCTCGGCTGCTGCTAGTTGTCGATCACGGTCTTGAAGCTGTGCCTGAAGGCTTTCGGCCAGGGCACCAGCTTCAGCATGTGGTGCGCGTAGAGCATCAAGTTCGGCCTGCGCTCGTCGAACAGCGGCCTGCAACTCTTCACGCTCCATGTCAAACCCGGCAAGTGCCTCGGCCTGAGCAGCCTCCGTTGCCGCGAGGCGATCGCGCAAGCGTGCTGTTTCATTCAAGGCTACCTCCAGCTCTTCCTGCGACTTGGAGTTTTGCGAAGCTTGAGAGGAGGCGGCCTCAAGCGCCTCGCGTAGCGGCTTGACGGCTGCTGCGGCCTGGCGGGCCTCTGCTAGTTGTGCTTCCGCGTGAGACAAGCGGTCATGGAGGGCTCGGCGCACATTGGCATTGTCTTGGCGGCGCAGCAGTGTGCAGGCAAGGACATCTGCATGCGCAGCACGATTGGCAGCCCGTGCAAAGCTGGCCCGCAAGCTGTCTAAGCCTTGGTACAGTGGACGCGTGGCTGCGCACAATCCGGTCAGCTGCTCCTGAGTACGGGCCAGCTGCTGTTTACCAGCTTCCTGATCTTGCACTGCCTCTGTAGCCGCGGTCTGGGCCACCTTGACTTGCTCGCGCAGCTGTGCCAATTCCTGCTCGTTTGAAGCAATGGTTTGCTGGAGATTTGCCAATGCTTCATTGCGCTCGGCCAGTGCCGACTCAAGCTCGACGGTGCGATCCTGATCTTGCACTGCCTCTGCAGCCGCGGTCTGGGCCACCTTGACTTGCTCGCGCAGCTGTGCCAAGTCCTGCTCCTTTGAAGCAATGGTTTGCTGGAGATGCCAATGCCGACTCAAGCTCGATGGTGCGATCCTGTACAGCTTGTTCAGAACCAACCTCTTCGGCCGGCGCAACCGTACTCACCGCGGCGCGAGCCTCTGCGACGGCTTGCTCCGCTTGGCGCAGATCCGCCTTGAGTCGCGCCACTTGTGCACCACGTTGTTCTAGAGCTGCCTCGAGTAAGTCTCGTTCTTGACGCAGCTCTTCAAGCATCGTTTCCTCAGATGCGGAGCCTGCATGTGCCGTGCTTGCTTCAGCACGCAAACCGGCCAACTCCTCGTCCCGTTGAGCCAGGATAGCTGCAAGCTCCTCTTGGCTATTGTGTGCCGTCTCCTGCTGTGTTTTGCAACGGGCTTCGGCGTCCACCAAGGCAGCCTCGAGCTCTTTCTGCACCTCTGCCTGACGCTTCAAGTCGGCTTGAGCATTGGCATGAGCTTCGCGCAGCGCTGCTAATTCTTGTGTCATAGCAGCGTGTGTGGCAGCATCCACACTGAGAGATGAGGAGTCAGCCATCACTGGAGCAGTGGAATTCTCCGGATCCTGTTTGTTTGTGGCTGAGCTACTCTCGCCACCATTGCTGGTACGCTTTCGAGCTGCTCGCAGCTGAGCTTTTAGCCCCGAAACTTTGAGCTTGAGTTGCCCAACCTCCTTATGCAGGGCCTCGACTTCAGATGGGTCCACAACCTCGCTGCCCGAGCCCTGGGTCTCGCTCACAGCTGGGTCATGTTGAGAAATCTGTAACCGCAACGTGATGAACTGAGATGAGCGAGAGGGGCAATCGATGCGCGGAGTGTGTGTGTGTGTGTGTGTGTGTGTGTGTGTGTGTGTGTACTGCGGGGCGAGATTGGGCAAAGAGCAAACCTGCTGTTCATAGTAAGCTTGTAGCTGCTGCACATAATTGGCCCAGTAGGCGTTGAGCTCTTGCCATTTGGCCTGCCAGACAGCCTCGGAGAAGCCGGCTCCATCTGCTATTGTCATTGAGTCGCTGTTCGCGGGCACGGTGCCCACTGCTGGCGCTGGGTTGTTGCTCGTCGAACCAGCCAAGGTTGTTGTTGGGTCTGAAGATTGTGCGCTTGGTGTGACCGTCCCTGTCTCCGCCCTCGTCGCGCTCATATCGGCCAGCAGGCTTTCCGGCAGATATCCAGGTGCAGGCATGGGACCAGCGCCCATATCTGCCGAATGACTCGGATGAGCCATTTCAGCACTGCCATTCACTACCACCCTCGGCGCGTTGGTATTGGGTCCACCACTGAGGTCAATCTGCAATTCTCCAGCAGGCAGCACCTCAGCGCCGATCGCCTGAGCTTGCTGTGCTCTGAGGCGCGCATAGTGACGACGATAGTTGGTATGCCGCCACGCGCTCTGGGGTAACTCGCTCTCCTCCATGCTGCACCAATCCAACAGCCTCCTGGATCGGAGCCCTACGCACGCACTCACGCCCTGCTCCGGCCCACCACCGCCACCTCCGCAGCCGACGGACTGGCTGCCAGATGCGGGATCCTCAGGGTCCAACAACACACTGACCACGGAAAACAACGATTCAAGTAACTTAAAAATAGAGGGTAGCTGGTTATTTTAATAAAATTGTGGACAAAATAGACAGAACAACTGTTGTGGCGGGGCCAGCTTGACCCGCGTGCACTTTTGAGCGACAAGTCGCCGCCGCCGACGCCGCCCGAGCTTCTTCTCGCTCCACATTCCCGCCGCGCATTTTGCTGGATTATCATCTTGTTCCGGTCTTGTTTGAGCGTTGTCGTCTCATTTCATCATGGAGGGCAAGGATCCTGAACGGTATAAGGTTGGCGACCTCAGTTACGCGCCGGCCAGCCTGCCAAAAGTGGTACGTTGTTCGTGGGCCATGTTTTGAGGGGCGGTGGTCGATTGTGTGCCTCACCCTTTTATTCATGTGGCCAAACATGTGCGTGTGCGCATGTGTACTTGGAAACGTATGTCTGCGCATCCTCACGTTCACTGTCCAAACACAGCAAATTGCCGTCGACCCCAACGACTCGACCGAGTCGTGTGCCACCTTTGTGCTCAAGGACGAAGACCACACGCTTGGCAACTCGGTCCGCTGGGTTCTCCTCAAAGAGTGCGTTTTCCTTGAGCCTCGGGGTGATCAGTCTGGCTTTCGCCGTGCCACATGCTCAAACTTGACGCCTTCCGTGACCCATTCCGCCATCCATCACAGTCCTCGCGTCGAGTTTGCCGGCTATACCGCACCCCACCCTTCAGAGAAGAAGATTAACATTCGCATTCAGACCGACGGTATGCCTGTTATTGCGCCTGTGGTCCCCCGTCGTATGGCAAAAAGCAATGGAGAGAAGGCACACGTCTTCAGTTGGGATAGAATACGACAATGATCAGAACACAAAGAGTTTTTTCTTCTCCCTTTTGCTTTTCGTAAAGCCTTCAATTCTATCCTGTCCTCGTTTGTACGCCGGCGGGTGCTCCCCGCGGTAGCGCCATCTCGCTGACTTGAATGACTTGGTTCCTGCTCGGCAGGAACCATTTCGGCCACGGAGGCCTTTCGAGAGGCACTGGTGCGTCTGCAGTCGCTGGCCGATGTCATTGCCGCCGAGTTTCGCCAGCAAGTGACCAACCACCGCAACGAGAATTCCTTGGAGCTGCCGCCTTATGACGCCCCTGTGCTCGACGAGGAGGAGGATGCCAATGAGGGTGACAATGCCGGCAACCCTGAGCCCATGGAAAGCTAGAATGCCGCTTTTTTTTTTTCCTCAGCTCTGCTTTCCCAGGAGAAAGCGCGGGCACGCATGAACGCGTACCTGCTAGCTCGTCTTCGCAGGCAGCGATAGCAGAGACACATTTTAGTGCGCGAGTGTGAAGTACTTGACTGCGCTCTGTGCTCTTTTCAATGTTGTCCTGCAATCTGCTCTGTGCAATGACAGTCGTTGCGTTTCGCAATTGGCGCTCCAAGTCCTGCTTGGTCTCACTTTCGAGCTCAATCTGGACGTTCGGCGAGCCAAGCTCCAATTAGCATGCATGTCGTGAAGCCTTGCTGCACAGCCATGCTGGTGGGCGCTACACACCTGGACGGCCACTGTGTTGAGCATGTCCTCGAGCTCCTTGCGACGTTGCTGTGGCGGCAGGTCGGGGAATAGCTCCTCGCCACGTGCCTACAGGACGGGGCGAGTTTAGTTGTCGTGGGTATGCGTTGTCACTGTTTAGTCTGTGAATCTTTTGTGTGTTTGTTCTCTGTCTTGTTGGTGGCAAAAGATGAATGCGGGCGGGTGGTTCGACACCACGCGCTCTCGCTGTATTTGTATGGTCAGTGTTTGCTCTTGCGCCGGCCGAGCCGGTCTGCGCCCTCAAGTTCGTGCCGGTCCTGCTTACCTCTACTGTTGAGGTAGTCGGCACCGAGTGCCGCTTGGAGGGTAATTGAGACATGGATTCTGCAGTGCTCGTGGTTGTTGAGGTGCGACGAGGCGGTTGAGTCGACGGGGGTCCCGGCTTTGCAGACGTTAGATGAGCAGCTTTTCCAGCTGCCTTTTTCTCCGGCCCATCACTTGTAGAAGATGCCACCCGTGAGCCGCCGCTCTTGGTCGGACTGGCCTCTTCCGGCTGCATTGATGCCCGGGCGTCAGGATGCGCGTTGCGAGGCTCCATTGGTTGCGGCTCGTGCTATGGCACAGCCCGATGCCCAGCCACGAGCCAGCAGCAAAGGGTGATGAGCATCGTGGGGTGTTTGACTGCGTGAATACGGGTTGCTACGGCCACAATGGGTGCGGTCTTACTTTGAGTGTGAGGTGAATGAGACCTGCTTCGACGGCGCCTTGGGTGGGGGAATTGAGCAACTTGAACCGCTTTGAAAGAGGGCTATGGTTCATGGCACAGAACATGGCCGTGTGGTCGAGATCCACTTCCCCATACCCCACCAAGAAGCGCTTGCCACTTTCTTTGCCCTTGCTATGAAGATAGCAAAATGCAGTAAGCTGGAGCAACGAGGCGCGCCGCACGTAGGACAGCCGATCTGTTCATAGCTTACGCACCGATTCACGAGGCAATCATAAACGGAGATGTAGAGTGTAGTGTGGCGGGAAGAGAGGTCGAAATAAAACTTTTGGCGCCACTCCGGGGCATCGCTGCAGGCAACAAGAGAGGTGCGGCAGATGTCGTGCTGCTCGGTCAAATCCTCATTCTCAATCTCCTCAGCCGGCCGGCTGACGGTGAGGCGAACTTCAAACTCGGCATCCTTGATCAGGCGCATGGCTTGTGAGGTCTTCATGATGGGTAAGCCGTTGATGTGCGTGACCACATCGCCTGCTCGCAGGAGCGTGTCGCTGGCTGGGCTGGCCGGCTTGATGTATTCAATGCGACACTCCGTGGAGCTGCGAGACTGCTGGCCAAACATGACGCCAATCGTACCACCAGCACCTGCTTTTAGGCACGTGACCTGACCAGCAACACGCCAAAGGGCAAGCCTGTCAAGGTGACGAACAGAGACTCCGGTCGTGGCTTGGCGTTGAAGGCACGCGTGTCGAGGGCAGGCCTCAAGGCTTACCTCAAAAACATGACCAGTCGTCACGCGGGCATTGTCGTCCTTCATGTTGCGATCCAGGGAGAGGTTCACGTAGAGGAAGCTATCCTCGCGCAAGCCCTTGAGTCCAGAGGCACCGACCACTTCGACCTCCAGGTTGCCCTCGTACAATTGCAGGTTGTTAAAAAGCTAGAGATGGGATACCACGACCCAGATCGTGAATTTGAGACCGTCAAAGCATGTGTGGGGGAGCATCGCAACATCCTACCGTCTCGATCAGGCTGTGATCGGGTGGCGGTGAAAAGAAAGGGGCGTAGCTAGAGTTTAGAAGATATGTGAGTATAAAATTGAAATAAAAAAAAAGGCGGGTGAATCCAAGCCACATGGCTGAAGCGATCAATAACAAGTTGATGCCCGGCGTACCGGACTTTTTTCGCTGGGATGACGTGATGGCGTTTTAGCACCGAGTGCATCTGTGTCGACATGATGTGAGGCAAGCATGGGTCTCAAAAGTGCAGTCAAGGCGACCATGCGTCCAGCCTTGTTTTTGCGCTATACAGCGATGTGCAGTTGGCACACCTGGTTCTTTAGTATGGTGGCGAGCTGCGGCATGCTACGACCATCAAGGATGGCCTCCACCTCGAGATCCACTTCAGGTTCTTCCATGAATGAGAAGTACCAGTGGGGATGGGGGTTGCTAGCCCACTGGAAAACAGAGGCCAGGGGCAAAACAAGCGACGTAGGTTTTAGCTTCGATGATGTGATACGCTAAAAGACACCAGAAAACAGGAAATGCCTACGTACACCAGCTCGACCAACACCCTGAAGTTTGACGATGCTGATGGAAACTGTTGCGGTGCGCCCAAATATCTACCAAGGAGCATGTTCATCACGGCCAGATCCGAATTGCCTCAGCGTGAGTGTGCAGACGTGCAAGGCTGGCGTGCCTCCCCCATGTTTGCAGGTTGGTGCATGTGGCGAAACACGTACTAAATCGGCCTTGACGGTCAGATTGAATTTGCCCTCGTAAGACACGTCCGTCTCGACCTCGAGGGACTGGAGCATGTGCGTGTGGGTGCGCGTGCGTGACCAATGTGACGGGGTAAGTGCGAAGCACGGATGCCCGACAGCTTGGATTAGCAAAGGGTTAGAGGAAGACTCACATCAGAGTTGGCCAAGGTACCGAGTTTGGGGCGCACGGCTGAGATCCAATTGATTTCAGGCACAGTCGTGCCAAAGTTTAGATCATAAACCTGCCATCCAAGCACATGACTCAGGCTGGGACCAGTCGTCTGGCAACCAGGCCTTTGGGGCCTCAAACTCATCAGTAACTTACGGTCAGACGCTTGCAAAAATGCCCAAGCGGTGACTTGCGGAGCAGAAACTCAAAGTTTCGGTCAGCAATGACCAAAAACTGCCGCTTGACGTTGATGGTGTCTCTGCAAGGCAAACAGTCAAGAGTGGGACTGGCACGCTCAAGGCGGCTATGCATGGCGATTGACAGAACATACCGCAGCTGTTGGAAGATAAAGTTGCAGATGAGATTGATGACATCCATCTATTGGCAAGTTTGGCAACGCATGAGGGTGCATGGGCTGGTGATGGAGGGAGGTTGTACATCTAGCAGGATAAGGGCGCGCCTGCGTCCTTGAATGTGAATGCCGTGTGAAGCCATAAAGGTAGATCAGATGTCTCAACCTGTTCACGAGGAAGCGTGTCATTCTGATGGGCCGCGGGCTTGGGATGCTTTTCGATAAAGCGTAGTGCTTTCTGCATATCGACACGAGCATGAGGCTAGGCAGAGGCGGGGGCAAGCCGGATGTCTTTCGGATGTCCAACGGAGCGATGTCCCGGTTGCAACCAACCGGGCCAAGTTGCGGGGGGGTATACGGCTGGCGTTGCACTTGAGCGGGCTGGAGGGCGCGCAAAAAGCGCTTATAGGCGAAGCTAGCCAACGCGGCACTGATGCCCAGGCCAATGGCGACCCCGACAATCAGCCCAGCTGCGGCGGCGTACAAATGGCTCGCATCCAGCCATTCCCAAGGACCCACCAACACCCAGGCCACGGCAGCCACGATCTCAGCCATTTTGGCACCCGTTATGCGCCCAGTCCCTCACCATCAACCACCACCACCACCTCACACACCAGTGACCACCACCGCCGCCACGAACGTCCAACCTCAACCCTGTGCTCAACACGACCAAGCGCCTCTCTCTCTCTCTTTTCTCTCCAGAGAGCCAAAAAATTGAAAAAACCTTGAAACACGCTTTTGTCTGACAAATGTACACTTTGCTGTCTGACAAATGCACTTGTGTTGTCTGACAAGTGTGTTTTTGTCTGACAACAGGCGCGATTTATCAGCATTGGGCAGGTGTTGCGTACGTTACGTTATGGCAATGTGACCATTTTTGGCAGCGGAAGGCGGGGCCTGAAGCCAAGGGAACAGGTTGTAAACAGGGTAGAGGACAGGGCAGGGCGGCAGGGCGGCAGGGCTGAGAGGGCTTTGTGTTTGGAAAATCAGTTTGACGACCAGCAACGCTTCGTGTGGCCGGAGCAGCGAGGATGCCAATTGTTCTGGAACGAGCGCGGCATGGCCGCATTCAGCTCAGCACAGCGGAAGAGGCCGTCTTTGAGCTGTGTCGCCGCGTGGTAGGCCTTGCCTGTTGACGCGTTCCAGCGCCAAAATCCTGCAACGCCGGTACCTCACCATCACCTTTTTGGCCCATCGGCGCAATGCCATACAATCACCATGCAGATCGCAACCGAGACGGTCCCTATTGTTGCGCGCGTGGCTGGTGGTAGGTACTCACTTGGCTTTTTTTTTTTTTCGTTCACCACCCTGGATCATTCAAGCTCCACGTTTGTGCTGTCTGCCCGGGCTTTCTATAGACGGCCTATTCTTATCACATTTTCCCCTTGCATGACACTAGGCTGGGTTCGGGATAAGATGCTCCACCGGCCCTCCCTGGATATTGATATCACGCTTGATGTAGTCACGGGACGTCAATTTGTTGCCATGATCGCCAACCTCATTGAACAAGAGGTGACATGACTGCTGTTAACCCGAGCGCCACTTTCTCGTCCCTCCCGAATTGCTATTATTATCCTGGCTCTTGATGGTGTTCCTGATCCGCGCCGGGCTGCTGCTGAACACGATAGAAGCGTTCAGATGTCGGCTTTCACGTCTTGCCTGAAGCCAGCCAATCAGCACACCTGCAGGTGGCCACGGCGACCCTCTTCGGATTGGAAATTGATTTTAATCAACTTCGCAAAGAGGTATGTGCTTTACGTAGAACACCACAGATCGGCCAACATCATGTGCAGAAATGACATCAACGTCCGCGGCCCGCGGACCTGTCGGCGATAGACCTACGATCCAGAATCGCGCATCCCCGCCGTAGAGATTGGCACCATCCAGGAAGACAGTGATCGCCGTGACTTTACGATCAATGCCCTCTATTATAACATCAACACCGATGCCATTGAAGACTTTGACGGCCGAGGCCTCTCAGACCTGGAAGCCGGCATCGTGCGCAGCTTTGGCAACCCCACTCAGCGCTTCATGGATGTACGTTGCAGCCCATCCAGGTGTCGCCCCACTCCAAATATTCGTGCGTACATGTGCCCTGCTGCCTCCTTCCATCCAGGACCCTCTGCGACTCTTGCGGCTGGCCCGATATGCAGGCCGCTATTGCTTCCAGGTCGAGGCAACCACCCTGGCTGCTGCGCGCCAGTCTACAGTGAGTTGAACCACATCCAACGCCGTCTACAAACCATCCCAACGCGCAATGTCATTCCACCCTCTTCACATTGCACGGCCACCCCATGCCTTGCGAACGACAGATTCACGAGGCGCTACAAACAAAGGTTTCGCGCGAACGGTTTGGCATGGAGCTGCTGAAACTGTTCAAGGCTGGTAAGGCAGGATGACAAGACCACTCGTCCCTCCCTTTTGCCTTTTGATTACAAATGGCATATGACTGACTTGAACTACCCTTGACCAACCCTTGTCCTTAGACAATGCCATGGCTTGCTTGCTGCACTTGGCTGAGCTCCAACTTTTTGGAGTTCTCTTCGATTTGCCCCCCGTGCTACTCCCAGATCGCGAGGTTTGTCTGACCTGCAGCAGGAATCGCATCACTGGGTTCCTCACTCAGCATTGCCCATCACTCTCTAATTTATCTAGGCCAACCCCTTTCCATTCTTCCCGGTGCCCGTGTATTATCTCTCACTGGCTGAGATCACACCTGCGGCGTTGGCCGTGGCCGAGTGCATCAGCCAAGCTATGCAAAAGGCTGTACGAGGCTTGTTTCTCTTCCCCTCTTGTCTTTGTCCGAGTACATTTGTGCACAAGTGTGCGCGCGCGGTTTGCAGCCATTGTTTCTGCTGTCTAAGTGTCTCTAACGAGCTCTTCTGATTTCGGATGGCAGGTCCCACCGCTAAGCGGTGAAGATCAAACATATGTTTTGCTTGCTGCTTTGATGGCCCCGCTGTGGGGATACGTTCACAAGGAGGACTCCCGGCATTGGCTTCTCTCCACCGTGGCCTCGCGCATTCTGCGAGAAGCGCTGCGTCTACCCAAAGCCACGGCCGATATTGTTGTGAAGCTTCTGGTCGCGACTGAAAAGCTATTGACAGTAGGTCTTTTTTTTTCTTTTTTTCTTTTTTTTTCTTTCCTTTTTCTTCCTTTTTTTTTTTTTTTTTTTTCATTCGAAACACCCGTGTCACCTTTGTTTTTTGCGATGCGGTGACTTCTTGTACGAGATATCAGAACCATCGCTCTCCAAACAGCTTCTCATTCGCACCTCCTGATGCTATTGGCAGGTTTCTCGGGCTTGGATCAAGCGATGCTATCCACCACCCGAAAGTCTGGCCCACGCCGCGCATGGCTCTTACGCTGAGGCCTCATCTCCAGACCTAGCAGTCCCCCCTGAAGTGCAGCTGGAGCTGGGACATGCATTGCTTGCCGCAGATTGCCGACTTGATGCTTGTTTACTCCTCTGCGACGCTTTGGCGAGACATTTTCACACCTTCGTCATTGATCGCTTCTTGCCTTCGGCCATGCTCTCACCGTGGCTTGAAAGCTCTGGCCTGCTGAGCTGTCACACGTGGAAGCCCCTTTTGACGGGAAAAGAGCTGGCCAAGGAGTTTGGATTGCGGGGACCAGCCATCGGGGATGCCATGTCAGCCCTCACTGATTGGCGTCTGCTTCACCCATGTGGCACGGCCGATGAGGCTCGTGCTTGGCTTGCACAACACCTGGCGGAGACTGCGGCGCCGTAGTTGGATAAGTGCAACACGCTGCTTTGCAGGTCAATGACAACGTTGCATTCTCCCCACTTGCATCGCACGGCTTGCCACATCAATACCAAGGAGACACGTGAGACGAAGTTGCCATGCGCATCTCAATTGAGCGGAAAACATTCTCGTTTCCCAAGAGTAAGACCACCACATTGAAATCAAAAATGGGTCTAGACGAGAACGTCAAAACAAAAATAACAAATGGAAATAATGACGTGAAGGGGGTGGGGACGACAAAAACCTGTGTGTTGTTGAGCAAGCGGTGAAACCTGATACGCGAATGAAAATGAACAAAAGTCTACAGAGAGGTCCAGGCCAGAGTTGATAAAAGTCGGCACCAGAAAAGCAGTGTGAAGCCATTCATACTCGACGAGTTCCTCTCCTCACAGAAGAAAAAAGTCAAAAAAAACGCCCACGACACGACCTTTCTCAATATCCCAGCCTACTCGGCAAGGGAAAAAAAGGAAGGGGAGGGGCACGAGCCAGCTCAACTTGCTAAGAGACCTAGACGCTGTTATTGCGCTTCCTCGTCTGAGACTGCCGCGGCTTCGGGGGCACTCGCATTGTCGTTTTCGATCTCTGCCTTCATCTCCACATCATCATTGTCATCGTCATCCGCATCAAGGTCGTGCGCATCCAGATTCTCTTCGCCATCTTGCTCATGCGCCTGCATCTCGGCTACCTTGGTGCGAATTTCCTCAAGTTGCGTGCGTGCGCTATCAGCGTCACGCATGGCCTGAGCGGCTTCTTCCTGGGCCTTGGCGGCAGCAGCCATGAGAGCCTCAAGCTCGGGGTCCATGGCACTGGCAGCACTTTCTGGCTCGGGGGCAGCCGTGGCTCCTGGGCGCTTGGGCAGGACCAGGGGTCCATCCAGCTTTTGCAGATTGCGGCGCTTAATAAAGCCAATTTTGCCGTTAAATTCGCACTCGTAGACATCGTCCTCGTCATCGTCGATCACGTTGACGCGTTCGCCGGCTCCTACGCGCAAGAGATCGTCATCTTCTTCCGTCGGCTTTGAGTCTTTGAGGACCTTGGCCTGAAAAAGGATGCGTGAAGCGTCCAAATAGATTTTCTTGGGCTTCTTCTTACGGCGTGCTTCCGCAGCAGCCTTGGCTGCTTCAGCCTTGCGCTGTGCTTCGAGGGCCTTCTCCTCCTGCTGCTTGAGATGACGCGCCTTGACCTGTTCCAGAGCCTGGTCGATGGTCATCCGACCATCTTTGACCTATTTTGGCGCGTGGTCAGGACCCCAGCAAGGAAGAAGACAAGGGGTGAGCATAAACTGGGGACAAGACGGTTTTGAACGGCTGATGCAGGGCAAAATGAAACAAAAAAAAAAAAAAAAAAAAAAAAAGAAAAAAAGAAAAAGAGGTCAAGGAAGAAAGGATGGAGAGGCGGCGAAAGGGGTGACACCTAACCTGGGACATGACCATAAGCAAATCCTCATTGGAGAGGTTCAGTTCGCTGGCTTTGAGGCCCTTGATATCAGAGATACCCAGGCGGCGAGCGGCGGCCTCGATTTCTTTGCGCCACACATCGTTGGCTGCCACGGCAATCATCATTTCAATGTACGGCCGGGTGCGGATCACGTTGACCACGTCTTCGGACCGCTTATTCCGCATGGAGAATCCGTTGACCTGATCAAAGGACCCAGTAGCACCCATGTGCCAGTGCGGCAAGCGCGTCAGCAATATCCAACAAAAGAGTCAAAGGGTCGCTTTTAAGCAAGCCCAAGCAAGCTGTTGAGTCATACGTACGTTGAGGATTGAGTCACCGGCCTCAAAGCAACCGAGGCCATCAGCGGCTGCCCCTGGCACAACCTTGAGGACTCTGGGAAAGTCCATGCCATCTGCTGTGGCAATATGGAGACCCAGTTTGCCTTCGCGACGCAGGGTGACGAAGCGCTGGTTGCTGTAGCCCTCCAAGGCAGGCGTGATGACCACAACCTCGTTTTTCACCTCCTCATAGGGGCGTGGCTCTTTGGAGGGGCCGCGCTGTTCGCCCGACGACAGGGAAGCATCCGATGCGTTTGTGTGGCTTTGAATTGTACTGGCGGGGCGCGGCTTGGGTACGGGGCGCGTGGGGGGATCGTGAATGCTGGGTTTGAGCTCGGATTCATGCGGAGGAGTAGCGTCAGCAGCATCTGCTTTGGCCGGCGGCTCAGATGGGGTCTCTGGCGCTGTTTCAGCTTTGGTCCCAGCGGAAACCTCGGCTTGAGGCTCGGGCTTTGGAGGTGCCACGCCTTGCGGCTCTTCAGGCACTTGCTGTACCCCAGCTTTGTCCCGCTTGACCTGGCATTGGGGTTGTCATGTGGGCGAGTGTGGGGTTAGTATGTGGTGGGGCGTGCGCGCTAGGATGAGCAACGGAATGTGCCAGAGAGAGAGAGAGGAAGTACCCAGTGGGTCAAGAAGCAACGCCTGACACACCTCAAGCTGGGCCGCCAGAGCAGCAAAGGCATTGACGTCGATGGGGTCGGCGGTGGACGAGCGATTTCCCCCCTTGGCTGGGGGCTTGCCTTTGGCGGTGGTCGCGGCAGATGTGGTCGCGGCAGGCGAGCCGCCTTTGGCCAGCTCGGTTTCGGTCTGAAGGACCTGTTGCATAGCCTCGTCTACCGTCAGCGTGCCAGCACGAACAAGCTCCATGACGGCAATGCGTTGAGCGTCCGTCATCTTCATCTCCGCCGCACGCATGCCACCCGATGAGGCGGGGGGCGTGCCAGCCGATGCTCCTTCAGCCGAGGACTTGGGCCGATCCTTTTTGAAAAAGGACATGCGGCGCTTTGATTTATCTGGAACCCAGATCGAATCAAGAGTGAGCCGGTGAGCAGATACAAAAACAACCTTGACGCAGCTGGCTCAGTGTGAACCAACTGCCACCAAAGAACACACCTTCCATCGTGCCGGTGCTGCTTCTTGTCGACCAATGACCGCGTCGAGTGGGGCAAAAAGCGCAGTCAACAGCGAGCGGGTGCCACCAGCCGTGTGCATCAACGGCGCGGGTCCGAAGAGCAGCTCCAACCGCAAGCCTGTGGAGAGTCGAAACCATGAGCATCAATGAAAGTAATCACGCCTCTCGGAGATTCATACCAGTTCAGCCAACGGATCCCTCTCTCCCACAGCTCCAATGCCCCCCTCGCGCCAAGCCTGTCCCCTCAGAACCACTGACGGCGTGAACGGGATCTTGCCCGGTTGCCGTCAAGACCAAACAACAACATCAACAACAACACAGAGAGAGAGAGAGAGAGAGAGAGAGAGAGACCTGAGAGGGCGGAGATGGAAAGTGTGACCTAAGCTACATATTTGATTTTAATGTCATACTTTTTAAACTGTAGCGTGTTGACACGCTTTGGGTTCAAAAGGCGAAGCCAGTGACTTGATGGAAGAAATTGAAGTAGGCGAATGCAGTGAACATTCTGTTTATTGCCCATGCAAAACAAGTGGATAGGTGCATCGGCAACCGAATCGACGGAAGTCAATGCTTCAATTACATTAATTTTTGCAGTGAACGACTCCAAGTTAAAGGCAAAGTAACGCATATCGCCTTTGTAGTTTATGCAGCAAAATACCACTTTAATGTAGCAACCAGTCCCTTTTGAGTTTTGTGCTTTTATTTTTTTTTTTTCATTGGTACACAACTCTCTCTCTCTCTCTCTCTCTCTCTCTCTCTCTCTCTCTCTCGCTCTCTCTCTCGCTCTCTCGCTCTCTCGAGCTCCAGCAGCTGTTGTGCCCCATCGACACACACACACAGAGAGAGACTCCGTTCCCCTCTGGACGTGTCTGTGCGTGTGAGAGGTGGAGCGGTCCGGGTGTGGTTTGGGAGCAGGGCGGCGGCGCTGGTTGGAAGGCAGTCTCTACTGTGCGCTTCCCGTTGGTTGGTTGGAGCTCAATCGGGATCGTGTGTGCGACAGCCTAGGTGACGACTGGCCGGATCACGGCGCATTGCCCAGTTTGCCCCGCTCGAAAGCAGTCGTAGGTGGCCTGTTTGCTGGCGCTCCTGTCTTTTGTGGGTCGCCTCCCTGCGCATTGCTTTTGTCATACGCCACACTGGCCACCACGAAGCTTGACGCTTGCGCAGGCGCGCGACATCACACTTTCATCCCACCACAACACACTCGACACACGCCACCATAGCGCGCGCGCATCCCTCGTATCCCAGTCTCCCGCAACCCCGCCCTTGTTCACCACACACCCTGCCCTCGTTCATTTGTACTTTTGCACTCCAACCACCCGATCAACCCTCCTCTCCTATCGAGTCCCATTTCCCCCTGGCTGCTGTGCTAGCTTGCAGCCCTTGCTTCCCAGTTTCCCAAAGGCACCCCTCTTTGTACTGACCCTTGCCTCTGGTTGATCCAGGCAACAGATCACCGGTACCCCGCTGCCATCAGCTTCAACAAGCAATCTCTACACGCGTCACCCACCATCATGGCTCAGCGTGGACGACGGTGCGTCGTCCGTGCCCTCCTTGTTGCCGCCCCGAGTTGCCCGTCTCGACGCCTCACCCCAATTCAATATGTCGTGATCGGCCACCCATGTACATTCTAACGCCCGTCCCGACAGTGTCTTCAAAAAGGCGTGTGCCAGCGGCAGGGTGAGTAGACTTGGCTTGGCACCCCACACCCACGAGACCTGGGTCTTGCCTCTTGGCCGCTCATTCTCAAGTCTTGCGCCTTCATTCTGCCCCTGCAGCTGACCGTCTACTTGGGTCGCCGCGACTTTTACACCACCAAAGGCATGGATGATATTGTCGGTTAGTATCGTTGCTCTGCCGCCACGTGTCCACCACAGCTCCAGCGAGCCTCGCCCTAACCCTGTTTATGCCGGGTGCCCTTCTGCGCATAGATGGCATGGTCAAGGCTGATCCTGCCGATCTCCAGGGCCAAGGCATCTTTGTGCGCCTGCGTTGCACGCTGAAGTAAGGCCACTCGCGTCCCCACTGCCGGCCAGGCCACACTCTGGCCAACACTCACCCCACGCACTGTCATGACTCAATGCTGATAGCTATGGCATTGATGATGTCAATGCTCTCGGTGTCAAGATGCAGACCACGCTTTTCAGGTGTGGGAGCTCGGTGCCATTTCTTCTTCAACACCTCCTTACGCGACTCGACATCTGCTGTCAACTCACCTCACCCACATGCCGCCGTCCCCTGTGTCACTGTGTGTGCGCTTGTGTTTGTGCTCACCAGTGAAATCAAGCAGGTCTACCCGCCACCAGAGGGCATGAAGCTCACGGCGCTGCAGCGCAAACTTCAAAGCAAGCTGGAGAACAACGCCTTTCCTTTCAAGTTTGAGGTCCCCGAAGGCCTTCCTAACTCCGTCACCCTTCAAGGGCAGCCTGGTGCCCGGGGACAGGACGCCCGATGTGGCGTCGACTGGGACCTGAAAATTTACATTGCCGACACGGCCGAGGATCGCCCTTCCAAACGGTCAGAGCCCAATCTCTGCCGGCCTCCTACTTCACCCTTGCTTCGACAAGAGTGCTTGGCCTTGCTCATGACGTACTATCGCGCCTGTTGACCTATCCCTGCTACCTCTCACCCAACGCGCAGCAATACAGTTGTGCTGGCCATTCGCAAGTTGGCTTTTGCACCGTTGGATGAGAGCGATGACGTGGCTCCCAGCGACACGGCCGTCAAGAAACTGGCCCTGGGTGGCGAGCCCATCACCATGCAGGTCTTCCTGGATCGCCGAGTATGTTATATGACATGCCGCACCAGCCGCACCAGCCGCACCCCATGGTGTTGTTACCCCGTCGACACCCAGCCCGCAACGGTTGGCCCCTGACGCTCATCCGATGCCGCCCACAGACATACATGCATGGTGATCCTATTGAGGTCACCGTCAAGGTAGACAATGGCTCCAAGAAGCAGCTTAAGAACATGGACATCCTAGTCCGCCAGTTTGCCACTCTCAAGGCTGAAGCTGGTCTCTCGGGCTCCACCCGCAAGACCCACATTGTGGAGATGAAGCCCAGGTTGGCTCTTACTTGCGCTGCTCTTGTCAAAGAGCCAGAGGGCGGCATCGTTGTCCATTAAATAAGAAGACGAAGAAGCAACACGACTCGCCTCGAGTGCCTGACCGACGCCTGTTCATTCTCTCTCACCCATAGCGTGCATCTTCCGATTGCCCCCTCCTCACAATGGGCTGAGACCTTTGCCATCATCCCGTCAGTCGAGGGTCTCGAGGTACGACATGCTGAGACATGCTGAGATGAGCTGTCCCATCTCCTCTCAGCGCTCAAGCAGCTGCCCTTGATGATAATTCTTCGCCTGTTTTATGACTATTCTAGGACCAATACCGCCTTGCCCTCGATGGGCAGATCAAGGATGAGCCCACGGGCCTGGCCTCCTCTACCCAGTGCGTTTGTGCAGAGCTCATGTGGCCACGAGCCGATAAACCATCCCGTGCCCAAAATTGTTGCCATTCCTCTTGGCTGATGCCCCCCCCCCCGTCCTCGACCATGCTGCACAGGTTGACGCAATCCAGCTTGGACGATAATGTCGGAATCTTCGTGTCATACGAGGTCAAGGTCAAGCTGCACGTGGGCATGGGCAGTGAGCTCGATTGCAAGACCCCCTTCATGTTGCTTGCACCACCCCCCAACGCGCTGGGCGTGTCTGTGGGCATTGAGCCCCCACCAACGCCGGCCCTTGTCAAGGATGCGGAGAATGACGGCTACATGTCCGTGCCGACCACCCCGCGCAATGCGCCACGAATGACTTTTGACGAACTTGACCGCATGATGGATAACGTATGTTCCCGATACGTGTGTCCACAAGCCGATGTTTGACGCTTCACGCTGTTGCATCCTCACCACTTGCCCTTGACTGATGCAAATAGGACGGCGATTTGGACCTGGTCTTTGAGGATTTTGTCAACAAGCGTGCTGAAAAGTTTTTTAGCCAGCCAGACCGTGATGTAGAGGAATATCAAGATGATGATGACGACGACGAGTAAAGCGAAGCTTTGTCCTCCTTTGAGTCTGCACAATTGTGCCGCAAACAAGTGGCCCCGTGCGTATGATCCCGCTTCTTGCCTCCTCCCCTTCCCCCTTCTACTCGCAAACCTCCCTTCTTTCCCTGTGTCAATGTTAACCGCGTGTGGCTTCGTCTTCAACTGAGTGGTATGTTTTCCAAGCATTTTTTCCAACAAGTTCGGGTTGAGCAAAAAAAAACGATGTGCAGCAGATTAAGATCATCAAGCTACCCGAGTCATGTGTGAGCCCTCAAACATGACTGGGGACGTCCTTTCATCAAGAAGAGCATGAGCATCTCGGAGAGAGAAAACTTGCAAAAGGGCAAGGATAATAAGATATTTAAAGGGGGGGGGGGGGGGGGGGGGGGGGG